ATTATTGGTTGTCCAAAAAACTACTTTGTCCACTAAAACTACCAAAATTCCTCGCAGTTTGCGAATATCTTAGGTATTTATGTACGCTCGCACTGCTACCGAGGTTAAAGCGCGAATCTCTAATAGAATATAAAATGTTAAATAAGCATTTGCATTTGTTCGATGCTGATGTGGCTTAACGGGTGAGGAGATTGTTGGGCGGACTAGGAAACTAATAGCATTTTTCCAAATTTTTAGTAATAATCCAGCTTCAAAAATGGGCGCTCGTCTAAGAAACCATTCCTATTTGTGCGATGATCAGAAGAACATATCAGACTTCTATGACCAAGCAAAAGTCTTCATTACAGGAGCGACAGGCAAGTGAAAATTAATGTAACGCGTATAAAAGATTTACATGGATCTCGTACTAAAGCAAAGAAAACAGTTACAAACTTTCATCTTTCAAACAGGATCGTAAATCTACAGTTCTCAATGGACATAAATGTAATCAATTGGGAATTTGTGTGATGAGCATATGTGAAAGTTAACTCTAGAATTAAATTGTAGAACATATGTGCGGCTGATGATCGCAATTAATGCAATAAATATGTTAAACGTATCTTAATATTTATAATTGGAGCTTCATAGCTAAAGACACTTTACAATTTTTATAAACTGTTCTTTGTTAAAATTTCCAATTGATCTTAGGCTTTGTTGGGAAGGCGCTAGTAGAAAAGTTGCTCAGGTCGTGCCCAAAAGTCGACGCCATCTTCATTTTAATGAGGCCGAAAAAAGGAATTCAGGTTGAACAGAGGCTGAAAGAACTGTTAAAAAATCCCGTAAATAACACAAAAAAATAACCGGTTTGTTTTATTAAGTGGAATCTTGTAGGTATTTAATAGAATACGAGATAAGGATCCTGATGCTTTCGAAAAGGTGAAAGTCATTCCGGGGGATGTGGCTCTTCCAAATCTAGGTCTATGTGAAGAGGACAGAAAATTCCTCGTTGATAATATCGACATTGTCTTTCATTCTGCTGCTACAGTGAAGTAGGTGGTTTTTAAGGTTTGGGAACGTAATCTGCATTTCTTCTGTGTTTGCAGGTTTAATGAAAATTTGAAAACCGCAGTGATTTTGAATACTTTAGGAACTAAGAAGATATTGGAGTTATGTCAAAACATGAAAAAGCTCAAGGTAATAAAAAACGGTATCTTTGTCTTCGGGAAACAGCCGAAACTAAAAAGTATTAATAAATGATAAACCACATTCTTCTTTTCAATATATAGATTCAAACATCAATTAGGAACTCATATGCTTTTAAATCAATTTCCAGAGCTGCGTTCATGTATCTACCGCTTTTTCAAATTCCGACAAGCGGGTAGTTGAAGAAAAGGTCTACAAGCCCACATACGACGCTCATGCTGTTATCAACTTGATTGAAAACCTTCCGGATGAAGTAGTGGAAAGCTTGTCGCCTAAGTTAATGGCAAGTTGTGAGCGGTTAAAAAAAAAACGTGCACGAACTTGAATAATTCTAGGACAAACATCCGAACACCTACACATTTGCCAAGGCCCTAGCTGAGCAACTGGTACTCGAATATTCGCATGAAATTCCAACTGCTATAGTACGACCATCTATTAGTAAGCACCAACGCCCCTTGAAGTTCTACGGAAACCCAACAGATTTTTTCCAGTTACAGCGGCTTGGAAAGAGCCTTACCCTGGATGGGTGGACAATTTGAGCGGAATCACCGGAATAGTCATGGAATGCGGAAGAGGCACCATAAAATCTATAATCTGCAATGAGCGATGTCGCATGGATTTAGTTCCGGTTGATATTGTGGTCAACACTTTGATAACCAGCGCTTGGCATACAGTGGCGCATAAGTAAGTAGCTGATTAATGCACTGCAGTTGAATAGTTTAAATGGGTTTTTCCAGATCAAACTCCCTGCGAGTGTATAACTGTACAAGTGGAAGATTGAACCCAGTAACTTGGAAACAATTTGGAGAATTCACTCACAAACACAGCTATCAGTGGCCAAGCAAGTACGTGACCTGGTATCCAGAGTTCAGCTACACTACCAACCGGACCGTCCATTCCATTTACACCACCCTGTATCATAACCTACCATCAGTACTTTTGGATGTGTTTTTATATTGCACGGGGAAAAAGACTATGTGAGTTAAAGTTGTGTTAAAACTGTTCAGCTAGTTGGTTAACTCCTCAACTTTAATCCGATCAGGATGCTGAAGTTGTCACGCAGATTGAACCAATCCTTAGAAGCTGGAAGCTTTTTCTCAACAAACGAGTGGGAGTTTGGCTCAGCCTCTTACAAAGAACTGATAGCAGCAGTTGAAGACGCAGGCGATGGTTCAGAGTTCTCGGTTGATCTCACTTTGGGCAAAGGCTTTGACTGGGAAACTTATGTGGGAGAGTTCCTGAAAGGAGTTAGGACGTACATTTTGAAAGACGACCTCATCAGTCTACCGGCAGCTAAAAAGAAGCTCCACAGGTATTTAATGTTTAACCACCCAGAAGAAATTGGAACTGAGGATCTTCGATTTTTCCTAGATTGTACTGGTTCAAACAGATCAGCCAGTCCTTGCCCTACATTGTGATTTTCCAAATGGCTCGCTACACTTTCCAAATGAAAATGTTGTCTCAGACCATCCAGAACTTGCCATGGAACGACACGATCAATACCACCAGTCTTCATTGAATTTGACTTGATAATTTTCAATAATGTTACTTTGCTTCAATCGTGTCCAATTGCGCTTTAATCCGCGACTATTTCTAACCAGAATATTTAAGTTATTTATTAATTATAGTATTAGCATTAGTAGATATTAGTATTTTACTGCGAAGATTCTTTGCAAGTGCTTGATGAAACAGGCATTTCTAATAAGATTCTAATAATGCAAGAACATGTTTCAGCAGTTTTGAGTGCAACTGCTAATTGATCTTGGTCGCTTGATTTTCGTTCTTATTTTATATGTTGAAAACATCTGAACGTAGAAGCTCAGGTGACTCCGTTTCTGTAAATGAACGCAAGACTTTTCATCAATAGTTAAATAAAACGAAGAAAAGTGGTTTTTCAAGTGATAACTCAGTCATAAATTCATGCCACAGGAATTGTGCTTTTCCCAAAAACAAAAAAATGTTACACAAGTATGATTCGCAGTTATGAAGAATTTTGTGCTTTTACTGCTTTGCAACTAATCTAACAATTAAAGTGCAAGTTTTTTGTAAATGTGACACTGGAATCCAGTTAAAATACATTTCTTTAGGTTAAGAGAAACCGAAATTGAGAAACTTGCCGAGCAGGGAAAACGAAATATATAGAGTGTTCGAACGAAATATATAGTTGTTTTGAAACTTATTTTTGTAATACTCATTGATGTCTATTGTAATGAAAACCGACTTAAAAAATATTGAAAATTGTTTTTGTGCCTGACTCGACTGGTATAGCGTGCTGTATATTTCATACTTTTCACATTTTCAAGTATTTACAGATTTAGTAATAATATACGTAATTTAGGATTGCATCACTCTTTTATAATAAAGGACAATAATAAAGGAGTTTTCTTTCATATATACGAACTGATCCACGTTATATAAACTGCTATGTCATGTTTTGCATGTATGATAATTTAGGATTGTATCAGTCTTTTATAATAAAGGACAATAATAAAGGAGTTTTCTTTCATATATACGAAGTGATCCACGTTATGTAAACTGCTATGTCCAAATTTGCCTAATTATCGAACTGAAAAATAACGTTTTTTTGTCCAACTGAGAGCATGCCAATCTTTCCAAAACTTAGCAATTTTTATTCTTAAGCCTTTATATAAACCCCCTAATTCCAGTAATAATACAGCCTGAGAGAAAATGAGTTGAGCTAGACTTAGAAATCAAATCGCCCGCACCAGTCAAAATTTATCCAGCTCTAAAATTAGGGCAAATTTGGCCCTGCAACCTTACTGGTCCATTCACGTAATTTAAGGACCGTGAATATGCAACATGTTGATAGATAAAATTAGATACAATGCAAGATAATCTCGAATGAATGAATGAATGAATAAATAAAATTAGTAAGTCTACTTAAGCGTCTGGGTGTATAAATCAATATGCACACTAATTAGGCCGATTAGAAAAATGCGTTTCAACGAGCTAACAGCTTTAATTAGATAATTGATTAATATTTGTCTGATTTCGTAAATTGTCTGGCTCGCCGAAAATTGTGCATCGTGTTGCCGGCAACTGGTACTTTCGGGCGCCGGGATGTTTCTATCTTATTAACGCTGTAAGTTCAGTCCATTATTGTTAAACAATAATGGACTGAACAGCAAATGTAAATTTAATGAATAACAGCAAATGTAAATTTTATATCTCCTGTTTCAGACAGCCGAGCAATGATCCAATAATGCTCAAGTGAAAAGGTAATGTTCTAATCATAAAGGTTTAATAATGACGTATTATTCTTCTATAGATAATGCCAGATAAACGAAATCTTATCACAGTTGGCGAAAGCTATTACTCAGTGAGGCGACTGCATTGTTACTTGTCGTTGTTAATATTTGTGCATTTTTCAAGGCAGTTTATATCAACAATTTCAGGCAATAGATTCATCTAACCAGGGTAAGTACCTTGATTTCAATTCAAAAACTCCCACTGCTTAACTTGTAAATTTTTCAAATCGCATACTTCTTTAAAGGAGTTTAAACAAAACAATTTAGTCCTTAAATTATATATACGTGTTAATTTAACGCCACATTTTTTTAGTGCTCTAATCGCCAGCACCATATTGAAAGTTGCTCTATTTCGATCAACTACTGATAGCATTATTCGTTGAATTCGTATGGAAACACCGCACAATATAAGGTTATAAGTTCAGTCAAAGTGCAGTTGCTTCTGGAAATCAATTATTAAAATTTTAATTATCATTATTGCCTATTAATGGGAACAAGTTCGTAACAACAAAGCAGCGCGCAACAGGAATTCTTTGTTAATGCCTAAAATCTCACAAATATATTCATGTATTATGGATACTTATCGATTTTTTTCCTGTAAACTCCTAAAGATATATATTTAAACAATTCAATTGAAGTGTTAAGTAATACTTGAATTCTACATATAAAATCGCTCATTTAAACAATTAGTGTCTGTCATATTAATCTGAAAATATCTGTTTATGATGTTACCAAATCCAGCAACAAATTCGCTAAATAATCCAAGGGTTAAAGTTGATGAATCGAAATAACAGCAACAATAAAATTTATATTAAGAGAATTGTATGATACGACAAGAATTACATAAATTGCAATTATAACGCGGAAATAGTCGATGCGATTAAGTTGAGCACATAAGAGCTGTTAAGCAAATTTGATATGGACTATTTCAGAAGTTATGTGGTTGATTAGTAATTCAGTTATCTAATTAACCGAGACTGAACCGAACTGCTGTTAAAGCCCAACTACACCAAAATAATAAACTTCTAGGAAACCGAATTAAATATTTTCTTAATAAAACGTTTTATTAGCTTATTGTTTCCGTTATCTCAAAGTTGAACACATGTAGGTAAGAATGATGTTCATTCGTACTTTATAATTTTTATTAAACATTTCGATATCAAACAAACTCCGGAAAAATCAGTGAACTCAAGTTATCGCCGTTACCTTTCCAACGTTATCAAAACAACGAAATTATTAGTACTTATACCATAACCTTGGATTATCGACTAAATCATCAATTTTCAGCGAATTTAAGTTATCGATAAAGCACGTTTATAGATAATTACTTGTATTAAATTCATATAGCCCACGTTAACTTTTAAAATTAGAACTAATGCTACCATAATAATCATAAATATTTTAGGGTTTACTGAAAAATTTTCCGTTTTTTAAAAAACTTTTTAGAACTGAAAAAATTAACGGAAATCAACCTGTCAAAGTTTCGGAATTAATTGCAAAGAAGTTTTTCCCTGGATTATACCAAAATTAAAGCGGTCATTAAAGTAAAGCTTCCACTAAAGGATGATGTAATCTGCAAGTTGACATCTCATCTAATTTTTGAAAAATTGCCTCTTGAACACTACAGTGCAAAAACTGCGCAAAGTAAAATGCTGCTCGCTCCGTAATTAATTCCAAAGAGGATTTTAGCTCGATTCTACCCAACTGTACACAATAATTAACATAAAGGGCGCTATACACCACAAAATGATATATCATCTTATTTTTGAAAAATTTACTCTTGAAAAATTTAGTTTAAAAACTGAGCAACGTTCCGGAAATTATTCCGAACAAGCTTTTCACTTGGTTTTGCCCAAATTAATAAAATAATTAAAATCAAGATTTTTCAAAGAGTTCTGGAACCCGCTACCTGATATATCAGCTCATTTTTGAGAAAAGGCCTGTTGAATAATGAAATACAAAACCCGACCCGAAAAAAAATTTTCTTCAAAGTTCTCGAATTAATTTCGAAGCAGACTTTTACTGGATTTTCCGCAAATTCTCACAATAATTGAACCTATACTTCCTTAAAAGCGCGCTAAACCGATAACTCAACCGGTTTTTGAAAAATATCCACTTGAAAAATATATTGCAAAATCAGCACGTACAAAAAAAACTTAAAAGTTCCGCAGTTCATTTCGAAGAATATTTTTAATGGATTTTGCCCCAATTCACACAATTAATAAAATAAAGCTTTATTTAATGCGGTTAGAAGTCGCAACCCAATGTATCAACTTATTTTTGAAAAATGACCTGCTGAAAAATTTATAACAAGATCCGCTCAAAGCAAAAAAATGTTCAATGTTCTGGAATTATGTGCAAAGCAGACTTTCGCTGGATTCTGCCCAAATTTACATCATAATTGGATTATTTCATATATTCATTATTCATCATAATTAATTAAAATTAATAATTGAATTGAATACTTTCTTTAAAGATCAGTAGAAGCCATAAGCCATTATCGCAACTGGCTTTTAATGAATTACTTTTTAGAAAAGTGTGCTCTCCATTTTTCAAATCATATAATTTTTACATATAAATTTAATTACACTTTTGTGCATTTGTAGTTGTGCAACCGCTGCCTCTTGAGAATAAGTCTGCCTATTCTGAAGTATGTAATGTTATTCAGCGTTGTAATACCCCGCGTTTTGTTATTTCATTTAAAGCACTTCAATAATACATTATCTGGATATTTGCTCATCGTTACGGTCTAATAAAACGCAATCTAATCTAAGAAAGTAATAATTAGATTAGCAAACTTTAATTGATTGCATTTACAATAGGCATCCTCGTCACCATGTAAATTGTATATGTTTATATCTGATTGTATGCTTAATACTGTTTTCCGCCATAAACTTTCACCGAATAGTAGAAAATCTCAAACAAGTTAGTAAGGAGGATTGGAGAAGAGCAATGTAGTATGCAAAGATACTGAAAGATAAACTGGAGTAAAAGGTTTTATAAAATATAGAAATGCTGTGCGTAAGAAATACTGTTGAAAGTGTTTCCCTCCAAAAAAATTAAATTTATATTTTTGCCAACTCTTAAACATAAGTTGCAACCACCTACAGCGTTATTACTTCTGTTAATACTATTAATTATATTTTAAGCCACCTTTAAACAAACTAATCTTGCTGATGTAGTTTATCTTTAAATGCTACATTTTTGCAGGCGCTTTTGCCCGAAAATGTCAAAAAGAATTTTATAAACTTTAACAGTCTTTTATTTTAAAACCCTAACACGAGACTGATTATTTGTAGATTAACTGGATAATATTCATTAGAATCACATTAGCAAAATGCCAATAGACGTTTATAAATTTTGAACTCTTGCGCTGGTTTGCAAATTAGAATATTTTCCACTAAACACATCTTCAGTTGCCATTCATCTCCCGATAACCTACTTTAAGTAGAAATGTCTTGGATCTTTAGATAAAAATTGGCAATTCTAAGATTATTTAATGGATATCTGATGAAGGACCGAAAATTGAAAGCCACATCTAAATACGCCTGAACCGCTGACATTATCAGAGGATTAGTGAAAGTAACAAAACTCATATCAGAACACATTTCTACACCATTTTGTCATTGGTTAAATTATCATTCAACAATTGTAGTCATTGCTGTTTTTAGGCACACAATGGAATCCTATTTGGAGGATCGAGACCGCGTTGGAGTCGCTGATGCTGTCTTATTGGAAGACTATACCAGCGAAGAAGCGTTTGTTAACAATTTACAGAAAAGATTTAATGAAGATATAATTTATGTGAGTATAGTAAATTTACTGTGAGAATGTGACTAAAAATATTTTTGAAAAACGGGATTTGAGAGTGTGAAAATGTTTCTTATCGCAAAAAGCACATAATTAGTCATTAGCTAAGCTAATTACCTAGAAATAATATAAAAATAATTTAATACAGCAGCATGTCAAAACCTGTTAACACCGTAATTATTAAAGCGTGATGGCGTCAGTTTCACGAAGCGTTTGAATAATTAAAAATGTGTATGATGTAATAAAATAAAATGTTCAAAGTACATATTAAATTGATAAATAATTTTAGACCTACATAGGGCCAGTCCTTGTCAGCGTCAATCCCTACAAAGAACTAGATATTTATTCCTCCGAGAAAGTCAAGGCATATGAGAGGAAGAACTTCTTTGAGGTGGCACCCCATGTGTAAGTTTACAATTTTCAACTGCCTCTTTTAATTTTTTATTGATGGTGGAAACCTAAGATTTTTTAGTTGGCTTTGAGCCTATTTGATTGAATAAACGAGCCTCCGTTTCCCTTTTTTTCAGGTTTGCAGTCACCGACACCGCTTACCGATCACTGCGAGAAGAAAACCGCGAACAATGCATCCTAATTTCGGGTAAAACTGATCCTTTTACAAAAATACTCATTTTGATCAATGATGTTTCCAGGTGAGTCTGGATCGGGTAAAACCGAAGCATCCAAAAAAGTCCTTCAATACATATCTGAAGTGACTGAGCGCAAGGGTGATATTGAAAAAGTGAAAAATAAATTGCTGGACTCAAATCCGCTTTTGGAGGCATTTGGAAATGCCAAAACCAACAGGAATGACAATTCCAGTAGATTTGGAAAGTTCATGGACGTCCAGTTCAATTTTGAGGTGAGTTTTGCCTGATCTTCCGCTGAAAAAATCCAAACAAAAAATATTTCCAGTACAATCCTGTTGGGGGGATAATATTGAATTACCTCCTGGAAAAGTCCAGAGTGATTAGTCAAGCTCCTGGAGAAAGGAATTTTCATATTTTCTATCAACTACTCGGAGGGGCCGATGAGGACACTTTGGCAAAACTCTCTCTAAGAAAGAACTGCCAGGCGTATCATTATTTATCCAATTCGGTAGTAATGTAGATTAAAATGTGGGCTTTCGAGTTCTTCATTAGAACATTTTCAGCCAAAATCGCCAGACTACAGCTTGGAGGACAAATCCAACTTCGACGAAGTTCAAAAAGCGTTAACAACGTTGGACTTTACTCAAGAAGACCAGGAGGAGATTTTCAGCATTATTGCTGCCATTCTCCACTTAGGAAACGTGAAATTTTCCACAGCCGAGGGCAAAGCGGTTATACTGAAGCCGGATCTAGTGGAAACCATTGCAAAAGTAATCAAACATATGTCGGTCTGGAAACATTTTACAAATCAACTGATTTTTTAGCTTTTGGGCAGCGATAGCGAGAAACTCCAACGGTCTCTTACGCAAAGAACCATAGAAACTATTCTGGAAGTTGTAGTAACTCCACTTGACAAAGAGTTGAGTGTGTACGCTCGAGACGCTCTAGCAAAGGCAGTTTATGACAGGCTCTTCACTTGGCTAGTAAAGAAGATCAACAGTTCCTTACTACCAAGCGACAGCAGAAGAAACTCTGTTATCGGCATTTTGGATATTTACGGGTTCGAAATATTCGAAAAAAACACGTAAGTTTCTAGAAACTTTGGTTTTCAAAGCACTATTTGCTCCCTCAATTTCAGTTTCGAGCAACTGTGCATTAACTTCTGCAATGAAAAACTGCAGCAACTGTTCATCGAACTCACATTGAGGTCGGAACAAGAGGAGTATCAAAAGGAGGGCATCCAGTGGGAGCATATTACTTATTTCGATAACAAAATTATCTGTGATTTGATTGAGGAGAAGCATAGAGGTTGGTTGGTGTTTCTTACAAAACTTTTAAAACTTATTTAATATTTTATAAAGCAAACCGTAATAAATTATATTTACAGGTTTGATAGCATTTATTGACGAAGAATGCTTAAGACCAGGTGATCCTGATGATAAAAGCTTACTGACCAAGCTGGACAAGCAACTCAGTTATCACGATCACTATATCAGCCATGCTAAAGCTGATGTAAAGCTGCAGAAAGTCATGGGACGCGATGTAAGATAAAAATTATGTAAAAAATATTATACAATTGTAAAAATTGGGTTTACTTAAAGGAATTCCGCCTCATTCACTATGCAGGAGCAGTCACTTACAACATATCGACTTTTATCGACAAAAACAACGACTTGCTCTTTAGAGACCTTAGGGAGGCGATGTCGGGCTCCTCCAATGCGATTCTTCAAAGCATCTTCCCAGAATCGGAGCAAAGAAGCAAAAAAAGACCTGACACGGCCATCACGCAGTTCAAAAATTCATTAAACAATCTGATGAACATTTTGCGTGACAAGGAACCCTCATACATCCGATGCATTAAGCCCAATGAATTTAAGAGACCAGGTGAGAAAATATTAATAATCGGAGAAATTGATCCGAGAGAATTTTCAATAGCAAACTTCCTTGTTTTATTTGCAATTGGAAAAGTCGCACATTATTCAATAATATTTTTCCTGAAGCTTAGCGCTTGATCATACACGTCGTCGATTTGATTGGGGCGCTCTGTATGTGCACAGTATTTACTTTCAATTTTATTCGATGAGTTTAAAGACAATTTGAATGTGACCTGATCAGTGGCGGCGCCTCAATAAATGCATATGTGTACGTCCACTCTTAAGTTTTCAATGTCCCTTCTTAAAAAAAATTAAAATAAAAAATTCAATGTCACTTAAATTATCAATGAGTTTGAATCAATTTGTTAACAGCGTAAAGATCATAAATTTAAATGAAAGACTCGTTTTCACCGGTGATCATTGTGCACATTTAGTAGGTGCACGGCTCATATTTTATCGCCGTTTCGATTTGTTTTGTTAACAACTAATTGTGCTTGGAGCATTGTGCAACCGCAAGGTATTAAAGCACTCACCGCCACTGTATCTCATGATGGTTTTACGTTCAGGCATTGTAAGAAAATCTATTTGGATATGCAATTTTTATTAAAAAGGAGACAGTTTGAAAGCGAGAAGCAGAACAAGAAAACAGTTTTGCAAACAGCAATGTGTATCATACTTTGACAAATTATGCACCTGGAAATAACTACGAACTTGATACACTATTAAAAGTGAGTCTAAAATCATTTTAGGCACCAAAATACTACGGAATTCTTCATATAACAGCAATATCAAAGTAGCGAAAATCTTAAAAAAAGGAACAGCAAGCAAAGCTTAAATTAGAGAAAAACTCAAGTTCTTAAGGTACATAAAATCAAAGTTAAATGCAAAATAGATAACATGAAACCAGATCTACGAACCAAATAAAGTCCTTTTTATCACATCAAGCATGTATGTCATCAATCGTACGTACTTATATGTATATACGATTAAAATGTATCTATATACGATTAATATGTATATACGATTTAAATTCATTTAACATTCAGCGACCATTTTTCTGTAAAAAAGCTCAAACTCGTCAATTTTCATTTGTAAATGCGATTTTTTTATAACAATTTTATGTATACAGGGTAGACCAAAAATAACTTACGTAACTTCATATTTTTAAAATGAAACCTCCTTTTATCTCAACTTTGAAAACTCAACAGTTGCCGAGAAACTTACTATTGGAACTAGCAATAATTAATAGTGACAATGTTTTTTTAATTTCTGTAGGCTGTTGAGTTTAGCTATAGGATATGATGAAAGGCCTGAATCATACAAATTCAATAAATGATTCAACATTGAAATAAAAGGCAGGTGCTTCCATTTGAAAAAATAAAGTTGATAGAACCTAATAGTAATTTACTTTTGGACCACCCTGTATAGGTAAATTTGTTACAAAATAATTTAATTTACGAATAAAAATTGACTGCTGGCGGCTGAATTTTAAATGAATTTATACATTTCTTCTCGGACTCACTGTATGAAATCATTAGATGTTCCAAAACAAATTTAAAGCTAAAACTCGGAGCATTTGCTTACTCTAAGGATAAAATCGTCGGTGCAGGGAAGCTAATTTTGTGGAACTCACTGATTAAAATCCCGGAAAATCATGGTGTTTTGGACATTTTCATATTAGAATGACTAAAACCGTTCACAAATTTTACATTGTCTTAATTAAAAACCCTGATGACTTGCACTTAATAGCGCAAAATTCCCTTCGCTTAAGTTAAAAATAAAATTTTAGGAAGCTTCGATTTCGACATTGTAAAACATCAAGTAACCTACTTGGGGCTGATGGAAAATCTGCGAGTCAGAAGGGCAGGTTTCGCATACCGGCGAACTTACGAAGTGTTCCTCAAGAGATACAAGAGCCTTTGCAAGGACACTTGGCCGAATTATCGTGGAAGCGCCAAGGAAGGTGTTCAGCACCTGATTTGCGCGCTTGGATATGAAAGTGAAGAGTACCAGTTGGGAAAGTATGCAAAACTCCTCGTCAAAAACGTAAAAGGCTTTGCAATAATCACGCCTCATTTCAGAACGAAAATCTTCATCAGGCATCCGCAAACTCTCTTCAAAACTGAAGATGCCTTCCAGCTAAAGAAGCATGATATTGCCGCTATTATCCAGGCCAACTGGAAGGGTATCCTGCAAAGGCGTCGATACTTGAAGACCAGAGCGGCGGTTATTGTGATGCAGAAAAACATTAGAAGATTCCTTGCAAGGACCAATGCGAAGAAGCGAAGAGAGGCAGCCCAGACTATCAGATCGTAAGTTCAAAATTGCGGCATTCTTCCACGTTTTTTGCTTCATTTCATCGTTGAAGGTTTATTCGCGGATTTATTACCCGCCATGATGAGCCGAATGAGGACAACAGAAAGTTTATTTTGGCCACAAAAATCAACTGGCTGAGGCGATTGGCTAAAAATCTGCCCCAAAATATTTTGTTAAGAACATGGCCCCCATCTCCCATCATATGCGAGGAAGCTTCCAAGCAACTGGAAGTGATGTATGAGGCCAATTTATCCAGAAGATACAGGTGAACAATTTTATTTTTAAAGTACTTTCTTATGCAACTAAGCCAATTTGGCATTTGTAGACTGGCGCTGACTCCAGAAAGAAAACGACAGTTGGAGCTGAAAGTTTTGGCTGAAAAACTATTCAAAGGTGATACAAATAATAATACTCTTTACAGATCTGAACTTTAACGCAACATTTATTAAACAGGAAAGAAGAAAAGTTATGGTGCAAGCGTGCCAGTTCTCTTTGCAATGGACCGCGTTTCTGAGCAGGCATTGGCTCTGAAAACGTCCTACTCAGGCCAGTTGGATGGAGATAAAGAAGTGGTGAGTTTCGCATCGAGATTTCCTCAAAAGCACACGTTCTAATAAATTATTTTTTTGCTGCTTCAGTACGCCACTTCCGTAATGAAGTTCGATAGGCACGGATATAAACCAAGAGAACGAGTCATTATTATAACGCAAAAAAATCTTCACGTCATAGAATGCAAGGGATCAGTTAAACCAAAGCATGTATTGCCATTGAAGAGCCTCCAATTCGTAGTCACCCATGAGAACGACCGATTGGTACTGGTGAAGATTCCAGAAGATATGCTGAAGAAGGATAAGGTAGGTTTATACCAAGTTCGCCCGTCTTAAAAAAATTCTCCCTTTAATCTGGAACTGGAATAAATTTGAAATTCACTCTCATTATCTAGCAAGTGCATAAATTTGCAAACTTTCATAAGAACTCAGTTAAAATGCTGATTTTTCCAAATGTTATAAGCTTTAGGGAGAAAATTAATGACTTAATGCATGTTTTTCTGCAGAAGTTCCGAGTGTTTACCTCAGAGCAAGTAGCTACTCGAAATCCCCCCATTCTATAGAAGGTATTTTTTCATTCTGAAAGCGCTGAAAATTTCCTTTACATCCCATTCCATCCTGATTTTTACCATCTTGGTAAATGTTGCCCAAAAATGAGCATTTTCACCCAACTACGCCTTCTTATTAAAAAAAGTTATAATTCCTAATTTAGATCAAGTAGCAGCTTGAAATTTTCACGGTGTATAGAAAACAATTCAAACAGATTTCTAAAATTCCACGAAAAACAAATTAAACTCCCATTTTTGCTCACTTTGTAGAACTATCTTAAAACCTGGTACTTCCATTATTCTCACTTTTCAATGCGAAAAGCAAAAAATTCCATAATATTATGAAGCTATGGGCCAGACAACTATGTTTTTTTTAACACAAATTCGAACATTTGCAGGGTGATTTAATATTGGAAGTGCCTCAACTTATTGAAGCTATCACAATGATTATCGACGTGACCAAAGACTCTTCACTTCTGACGATTCTGGATACGACAACGTGAGGCTTTTAATTAAATATTAAATGCACCAACTAAATAAAATTAATTTGTTTATGTTTCAGGATTGAGCACCACATGAATGGTAAAAACGGTACCATCGAAATCCAGCTTGGATTGCCTGAGCGAATTCACAAAGATAAAAGTGGCCATCTACTTATAGTAAGTGGCAGAAGAAAGTTTTGGTTTATAGCAGCGGGTTAAAACAATTAAATTTTAGGTGTCAGCCCCTTAATTCTTGGTCAGAGCAAGTAGTTTATCATCGTAATAACCAACTTCTGGAGCTGCTACTTAATTTAATTGCCAAAACTAATACATGAGCAACCACTTCTAATCAAATGATTTTTCATAAATTTCCTGCCTAATGAGCTTTGCGATAGAAATATAAATTATTCTTTGATATTAACAGGAGAATTATAAATTTGAAACATATTTATATAAATAAATAAATGTTGATCAAAAATCAATTAACTATTTTATCATGAAAAATATGTTTACAATGGAGACATCATTTAATTTTAAATTTTGTCTTGCGTTTATTGTTGTCTATTTGTTGTTAACTTAGTACCTATAAAATAAACAATTTTATTTTGGCCTATTTATTTGTACCTTACTGTATTGGCATAAAGTCCCTGATGTTGTCCACACGCTGAAACTTTCTCGATTCCAAGAAAAGTTTGCAGAGTTAGCTAAAAAACATGGAAAAACTTGAAAAGATGTAACATATTGTAACATGTAAATTATATTGAATCTTGAATTAGGATCGGCCATTTCAGTACTAGACTTTATCCTACCATTAGAAACTCGAAATCCCCAATTTCGAGTAAAAAAGGAAAGTTGCACCCATAAAAAGTAAATTTCTATCATTAAAATTAAAAGATAAAAAACCGGCTAAATTTTATTTATTTTAGTTTATATGAGCATTTAATTTATTTAAAGATAAATAGTAACATTTCGGAATGGTTAACGTTAACCGATGATTATGTATCAATTGTAATAACTGCTATAAATATGTTCAATCTATTATTGATAACTTTTGCTTTATAACGATGACAAACCTCCTCCAAAAACCATTATTAAATAGTCATTTTGTTTATCATAACTTTATTTTAGTTTTTTACTGAACTGAACTTACTGAACTGAACCTAATAAGGAATATTTATAGTTTCAGTGTAAAAAATACCAATATATATCTATGCAATTGCTTTGTCTGTATTCCTTTATCCCATAGCCCTAAAAAGTCTAAAAGAAAATTGAAAAAGGCGCCAAATTGAAAGCTTGGCCGCTCAGGCCGCAAGAGCGCTGCAAATGAGTAGTATGTGACATAGATAAAGACAAGTGACCTAACCTAACTTTAATGTTGTTATGTTTGAATTTAGCAAACTTTTACATTCTTTTAAATAAACCCAATCTAAAATGGTGATAGCGCTGGGTTTTGAGGGCAGTGCCAATAAGTTAGGGGTGGGAATAATCAAGGATGGGGTAGTACTATCAAATCCACGGAAAACCTTTATAACACCACCCGGTGAGGGATTTATGCCCAAAGAGACCGCTCAACATCACAGAGAGAACGTATTGGAAGTTCTCAAATTGGCCCTGGACCAAGCTAAAGTAAGTTCTATTATTCCACCTGCCGAAATAATGCAGTAGGCATTGTTAGATATCAACAGCAGATATTGATGTAGTGTGCTACACTAAGGGGCCGGGAATGGGGGCCCCCTTGGCTACAGTTGCCATTGTGGCTCGAACAGTCGCCCAACTTTGGAACAAACCCTTGCTAGGGGTGAATCACTGCATTGGACGTATCCTTGCATCTTTATTAATTTTTCTCAACATTGTTCTGAGATGAAGTAGTTCTTAACATTTAGTCAGACATTGAAATGGGCAGACTGATAACAGGAGCAAAGAACCCCACTGTTTTATATGTAAGTGGTGGAAACACCCAAATAATTGCATACGCCAGAAAAAGGTATAGGATTTTTGGTGAAACCATAGACATAGCGATTGGAAATTGCCTGGATAGATTTGCGAGAGTTTTGAAAATTTCCAATGATCCCAGTCCTGGATATAACATAGAACAACTTTCAAAGAAGGGGTCGAAATACGTCCCCTTGCCCTACTGCGTTAAAGGCATGGATGTCAGCTTCTCAGGTAAAATTACTGCTTCACCAATTGCAGTTTGAAGCCATTTAAATAATGTTGTTTTCCAGGTATTCTTAGCTATCTGGAAGAGAGAACTGACCACTTACTAAAGCAAGGATTCAGTCCAGAGGACATGTGCTTTTCCCTTCAAGAAACAATATTTGCCATGCTGGTGGAGACAACTGAAAGAGCTTTGGCCCATTGCAATTCCAGTGAAGTTTTAATTGGTAAGTACTTCAAAAATTTATTTGGGCATTTTGTCTTCAAAAAAAAAACTGAGGGATTTTTTGAAAACAGACGTAGGATAGGGCATTATGATGGATCATTGGTAATTTTTCTAGTTGGTGGTGTGGGCTGCAATTTGCGCCTGCAGGAAATGATGGGCGATATGTGTAAAGAAAGGGGGGCAAAATTATTTGCAACAGACGAGCGATTTTGCATAGATAATGGGGTCATGATAGCTCATGCAGGATATGAAATGTTTAAATCAGGGGTGAGAATGGAATGGAAGGATTCCTTTGTGACCCAAAGATTTAGAACAGATGAGGTTGAAACTACCTGGAGAGACGATTGATTATTATATCTTTATTTTACAAAATAAGCATTATGCAATCATTAAAGATACACTTAGTCAGCTATTTTGATTATGCACCTGAACTATCCAACATCCTGTATGCTTATCAATATCGTTGTTATTCAAATTAACACAAAAGTTAGTTATGGTAGTACGATTTTCTCTGACCTGTTCCCCTGAATATTTTCGGCAACTTTCTGTATGGGCTCGCAGCTTGGTTCGTTTCGCTATTGTTGTCCAGTAAATCATCTGATATTTCTATGTTTTCACTCGAAGAATCGCTAGGTTTTTGTAAAGGTTTCGAAAAGTTGTGGTTTTCTAAAAAGACACCAAAACCGTTAGGGAATGTTTGCGGTTGAAAGCAAAATTCCGTTCACCTGTTTTGATTTTTTGGATAACAGGATTTGAATTAAAATTTTGCCGATTAAGAGTTGGGTCATTGAAAAAGTCGCGCTCAAACTGCAAATATGCGTTCTTCAATAAGTCGTCCGGCTTTATATCAATGTTAATATCAGTTGAGGAAACGTCCATTTCTGTTGGAAAAGAATGCCCCACATTTTCGCCTGCAGCATTTCTAGGCTTAGCCACGCAGTTATCCAGTGAGTTGCTTGGATTTGCCAGTTTTAGTTGAGTACTCTCAAACACCATAACATTAGTTTTATTATTGGCTGTTTTTGTGTCTTTTGCCTGTAAAATGATAACTTGATTACGTTATTTTAACATTAAAAACAGGCCCAATAATGTTAGATCTGTACGTAAGTTCTTACCGCCTGCGCCTTCAAATTATCCAGCTTCCTCCAGAGCTCGTTACATTTACTTTGCTCATTAAAATATTCAGCGTTTCTCTCCGTTATTTGCCGCTGTAAATTATTTTTTATGTCGTTCAACTTTGCTCTTCTTGTGGCTGATTCCACAGTGATTTGATTTCTAATCTCTTGCTCTAAAATCGATTAAATCGCTTTAAAAAGCTTATTTGTTTTTTCTATTTCAGTTGCATAATAAAAGCAGTTTTGAAAATCATTACTCGGTTAATTTAGTCAAAAACCCCTACCAATTGTGGAACATTTAACGTTCAAAACGACCATTTCTTGCAATGCTTTTGCAGTTTCATTTGCATAGTAAGCTTTAATCTTCTTTTCTTTCTCCGCTTGCTCAATTTTCATCATTTCAGTGTCTCCTATTGCTTTAATGATTAAGTTATCTATCTTATCTCGCAGTTCTTCTAATCGCTTTTCGTTCTGTTGGACTTGATCTAAATAATAATTGGATGCAACTGCCTAATTGGGGCTGTTTGTTATGGAATCGTTACCTTTAAGCTCTAATGAGCGACTTTCTAATAAAGAGGGTTTAAGATTTGCATGTAGGTTTTGAATGGATCGTATTGATTTCTCGTCGACTTCTTCAATTTGCATCTCTTGTTGCAACAGATTGGTGTATTCATTCGATATAGATTTTTTTCGGCGGTTTTGAATAGATCGCTGGAAAATTCTTCAATTACTGAACGATAAATCTTATGAAACCCGACCGGCTTCTTCGATAAAATGGTCAGATAAACAGGGTGTTTGAGAGTAAATAAGGGGGCAATTTTTTGTCGCAAGGTCTTTTAACTTGCTAAATAATCGATGTAGTAGAATTTTTTTTCGTTATATCCTAAACCCGAATACAACTTTTGGCACGCTGTATAAGTAAAGGCAAGTTTTGCGTATTCGATTAGGTTTTCCAGAAATGTTAAAAATTTAAATTTTTACACACAGCATTGATGGTTTATGGTTTAGATTACTTACTTCTATAAGTTTCTCCATGTTCTCAAGTTGTTTCATTGTCTTTTCTTGCGATGTCATTATATCAATTATGTAAGTGCTTAGGCAGGGAGACGATTGAAGTTATTATTTTGATCAAACCAATAAATTTTCGATCAAATTCGTGATATCGCTGTTAGGCTGAGGTTAAGAGTTGACTTTTATGACTTGTCCGTTGTTTAGCGGTTGTCATAACTACCAGATTTTGTTTCGTGGGATTAATCACGCAAGCGTCACTTATGACTTGGTTCCAATTGGACTAAAAATGACAGGAAGTTCATCAAGATGACATAATCTTTATAGTGTAGGTAGTTCACAAGAGAGCAAACAGTGTTATGGTTTTTTAATTTTGAGGAAATTAGTGATAATAACGTCAATTTAGGTAAGTGAAATATGTGTTGCTAATCCAAGCTAACATGTTAGTTGGCTCATCGTCTTGCTGCAAGCAAGTATTGACCGAAATCAGTGAATTTATCCTTTCTACCGTCCGTTTGAAGCCGAGTTTGAAAAAATTACTATTTATGAGCTTACCGGAAATAAAAGTCAATAGAATGTTAAGTTTTTATTCACTTCAATCTATAAAATTAATACGTACTGTTCTAGAACTAGAATTATATTTGAAATATGTACATCTAAATCTATCTTGCTTGCTGCCTGTCGAGTGTTATAAAAAGTTTGGTCTTTATCCGCCAATACTTTTTCTAAATCTCAGTTTTGTTATTAGCATTAAAACATTAACTTGGCCCCCGCTAGTAAATAAATAATTTATACAAAAATTATGGTCTAGGCACCTACAGAAGGTCGCGATGTATAAATAAAATCGTGATCATAAACGGTGAATTCGTTGAATATTCAGCTAACAAAGTTCTTGATACTGATACTGAATACTGTGCGCACCCACATTATAATCCCCAGAAACGCGGTCCTGGTAGGTCGGTGTAGAGATCGAAATTTACTGGATGTCAATCAAAATTCCTTTTAACAACAAAAACGTTACTGAAATGACTAGGAAATAAATTAGCTCAGACACTAAGACTCCTTCAAGGCACCTTCACCGTTAGATTGCTTTGTTCCAGCATGGTCTTGTTGAAGAATCGTTCGTTTTGAGCGCTGATTTCTTCTATTCGTATCTTCAGTTCTTCAATTTCTGACGCTAACTTGTTAATCACCTGGCCTTGGGTAATGGGGTCGAAAATCGTTGTGGAAATATTCACTTTGGGGTCCACCACTTCTGGAGTTACGTTATACGATGGTGCGGACTTATGTAACGTGATTGCTATCGGTTGATCGTTGAGGGTTTGCTGGATTACTTCTGCTTGCCGTCCTAAATAGGCAAAAAATATGTATTTCTCTAAACTGTTTTTGAAAATTTTCGTGTACCTTCATAGTTGTCGACATGTTGGTTTTGAAACTGATCAGCCCTTTTTTGGTCTGCCGGAGAGTCCCTTAGAACCGGGTATGGTTTGGTTTCTATTTGATTGGGTGTTTCCAGGCGTTCGGTTTTTGTAAGAATTAAGGAGGAATCGTAGGCAGACTTTGCATAGAGTGGTGGTATCACTGGAACACTTGGTACAGTTGGATCTGGTAGAAAACCTGCAATTTTCAGCATTAATCACTAGCTGTTAGTGTGATTTTTTGAATCAAACTATTTACCGAGATATGCGTTAGCTTTGGCAGTAGTCGGTTGTTCGTTAAGGGGTGGACAATAGGAAACCCCCGTGACTTTAGTGTGGTATGTTTCCATCTCCGCTGTAATTTCAGGAAGCGCAGCGTCACACAGAATCGGATTATCTAAACGAAGCAAACTATTAAAAATCGCCAGTTAAAAACGTGGAGTTTTCACCTGTTAGAACCACCTTCAGAGTACCCCATGTGCCATCATGGACCCCATGCTCAATTTTGCATCTAGTTTTCGTCACTAGTTCTCGTCCTATCGCGGAAATCTGGTTGCTGGATAGATCAGCATCACATAGAACGGGAAGCCCATGAAAATCTCGATCCAATATTGTGAGATGGTTATGAGTGGCGTTCAGTTCCACCAGCCTGGGCAAATACGTCTAAAACATTCCTAATTTTCCTTCTTGTTTGGAATCTGGACAGTTAACTCTACCTGACTCATTTCCTCCAGAGTTTTCAGCTGGTTATGCGAAATATCCAGCAATCTCAGCTGGTCCAAGTTGATGAAATCATCGGGCGAAATCCTCTTCAGCTTGTTGTAAGCGAGTTTTAAGCGCAGCAGTTCAGAAAGCCCGCTCAGGGCTGCGTTTAACACCTCCAACGAATTGTGCTCTAAATTTAGGTCGGTTAGCCGGATGTTTGGTTCAACTAGATTCTGAAATTTCCTCCAATAAAACCGCAAAATAAACCAATCACTAATCAACCACTTACCGATGCTGGTCCTACCAACTTGGAGATCTGGTTATACGAGAGATCCAGCGTGATAAGCCTTTCCAAGCCCACGATTTCGCTGAACGAAAACTCAGTTAGCTGGTTGTATTCCATTTTCAAGTTGGTCAGGCGTTTTAGGGGAATGAGCGAGTTGTTTAAACTGGTTATTTGATTGTTGGCTAATTCCAGAGTATCCAGAAGCTCGCATTGAAGAAAGTCATTTGCTGTTAACTAAACAAAATGTGTATTAGGGACGCTTTCATCACTCAAATGGTTGGTTGAAACTGAATGAACGGTTGAAGAGTGGAGTTGAAATCCGTAAATAATGGTTTTATTGGTTGATTCTTACTGTGTGTATTAGATTCGACTTCAGTTCCAGTCGTTGCAACTCCCTGCACCCTGCTAAGGCGCCATCAAGAGAAGTGATCTCATTTTGACTTAAAAACAGGTTCTCTAGTCTTGGATAGTCCGATAATTGATGCGGGATGCTCTTCAGTCTATTAGCATCAGAAGCCGACAATAATTTAGTTTACTCGCTATTATAGTGCGATTGATTTTTACCTGTTTTGCGACGCATGGATCATGTTGAGGTTTGGAGCCTCGTACGGCAGTTGCCCTTCCAGGTCCTCAAATTCGTTAGTATTGAGGAATATCCATCGCAGATTTCGCAAGCCTGCAAGTACAGACTGAATGCATTCTTTACAGTTGTCGTATGCGGATCTTACCTGTTATGGTGTTATTTAGATTGTAGATTTTATTGCGGCCTAGGTGCAATCGCTCTATTTGCGCAGGAATTGAGTTCTTATCGATTCTAGCTATCAGATTGCCCGACAGTACCAGATTTCTCAAGTTTTGTAAATCCTATAAAATGACATTGGCTTTTTAATTAAGCGCTGTATAAATAAGTTGAAACAATTACCTCAAAGCTGTCCGTCAAAATATCCTTGATTTTAGCCCTTCCTAAATCAGCGGTTTGTATATTTGGCATGTATTTCCATAAATGTCCAGGTACTGCGTCTATTGCGGTATCAGCAAAACTCACATAAGTCACTTTGGTCATTCCCAAAAATGCGTTATCTGCTAGAAATCTGAAATGTGATTTTTTCAAGATTTAGATAAGAAATTTTCGTGTTTCGGATACTTTTCACAAGGAATTTTATTTTGTACTTTTTACGTTTATAAAAAGAAAACACGTTTTTTCTCTTTCATTTTTCTCTCCGCGCGTTCGTTTCCAAGATACAGGGTATCAAAAATGTAAATAACTTATTTCCCAATATGTTAGTTGAACGGCAAAAATGAGCTTTTCTACACATTACCACTATTAGTAGCTGTTGTTTAGGTATCCTATGGTGTTTTTCCCTAACTTACATCAGTGAAAAAAACTAGCGTTTTCATAACAGATGCTGAAGCGCCAATGAAATGTACACAAACAGTTCTGTTTGTTTGCTGCTCTAACGTTTTCTTTAAGTAAACTGTTTTCGAGAAAAATTGCATTTTCTGAACGTAAACAAACATTTTGCTTACGATACCTTCCAATTTCCACCACTGGCACATTTAATAAATCCGAATAGGGTGAGAAGAAGTGGCAAAAAAATAAAAATAAATTAACTTTTTGATCCTTATATTTCAAAAACGAAAGCGCGGGGAGAAAATTAAAGAGAGCAAAACTTTTTAACTTTCATCTGGAGAAATCTACAGTTTTCCGTTGCGAAACTTACTTAAAATCACCATAACCGTAATTGCATCAAATCACCGTAATTGCATCAAAAAGTGTTTATTAAACATTCAGTTCGTCAAAGATATGCGATTTAGTAGGTACATTGAGCGGTTGTTAAAATATTTTCTTATGTACTAATTTTTAATAAATTTTTTATTATACAGGAAAAAAATAGAAATCCGCTTTATTATAATTTTTTTCTAAAATAACGACTTATTCAAGTTTTCTATCGATATTCTAATTTTATTTCTGCTTTACATATGATGCTGGGTTCTATATATTTTTTTGTTTGATACGATCTCCATATAAATGCGTAGAACTTCAAATAAAACAATTTAAATTGGAAAAATTACCAGAGCAGAGTCATGAAGAAGCACAATTTTTGGCAGAAACAGGCAGAAAACAGTAAATAAAATTGGACAGGAAAATCTGGGCCTTAAAATACATACGCTTGATGTATGATGTTAAACTTTTGATGTTTAATGCACATTCCGTGCATATTTAGCATTAATCTAGGTTTAGTTTCTAGATATTTGGAATTGTCCCCTTTAAAAGCAGGCATTATTGAATTTATTTGTTCGGTTTTAGTAACCGTAAAGTAAAGGTTTAGTAAAATTTTAGTTATATTGAGTTTCAAGTAGGTAGGTACTCAAAAATAATTTTAAAATGCGAATTTTTACCAAACTTCTACTTTTAATATTATAATTTATTCAGTTTTTTGCTTTGGGGTGCAAGTTTGGACTCTAAGCAACTCATTCAAAAGGTTTCTTATTGTTCATGGAGCATAATTTATTTCTATTTATAAAATGTTACCCATCTAGTTTTTTAAATATTTGCTTTATCGCCCCAAACAATTTTGCCAAGAAAAAGCAAACATTTCAAGCGTCCGCCTTAGTTTTAGCCCAAAAAAATTCGCTAATTTCAACCCGTTTTAGAAAATTTATGATTTCTGGCTCAAGAGTATAACTCTTGAGCTGAATGATGAATCTGAACCAAATGATATGCGAAAAAAGTCGCTAAATGTTTTTAAATAATGTAGAAAGGAAACAGCACAGAAAGGAAGAAAAGTGACAAAACTCCTATTTTACATTTTCCCTAATTTAAAGTATCTGAAGCAAAAAGCCGAACTTGCAGGCATCTGCATGAGTTTAAACCTCAATATCGTACATAGGTTTAAACCCGTTTTGGAAAATCTGAAGTTCCAACTACTGAATCTGAGCGAAATAATTGCGCTTCTTCAATATTCGACAAATACTTTCAACTTATTTCCAAAATTATCTTCTTAACTTCCAAAATTATCAAACACACAGATGAAGATGAACTTCAGCATCAAACAGAAAGGGGGTAAAAAACTGTAATCGTTTATATTTTGTCTTCTAAAGTAGCTGAATAACTGTGTGGTGTGTAGATTGATTATAGAATCACATTTGGCTTCAAAAGTTGTGGATACGTATCACTTTCAGAAGAAGCTGAACATTATACATTAATTATGAAAATGTGAGGAACCAAGTGAAAAATCCGAAAAAAAATTGCATAGCCCGACTGCTACTCACTCTAACTAGTATTTCAACACCGTATAGAAAATTTATAAATAAGCTTCTGGTTCATTTCTAACCCTGTAGGCCTTAGAAATAGGGGTACGTTGCATAAATTAAACGTGAAATTATGTGCACAATTTAAAAATAAAATAAAAACATGGTTATCGATATATAATCTGATAATTGTGTATCAATTGTGTTGACGAAGAGTGACAAAGGCAACATGTATCGGTCACTTGGTAATTGTAATTCTACCCAGAATAGTACGGTTTTTTTTTCGTATAATTACGGTTTACGGTACATGTATACCGAGTAATTGGTCATTGAGTGTGCATTTCACGCCAGTCGGCGTAATGAAGTATCAAAAGGCAGTAAACAAGAGTTGAGTGCACAGCAAACCGCAATAAGCGCGATTTCTCCTATAGTGGCGCCTACAAGAGTGGCGCCTCTTTTGCCGACTTCCGACACGGGGACGGATGCAGCTGGTTCTCTCGCGTGCCCAAAATCAGAGTCGCATCAAAGTACCATTTTCATTTTTTGCCATCAATTTATTTGTTTTCCACACATATTTTGCCAAGAAACGCCCGTCTAATTTTAACAGCATATTGAGTGTTCCCGATGAATAATTATTAGAAAATTTAAATGTTTTTCCAAAAATCACGTTTACATTACTTTAGGTATTCGAAAAGCCATTAGATTTACATTGTTATGTAATCCTGAATACGAAATTATTAACCCATATCGTGGCTTTTACTGGAGAAAACACCAGTCATATAGTGAACTACAATTAATTATCGTTTTACTTATAATAATTATTGTTAATAACATCTGCTCGTTATAATTTAATATTGCTTTTGATATTATGATGCCGTAAACCTAGGCGCCAAGTTGATGGACATTTTATTGCCACTGAAATGATAAATTAATTTTTGAGTGTCTTCACATAACTCGCGTCAAATTAATTATTAATGATTTTTATAGTTGCTCGCATAAACTCGCTACGGACATTCGGTAAATGCCGTCTAGTGATAGCAGAAGGTGTTCAAATGACTTTTCAGATAGATAATTAAAATAATTTCTAATAAGAGAGTTAATCGAAAAGTCCTCATTAATCTCATTAGATTAATTAGCGGTTTCAAGCAAAAGATAGACGTTGGAGTCGTCGCGTGCTCAGACGCAAGACAACAGTCGAGGAGACATCGTTTACAGTTGGAAGAAAAATGACTAAGAATTAAGAGAATGCTGTTAATGGCAGGCTGTGTGATATTCTGATATTTGTCTTCGGTTTTCGATTAGCCAGCAACCTTTAGACACATATTACATATAATCTAGTAGTAAATAAGTCAGAGGAATTTACCCTACGAAATCGTGATTGAGCTTTATGCTTTCGATGGTGCCATTTATCTCTCGAAATTGTCGATATTGTAGATCATGCAAGTTGGACCATTCCAATCGCAGATTTATTCTTTCGTGTGGGCTAAATCGACCCCGCAAAACTTCAATTACCTGAAACAATTGATCAAATATTAAAGAAATAAAAAAAACAAATGTTGGTTTTAAGGAAATAATTTAAAACGATATGGAATCGTTTGCATTCCAAAAGACCGCCTCCATTTACTGATAAGTGAAGATTGTTTATTACTGACGAGTTATTAGGCGATTTGTTGAGTAAAAATTACATCCGCCTACTGGCTCGCAAATGTTTCATTTTGAATTATCGCCGTCAAATTGTTTACAAAATGGAATTGCGTAAACCAAAAGAAAATGGTTCATAACGGGGAATTCGCCACAAGAAGTTTCGCAAACACACTCGCTAAATGTAAGTAGGTTCAGATGGCGAAATGTGTCGATCTCAGGCACCCCCAAGACCGGACTAATGGGCTCGAAATATCGATATCTGTGGCTACTTTATGATGCCGAAAGTTTTACTGTTGAATTGAATGTTAATGTTACTTACTTGACCAAAAGACGGCATCTGTTTGCAAGTGATACTGGTCGTTCTGGGATGAGAAACACTCACTGGACATTCACATGGGAGGATCTCTCTCCAAACGTGACATTTAATCGCTCCCGAAGCTCCTATAGCTGTTACCATCAGAGTCAGAGACAATCGCATTACTGCTTTATTCATCTTAATTGAGAAGCTAAAACACCCATAAAAGTTTACAATTTAATTTCATTTGCCTAAAAAATAATTTAACTTTTTCAAATGATGGAAATTAAAAATAACAGTTTTTAGTCCATATTTGGATTAACAACGATTATAACTTTGTACTTTTATCAATCAAAAATAAGCGCTTCTCAAAATCAAAAACAGTAGCTACGTGGGGATGTTTAAAGTATTTTTTTCTTGGAATACTTTATATTATTTTAGATTGATATTTTCTAATTAGCCACGATAATCTTTCGGAAGCAGCAATAAACCTTTCTTCGAATTAGAAGTTATTTGTGTCAATTTGCTCAARTTTGTTCCTAAAAGATCAGCACGAATTTCTTCCTTATACGAGATAAATGAGAAATTMCTCGTAACGGCAGCAATGACAATTTTTATATTAAAAATAGTTYGTTCTTTGTTGACTTTCTGCATATTTTCATATAATTCATTTACTTGTCATTTCAAATCCCCATATGAGGAGCATTAAGCTGTTTCATTATATGATTCTTAGAAGAAACCACATAAGAATATACAGAAAATAACGACAAAAGCGTACGTATTTAATTTAATAAATTGGTTTTAAGGAGCTCAAAACGCGCTTATTGCTTCCCGAAAAAAGCAGGAAATTTTATTATCGAAATATACATAGAAACATTTGTATTTTGTAAATTCCTCTCTAATTAAAAAAATTTGTTAAATCGGCAAGAAAGCAAAATATAACTATTTTCAATGTCTTCAATTTTTTCTTCTAAAGCCCCGTTTCTTCTTAAACTTCTTGACTTCTATATATTGGCGCCTAAAATCAATTATTATTATTATTATTAATAGTAGTAGCCAAGAAAATTGTTCATTTATCATCACTCGTAACGTAGACAATAAATTTTCGTTTTCATTGCGCCATTTTTGGCGGCATTCGGTTACCTACGCATACTTAGACCTACCTATTAAAAAGTGGAAAAACTCACTAGTTTCAGGCAACGGATATTCATAAAACTTAGAAATGTTCTTTGCGTATGGGTTTAAGGAACATTTTTTGGCTTTTTTTACTCAATTTATTAAGAGAATAAACTTATATTTTGCGATCTTTAATATTCGTAAAATGACTGTAAAAATTATTGTCTCTGTCTCAGTTGCTTTAGGAAATTTTCCTACAATATGAATGTAATTATTTCAATGCAAAATTGTACATTTGACAAGAAAAACGAGATTAAAATATACATTTTATCGCTGAATTATGCATCCTTTCTACACTGCATACTAATATTCACATGAAGAAAGAAATCAGTAAAATACTTAATAGCAATAATATTAATTATAATCACTCTAATACAGTAATTCGATAATACAGAACTTTGAAAAACATAATGGACCAAATCGTTCAAAAGCACATCGTTTTTAAGACCCAGAATCTATTTTTTAAGAGAAATAAAGCATTATTGTTCTTGTTTCGATACGTTTTGTATGTATTGCCTCTGATAGAACGAACAGATTAGCAACATTTCAGGCGCATCGAGAAAGTTATATGGAAGCAACAAATTTATAATAATTTTAAAGAAAAAAATTTAATTAATAAAATTCTCACCTCACAATTTTAAAGAAAACATTTTTAATTAATTAGTTAAAATGCTATTTGGAAACGAGGGAACAAGTTTATTGGTGAAGTTAAAAATGGCCTGCCAGAAATCCAGACTTAGATCCACTGGACTCATTTTTGCCGCGGATTTTTCAAGCTAATCCCGAATTTTATATTAAAGATAAGGAAATGTATGGAAAGATAAGGAATATCGAAGCTTAACCATAGCTCTTTTTTAACGCCTCACTTTTTCCTACCAAATTCCCCGCTGTGTACTTACCTACATCAATTTCACTAATTTCGTGTTTATATTACAAGTCGATTTTTTGGTATTTTAGAAATATTTCCCCACTGTTTCCAGTTTTCCAAGTTGGTCGATAAGATTTTTCAGCTGAAGTAATGATTTGTATTTCTATTTCGCCTTTGAAAAATTATGAGGATTTTCTATAATAACTTTTTAACGCATTTAATTCAATTCATTCTCAATCTGCTTTAACGTTGCTGCTTCGATGTACTTCACAAAATCCAAAAAATCACTTTTTAAAGACCTTAAATATTTATTTCTTTCTGCTTTTTTTTAAGTTCCAGCTTTTTAAGGAAAAAATCAGTTGAATTGTGACAAGACTATTTCATTCTTTATCGTGTGTTTGCGGATTTTTAATTCAAAAACTGTTGTATTTTAAATAGCAATTCTGTCTCAATTAAATATAAGCGTTAAAATCTATGTTTTGGGAATGTTTGCTTTAAAATAGAGGGTGAGCGAGAGGAAGCATTTAGATGCTTTTAGATGAAAAAAGTGTAAAATCTCCCACTAAAACTACCCTTTCGCTTAAGTTCAATAACAATTCTATATACCTAAACCCAAAAAATGTTTAGTTTTACCGCTGATTGATAATAACACGGTGAGAAATTGGGTTTAATAAAAAAACATACAAAATATTAAATTATTTTTTATTGAGCATTTATGAAGATAAAATTTAAAAAAATTATTAAAATGAAAAAGTGTTTTTTGGTTGGTTGTGTCACAAGGCAGCACAAAAACAGAATAAAACAAAAAACACCAAAAACTTTCCGCATTTATGACTGAGCATTTAGTCAACAAAACTTTTTCAATTAAAATGATGGAAAAAACACCCCGTATATTGAGAAACAAATGGCATTTGTCACAGTTATTGTGTCCTAAGTAGTTTCACTTTTGAGCAATTTATGAAAATTACCCTTAAAAGTATTTTGTTGTGAGAAATAAATAGGAGACACACCATATATGTCCACCGGGAAGGAAAACGCTAAACTAACGTTAGCTGGTAAGTTTTTTGGGCTTTTAGGCCGTTATGTAAAAATATGTTTTTCTGACGTTTTGCAAGTACGAGTGGCTTGCATCTTCAGAGGTGGTTTGCTCAGCTCAGCAATTATTTTCCACAACAGTCTAAAAGCCAAAAAAACTCATCAGTTTTCAGCGATTACCGCGAAAGCCTGTCTTTTTATCGAGATCATCAGATAAATCATTGAAGATATAATGGTTTTAGTGTTTAATAACATCAGCTAGGTTTGGGTGCGTTGATGCCGAAAAATTGTATGCAATTTAACGCACTTCAAGCACATAAGAAATATATATGAAAAGCAATTTTCAGTAACTAAAGCGCTTCTCAGAGATAAGTAGGCAAAAAGAACGCGTGGAATACTTGGAACTTTTTAAAATTTGTCCAATTTAGAGCAGTTGATAATTGTTTAATAGCCATAATTTGCAAACTGAAAGGAACAACCAATTTTCTTAAATGGACTTAAATACTGCTCAAGCAATGTGCAGGATGCGGAGCGCAAAAAACATTTTTCCAATAGACTTGATGAGGAAAGCAATGATGATTTGGGATTGGTTGCCAAGTTGAAACAATCGGGTCCAGGCGAATAAACAAACTTACATCAAAATGAAAAAGTAAATTGTCTCCACAACAATCACAAAGTTTCACTGGACACAAAGTGTCGCTGCAGTTCATGCTACCAGAAGAGACTTTTGTTTACTTGTCGCGTGTGTTTTATTATTTTTTTCTTTTGCGCCTCCTCGGTGCTTCGCGGCCCAATCTATCGAGCACTGGTCCACTACTAACCGGCTTCTCCGTTTGACAACTCCATGAAATAACTTTGCCATCGGCGAGGACCCGAGAACATTCTTATCTTGCAGCACCCCGGCGCCTGCTGTTGCGGAAATAGCGGGAAGATTAGGCGCCACTGAAACAGATACAGTAGCATTACTTGCATGTACATTGGTCGCATCTTAAGAAGTCATCTGAAAATACCTCGAGGAGCTTAAAACTGCCAAAGATTAAAGTTGAAGATTCAGCTCACACGGATGCTCCCAGTTCGAAGAGCCTGCTCATCAACCTCCATAGAAGAATTGATTTTGACCAACAACTCCTACTCAGTTGCTTTCAATTGCCGCAATGTGGAGGAATGCAGGTACAAACCAGAACGTTTTTAGCCTTAGAAGTCAACATGCTCACCAAATTTTGGTCAATGCTTCATCGAGCTTCAAGCATTTTATGCAAAAACATCAAAAATTCGACTTTGTTGCATATTAAGGATTTCAAAAGGAGAAAGTCTGTAATGCCGTTTTCTACTTCAGTTGTTCCATTGTCGATTTCCTCTTTATATACGCCATTATCAGATTGAGTTATTTTAACTGTTAACCCAACAGCTTTCAAAAGATTTTTATCTCAAATTTTAAATTATAGCTAACTTATTACGGTATGCGTCCTTAAATATGGCAAAGGCTTGCGTTAATCTACAGGGTGTGCTTTTTCCTGGGTTTAAGGGCGCTTCCACCCGCCCAGTCAGTTCTGACGCACGCCTGGTATTTTATCCATAATCATTTAATTTTGCATTCAGTTTTAAAAATTGTTTGTCTTTTTTATTGTTCTTGTATCTGTTGTCCCCGTTCTCGAGTTAATTGATGGTGATGTGCACTATGATTGGGACACAATAATGTGAACACCCCTGACGAGGATCAGAAACAAACAAATAAATATTACAAAAAGAAACTGCAAAAATACAAATAAACACAGTTCAAATTAAATAGAACGAAAATAAAATTTACGTCGTAAGCGATCCGGGTAGCAGGTCTAAGTTACGCAAGCTACATTCAGGTCACCCTGTATAACCCGATTGGAAATTATTAGAAAATTCTCAAAATTTTCGATGATTTGAGCGAAATTTGGTTTAGATCATATTTACAATACTACTGACTGGTGAGTTTTTGGGGCTTTTGGGGCACAAGTGGTTTACATCTTCAGAGGTGGTTGCTGCTTTGAGCGAAAAAATACGGTTTTATTTATCCAATTATCTAGATATTAAATAGATTTTTTTCCGTTTTCTGTTAGTACTAATTTTTTTAGCTTTCAGAAAYAATCTGTTTTATTGTGTGCCTAATTAAGCGCTCATTTTGCGAGCGGTAAAACACTGTTTTGTGTATTTGTATTATTTATTTAAAGCAATTTTATATTATTAACGAGGCTCTTGTTCATGTGCAAACTAAAAATGTCGCTCAATTTTTGTTTTTTTTCCTACAAAACTTCTATTTTCATTGCAATTGCAAGTGCAATTTACGAAAGTTTTCATGGAATCACCCTGTTTATATCGCCTCTCGGCTGCTTCCTAAGAAGTTGGTTGATTTTTAGAATCAAGATATTTTGTGATATTGTGATGTATATCTTTTGTAAATAAAGGAAGTAAGATTAGTTTAAACAAATTCAGGAACCAAAAATTGTCTTATTTGTGCGTCATTTGTCCTTTACAATCTAATGCAGATTTAAATGAAAAATCACACGAGCAGACGTTTTTGCAAAATGTACAATTTCAACACCCTGTATGACTTGTATAATCAGCAAACGGACGATTAAGATAAACTGTTTCGTTCAGTGGACGAAAGTTAATATTTTTCCATAGTTTCTGTCTGTTTTGGATTTTTCATCGATCTTTTCAAGTTTGCACTTTTCCTATTAATTAGCGTTATATATATTTAAATGTTCATTTGCCTTCTTTTATGGTTTAACTGCGTGTTTAGCGCTGTTTCCTATACTACGAAAATTAATTTGAAGCGATTTTTTAAATCGCGATTATTGCAGATAAGCTGGGTTTAGTACTAAACTTTGAAGCGACATTTTTAATATATTTACTTCACACACTTACAAAACTTCAATGTTAAAAGTCTAATTTTGCTTGAATTAATTTTTAATTGCTTACCTAAAAAGTCCGCTGCAATTTAAACTTGCGTTGGGAAAGGCCTAAAAAAAATATTAAAAGTCAGTTTTATGCATAATTCTCAGAAATCGGAAACAGAAAAAATCTTCTATTAATTGTACAAAGTTTCTACACAGAACCCGCTCAGAGAAAGCGCGTATAGAAATGTTAAAACTCAGGTTTTTGCTAAAGTATCGGAAATTCGGGAAATTGGAAACAAAAAAGTCTCCCATTATTTGTAGAGCGCAACTTGTTCTTTGTTTGGCCATATTGTTTATTGTTTTTCGTTATATTGGAGATTCAATCACGTTTTTCGTGCTTTTAGGCCGTCGTGAAAAATAACATCTTCCTGTGTCTCGCCGAAGAAACTAACTCTGAAGATGCAGGCCACTCGTGCTTCCGAAACGTCAGGAAGAAATACTATTTTCCAATAGTTTCCAATTTAGTTTTAAGCGGTTTAATTGGTGGCAAAGGCCCGACTTCTTTGATTTAATAATACTATATTTTTTGCGCGTAAAGTTAGATGTACATATTTTCAATATCCGTAAAGCTGTAGAGAGAAGTAAAAAAAAATTTCAAAAATCCCATGTAATACAATAAAATATGGCTTTTAAATCGATAAAAAGACAGGCTTGTTGAGCAAATTATCTTGGTTGTTTTCCGTAAAAGACCCGATTTGTTCTGGCCACAACCAGACCACATCAAAGATAAACAGATATTATCTAAAGCCCGTTTATATGTGCTTGGAAATTGTTGACTTTTTCAAATTGAGATATCGTATAATAGTTTTAATAATATTAGTGCATGTACTTGTCCGAACGTTAGCCATAAACCAGATATATTTTTCATTTAGCGCGTTGAGTAATTAAATGAAAACAAAAGGTTTACTTTAAAACATTAAAAATCAGACGAGGAGTTTGCTTTTGTATTTTATTGTTTTTTCGAATATATAAGTTCAGCAGGTTTCAGTTCAACCCAATCAAGCTGAGTTAAAGTTTGTCTATATTAGTTATAACAAAATGTTATTCTGCAGGCCCCATAATAAAAACCGCCTAGAATTCCTTAATTTTTTTTGTCATTTCCTGGATTTAAATTTAAAATAAATGCGAAAACTGTCGAATTGTTCCAGTTAGTTAAAGCTGGGACACTTTACTAAAAACATCTCATATCTAATTAATGTGGCATTAGATTTAGCACCTTGTTTACGCAGCTGCGATGGAAATTCCGATCATTTTAACAAAGCTATGCTAGTTTAAGAAGTCTAATGGCAGTTTTATCCACTCGAATTTTAGCTAATAAAGAAGATTTATTTGCTCAAAAATATGCGTGAAATGTTAATGGGCCCCGTGGGCGGGTATATTTAGCAATAATATTTCATTCAAAAATCGTTCAAAACAACAAATTTAACTGATGCTGTAGTTCAAAATTAAAAAATAATCGTTTGCGTCACCGCAGCTACTTCACATTGACGCTGGATCTGCGGTATTTCATTCATATCGAATTTATAGTCCTGAAGGATTTTTCATTAATATTTATCAATAATTGTTATTTATTATCGGACTGTTTTCCAATTGAAATTGCTTGAAAACGTCGATAGAATCAATAGTCTTCTAGTCTTGGAACGTAGCTGAACGGAAATCGTCCCTGCAGGGGTTAATTTGCAACATCAGCCCTAAAAGCTGGTTAGCAATAGTCCACTTATCGATTGCTAATGTCTATTAGGAAAAGAATAAACAATTTATTAACGACTATGACCTGTGACCAAACAAGCCATTAATCAAATTTTAGGGCTTTTTTGGAGCCACGGGAGCAGATTAAACTAGTCAGGCAGAGTCGTGGCTTCAATTTATTCATATGTTAACACTTTCATATTTTAATTATACGAAATTTTATCAGAGTTATTTACGGGACTTTTCGTAACCTTTGTCACGAATTCGAAGAGATGCGCCTTCAGATATAATAGTTTATCGTCTTTGAACTAGGTACACTATTACATGTGCTGCCAAAATCAGATATGCATATTTAGCATTATTTATCAGTTTATTAAATTTAGCGCATGTTGAAATTGAATAAAAACATTTTTACGCAATTGTGAAGCTACTATAGACATTGTCCACAGTAGTTTTAGTGAACTGTAAAATTAAAGCAAAATTTGTTGTTGTACTAAAAACTAAGGCATTTTCTGAGGCATATATTCTTCATGCTGTCTCAGAAACTAGGCTCATTTTGAGCGGGATTTTTTAACATTTTCCATTGTTATTTAACTTTTTGCATAACCGCGTTAGATTTTTCCTTAATTCGTTGGTTTTTTGCTGATTTCTGAACTTTTGCAATATTTATTCGCCTCAACCAGCTATGTCGAGTAACGAAACACTTATTGAATTAATAAAAATGTATCCAAAAACCAAAGTAACAATTGTTTTAGATTGTTTAGGAAAATAAAAAAATATTTGCAGTTACTATCACTGCTTCGGAGCAGTCTTCACTCCCCTGCAAACATTGTAATTTTTAACTGAAATTGTTATTGCGCAACTGAAACTTAATTTTTTGGAAGTATGCAACTATTTAACACGGAATTTGGTGACGTTTTCGGTTTTTTACACCGTCGCAAAAAATAATTTCTTTTCGCAAGCCCGAGTAACCTGCATCTTCAGAGGTGGTTTGCTCATTGCAGCAAGCCCGCAAAACTTAACTGTTTCAAGAAATCTCCGCAAAAGACAATCTCGTTTGTTATTAAATAAGAAGCAAATTTGTATTAAATATAAATGAATCCTGACGAAATTTAATAAAATTGAAAATCCTGTAGCTGCGCCAATGAAACGGTCTCAAGCAGTCGATGTTTTCTTTACATATTAGTCGGCGATAAAGTGTTATAATTGAATAATCATGTAGTAAAATGCCAATCAGAAATTGTTTTAAAATACGACACGTTATTAATTACCCGGTTTTGTAATTTAGCTTCAAGACAAATATTTTTGTTTTCCCGATTTATTTAATATTCGAACTCTGCCTGCCTGAACACTTCATCAGGCGAGTATCCCAATTAGCGGAATACTTGATATAAACTAGTCTCAGATCTATTAAGAAACCCCAATTACGAAATGATCTAGTTGTGTTTAATTAAATTTATCTAGGAAAAGAACATTGCAGTTGTATTTAAAAATATATGGGACGTTTCACTTACATCAGCGGCAACAATCATCAATTGTCAGCAGAAGCAGCAAACGAAGCGATAAGTTAATCCCTATTTTTTTTTAAGTCAAAACAGTTATTTTCTTTGGCGCCCAAGAGTTTTGTTTTAACTTTTTGATTCTAACGGTTTTTTTTTATTTATATGGATCGCTTGAAATTGTTTACTTGTGGTTTTGCGTTCATTTTAGACCTTTTGGCAAAATTCGGTTTTACCACTAAAAATTTTATTAGATTTTTATTAATATTTTCTTTTATACTTAGTGATACTGCTTGTATTTTGTGCTCATTTTGTTGTCGGGTGCATGATAAATCGGCATCCTTTGCGTCTTCTCTTAGTATCCAATTCATTGATTATATTTCGCTGTCCTCAGTTTTACCACTTTCTTTTCATATTCTAACTTTCTTAACTTAAGGTTTCTTGTATTTTACTCTCTGAATGTTTTTTTCCGAACATTGTCTTAGCATTCCTTTACCTCTCGTTTCTCAAAATAATTCCCAATTTTTATGATATCGTAGTTTTGCTTATGAAATATTCTTATTTCTTCCACAGGCGGAATATGTTCCACTCTTTGATCCAGGAGAACTTCTGAAGAGTAGACAACATAAAGCTTGTCTAAAACAAAACAAAATATACGCATCGTCGAGGTAAATAATTTAACCACTTGACGATTTAAATTATTGGTTTACGCCTCTTTACTCCTGTTTTATTGGTAACCTTAACAATCAGTTGAAACGGTGAAGAACTTATCGGTAAACTTGCCTCCGTTAGCTGCTTAATGGCGATCAGAAATTTATTTTTTACTACAACTGGAACCTTGGACAACAGTTTTTCTTGTATTTTTATTGATATCTTTCATAATATCTTTTGTTGATGTTGCGTGCCTTTTACTATCTTCCGGTTGTTTCATGCATTATCATTCGATTCCGTTTGTGTTATATGTTAGTGTCGAATTCCTTGGTCCTATTTCACTTTCGTCTGTTTTATTGCCTGCGTTTGCAACAGTTTTTTTGGCAACTCTAACAATTAGGTGACGACGGGTGTGCGTTGCGTGTCTTCTCCTATTTTCTGGTTGTTTCATTCATTATCATTCGATTTCTTTCGCGTCTTATGTTAATATAAATTTCCTCAGTTTTATAATTACCTACTTTTGCTTTAAATAATTTTATATATTTTAGTCTCAATGTGTTTTAATCAAATCATCAATGTGTTTTAATCAAAGTGTCCGTAAATTTTGTATTACTTTTTTTGCAGGATTTTTGTCTTAACAGTAGTTCTATAGGGTGACCCAAATATGAATATTAGCTAGACCGCGAAGGTTGAAGTAAATTTTGTTTAATTTATTGATTGATTTGTGAGAAGTGCAGATTCTTCTGTATAGATGAACCGAGCATAAAAATAGTTTGAAACATATTACGAAATAGTTGTGATGTATGAAGCTGAAAGTACGGTTGAAGTTAATAGGCATATTGGATCCATAATTATCTCAAGATGGAATTTCGCTCCACAACAGTGAAATGCGGAGAATGACAAATGTCTTGGTTGCCCCGATCTCATCCTGGCGCCTATAAAACAATTAAAAACCTTGTTTGTAAATCGTTAAAATCGCCAGGGATCTATTTTGTGGCGCTGCATTCCTGCAACTTAATTTATGGCATGCTAAATGCGAACTCATTTCTTACACCCGATTTAAATCTCAATCCGATTAATCTTCTTTTAAAATGCGACTTGTTGCATTTCTAAAAATAACTTTGCGTGCTTAAATTTAGGTATGTATTGGTCTTAAAATACACCCAACCCACCGATTTTGGGGTCGAGTTTTTATTTTATTTATTTGCTTGTTTTCGAACCTGTTTATTTTGTTTTCCTACACCAGGAATTCCTTTCGGATTACCATTTACATCGAATTCTTGGTCAACGATAATGTAATCTGGCGAGTCCCACCGAGTGGCCGTTAAGACCGGTAGCTAAAAACTTTTACTTACACAACTGATGATTTCACACTAAAAATATCTCAGTATTATCGCGTTTTTTATTTCCAGCCCATAAATAAGCAGCTTAATTCTTCATTCTTCCAACTTTGGCTCAATCCTCAACATCATACTTTACTAATGAAGCAGAAGCTCTTAAGCGCTTATATTTACATGTAAATCCTTGAAAAAACGCACATGTACCCATGTAATTGATGGATGTTTTAATTGTCTTGAAATTTTTACCAAAAAAATAAAAATATCTGTTTAATAACAGCCCTCAAACGGAATTAATATATTATTTTAGCCAATACTAAAGCATTATTTCTTCTTTCGTTTAACTTAATTTTGTCTGCGTTGAACGTGCAAGATTATCAGTTGCACTTTTACAATTTTTTTAACGAATTTTCCAAAAATTCAAAAGGTTTAGAACTAGAATGAGTGTTAATGGAATGCGCTCTTTCTTTATCTGACAATTTGTGGTTTTTTATTGAATATTTTTGCTTATTGTTTTAGTCTATCTGTAATATTGTTCTTTTGCAACCCACTCATTATTAGTGCGCACAGGATGAGATGTAATTTGTTAATAGAGTTGAACGCAAATTTCCAATCGAAAATGTTGCTCGTTTTGCAAAATACAAGTAAAAACGTTGAAGAATAACTTATAAGGATATTATTTAATTTAATAATTAATCTCCTTTGCATTCGCTTTTTTAAGCTACCTTACTAAAATGTTTTTATCAATGCTATATCCTGTTCCACTTCCTTTCGTTATTTCGTTAAAAAATTATTAAAGAAGAATGCTGAAAGAGTAAATAACACTGAAACTTTCTTTATCATCAAATCGACTAAAAAGTTCTTAGATGCATTATAAGTTTGATTAGTTTTAAGACTTCCTTAGAATGTCACGCCTATGCAAAGCAACGGGTTTTGTATTTTTTTTTTGAAATGATCGCTTATTGAAGTTCCAAAACTGTTTTTAATGAACAAAGAAAATTAATTTTCAGTATAGATTTTAAATCTTCGAACTATTTTGAATGCAGTTGAGGCGATTTTATCGGAAAAAGTATTCAGCTTTCAAAGACTTTAGGTGTACTAAAATTACTTGTTCCTACGATACTTTTCTTCCCCATTCAGTCAATGCTTCGATGGGAAAGGTCCACTGTGCTTGAAATATTTGCTATGTAATGACCAATGAACTTATGCCATCTACTTATATTCAGCTGCACGTAGATTATGGGTTCCCAAATATGCCTAAGCGTTTAAACTTTTTGATTTTTTTCCGCGATTGAAATTAGCACCTTAACTGGTAGTTAGAAAGGGCAATTTATAACACGACCTTTGAACTGCCAATAAAAAATTAATAAACCTGATTTGTTTGTAATTCACATCAAACTTGAGTAGGCAGATCTACGACAATGGTTAATTGATTAATAAATCCCAAGAATAACTGTAGCATTCCATGTATGTAAGCGTACAAGTACGAGTATGGGTTTAGCATATTGTAATCGGCTGAAAAACGGTTAAATTTCGGTTTGAAAACAACAAACAAACTAACTGGCCTTCCCCCTATGCAGACCAGATATAAACTAAAATACAGGCAGAAAATGCCTACTACCATTGCTATATTCCACTATTCGCTTTTGCGTACCACCATCTGAAAGAAAGTCGTTGTTTATTTGAACCATAGATCGGTTCTATTCCATCTGCATGTAAATTTATTTAAAAGGAAACAATGAAAACTGGAACATATAATTTATATAACAAATAACGTGACATGTTGAATTTTCATATACGGAAACTGAAAAAAACTATTCGTAGAGGTTCAATGCAATAATTTCAGAAGACAATGTATAATGATATTTACATAAATAAAATTAATCTTAAAAGTATGTTCTTAAAAAAATTAATTGGCTATCTGGTCACGCTGTTGAAAATTTGATGGACTCTTTACTCCTTGGGTTTAAAAACAATTTTTCTTGACTTGAGAGATGACCATTTGAACCTCTTGGCATAGTAACTGACGAATGCGAGAGTGCTGAAAATTGCAATCGCCTTGATCAACATTCGTTTACGGTCGTCATATTCTGGCTCTGAAGTCCATTTCAAAAATGTTCCGACATCCTGAAAAACAAACAATTACAGAAACAGATCATTCGTAGTTGACATGGTTTTTACCTTAGCAAGTTGGCTAGCAGTAGCTGGGGTTCCATCGGCATATTCAATAACTTCATTGTATAGAGCTTGAGCCATAGAAATAGCTCCTCCTGGGAAGTAGGGATTGTAATACTGTCCCTCTCTTATGATAACTCCAGCTGGGGCGTCGTAATAGCCCGTAAGCAGTGAAAATAGGTAATCTTCCCCTAAAGAAAACATTCGTCAACTTTCCAAAAAGGTTTTCTGTTTTATTTGCATACCTCCATGTCGGCCCAATACGATATAACTCAAATCTGGTGGGAAAGCGCCGTTGTTCGCTGCTCTTGCGGCTTCTTCATTCGGATAGGGATTTGGCATGTAGTCAGACAATTTACCAGGCCTTTGGAACTATACGAAGTCGTTAATAAATAGCAACTGATCTGAATGGTAGACAAACCATGTTTCCAGCTTCATCGGGGCCGTCAGTATATAGCTGCTCGGCGGCTTCAGCTTTCGCTTCATCTTCAGTATGGGAAACGCCAACTAAGTTACGATAAGCAATAAAGCGCAATGAGTGGCAAGCTGCACACACTTGTTTGTAGACTTCGTAGCCTCTCCTGATACTGTAGGAAGAACAAAAAATCATGCAAAAACAAATCCCATAACTACATTTAATATTCTGAATAGAAGATACATATTTTGCAACTGTTTTTCCATACCTAGCATGATCGAGAGAATTAAAAAAGCCATTGTGACTCCATGGGTTTTTCGGTGGATGTAAGTCAAGGTCTGAAGCCCTAACTGCTTTATCCAAAGTGTAAATAAGTACGCCTGCCCCACCAGCTGCCACTCCTAAGCCGCCCAACAGCTAGAAATGGTCTTTAAGTAAACATCCACCAACATCTAAACTTATGCTTGAAAACGCAGAATAAACTGATTACAGACTATCGTTATACCAACTGGCATTTTTTTAAACTACTTTGGAAACATACAGTACCGGTTGTACATAGAATGTGAGCTTCTAAAAGTAAAAAAGTGGAAATGTCCTAATTAATTTAAGCAATTTAAATCAATAAGTATAAATCCTTTATTTTAAAGTACATACATTTGAAGGTTTTCAAAAGTGTTCAAGTAACAACAAGCACTGTTAAAGCCCGGAAAAGGAAATTGATCTCAAGTTTAACATGTAGAAGTTTAAGCGCTTGAAAATTCTACACTTGCCAGAATATTTTTCAATTATTGTTCATCATTGGGTCAAGAAAGTATGGAACACTGCTAAATTTAACTCTTGAAATCTGTAAATTGCCACATAGAAAAAAGGGCAAATCTATCTATGCGTCTTTTGGGACCACAAATTACTCAACTCTTTATCTCTTGAATGGCTACTTTTTTCAAAGCTTTAAAAGCTTACGCCAGACGTTGTGGAGAATTTAAGGGGACGAACATGGATCATGTTGCCTTCCGCCCATTTTCTATAAAGAAACTTTGCTGAAACTCTCCTTTGAACTTTCAACTTCAATTTAGGTCCACATATGTTCTTTCTTCATCGAAGGACTGATAACTTTAAGTCCGAAGAGCATTGATTTGTATCCTAAAGTTACCAGTCCATCTTCTGAGTCGGATGTTGTACATTCGGCTAATGCGTTCAGTTCCATTCGAGCTTTCTATTGTCAATCCCGTTTTTTCAGTCTTTCCTGATATGTTTACTTGATATACTTCGTTTATGGTATGTCCAACAATGCTGTTGGCAACAAAGACTCTTGTCCAGTATCTTCATTGTGATTGGTTTCTATTGGGCGTCTAAGAAAGATATTGTCGGGCAAAGCAAACCGCTCAATTTAAAATGTTCAATGTTTTTGGATCTGAAGGGTTTAACGTGCTTTTCACTAAGCGCCTATTATCCATCTATTTGGTGTTTTATTGGTTGTCGCATAGGGCTGAGAGTTTTTCTTTGGTTTGTAGGCACGTTTGATGGTTTCGCAGTTGTTAAAAAGAATACCCAATGAAATAGTACACCAAAAGCTTTCCTAACAAATTGTCCTTTAGAGAAGAAGTAAGAAGCAAAAGTGAAACAGTCCTATAAGGAATTCGTACGCATTCAAACAGTCTACATATTAACTGATGGTTTAAGCAAATAACAATTGTAACCTAATCAGTATACTTACAGCTTTCTTTCCTTTCGAAAAGTCGCGGGTAGTGGAATAAGCATTGCCCTGGAAGAGAAAAAATCTGCTGTTAATCGAGGTTATGGCTGATAGTCGGCATTGATGATATAACACTCATACTTGGGAATATATAACCAAAGCAGCGGTGCACTAACAGCCAGAGACATTTTATTATGAATCTAGAGTTCAGTGGAGTTGAGTAACAAGTTATGAAAAGCTCACCTGACGTAAACAGTTTGTTGTATTGGACTTTAAAAGTCCAGCTCCACAAATTCGACCAACTCGGGAAGCCATGTCAATCGATAGGGTGGATGTTGAGGAATTTCGTCACGTAATACTAAGCCCTTAATGCTTGCCAGAACCTTGTAAATATTGTGGATCACCGGCCCAAAGTCCAAAAATCTTCGATGATTCTTCTCCTGAAGGAAAAACCGAAGATTTTTTCAGCTTTTTGACATTTACGTAACTTGCGAGCGCAGAGAGTGAGGAAAATTTACACTATATTGTTGGCTAAGCTGGCCTCTCATTGTTGCCGTTGAGGTGCGATTTAAAATGAAAATTTAAATCACACAGAGAAAAAATCAAGATTTTGAAAACTTTTCTGCAATCTGAACGATTGAGATTCAATATAATATTGAAATGTTTTCAGAATTTTAATAATTTTCTAGTTTATAAATATACATAATACAAATCTAACTACAATACAAATGCAATAATATAAAGTCATTCTATAATACATTTTTTACTAACGAAGTCGAGTTTCCTGTGGAAATGACGATTTCCGACCACATTGCACTCATTAAAATTTACGGTAATTCTTTACTATAATAATAATTTGATACTTTATAATTAAGTGCTACTTTTCCGTAAAGTATCTCAAATAGAAGTAAATAAAAAAGTAATAATAGAAAATTTGAAATCTATACTTCAATTAGTTGGTAGACTTCGATAGAACAACCTCATTATGTAATTCCGTATTTGTATAAAGTGCATTCGTTCATCTATCATAGTTTCCAGGTGAATAAACTCACATCGGCAACGACGTAATATGTCACCAAAAGATATGTCAGCAGTGTCAGCTGTTCGTCGTCGCCATCGCCATTATTATTAGTGTGGGACAGCGATTGTGTCGGTTGAAAAGTCGGAAGCGAAAATAAATCGGTGATCATCCGTGTAATTTCGGAAGGAGGACATTGGTTCAAGATGACGACGGGAATGCCTGAACTAGGCTCGAAGATCAGCCTTATCTCCAAGGCGGATATTCGATATGAAGGGCGATTATTTACCGTTGATCCCCAAGAGTGTACGATCGCTTTGGCGTCCGGTAAGTTCACAATAATTGTAATATTTCAAGTTTCCCAATGAGTTTTCACAGCCCCCAGCTATGGGTTTAATGTGGCCAGTTCACTGACGGCTTCACAGCAAAATTTCAGTAATTTAAAGTGTTATTATGTTCGTCAATTTTGTGCTTATTTGGCTACCTGTCAAAGACAACAAAGATCTTGGAAACATTAATTAAATCAGTCGTTAAAATAAATGTGAAAAGTCACATGGATAAAGCAAATGAAACCCGAATTCCAGCAATAAACAACTCGAAATTCCAACTTTTTTCCGGCTGAAAAAAGTTTGAAAATGGCCGCCGATTTTTTCTTTTTGTTAAGGAATGCCAGTTATATTCTTTAATAAAAGCTCGTATAAGGTATTTCGCCTTCAAGGTAAAATTATATTCAATTATCAGCATGGATATATTGGGTTTCATTTTATGTTTGTTCATGCGATTTAACAGAAGATTTCAAGTTTAAAATCAAACTGTTCGACAACACTTTTATTTCTTTTTCAAGGGTTTTAACAGGTTAAAGTGTGTAATAATATAGTAGCTCTTCTGCCTCACTAGTTTATTCTGCCACAATTGTGAATTTATACATAGTCTTTTTTCTTCTTCAGTGTCTTTCGTCATGCTTTTCGAATATGGAAGTTAAAGAATGGGTTTCTGATAGATAGATAGATGGGAATGAATATCTGATGGATAAATGACTATGGATTTTACTTAATGGGTCTTTTATCCCTGATCAGATAATCCCAATCCATTTTCTCAATAGTGACAAAATACAGATTCTGATGGTTAATTTCTCAACCGGTTTATGCAGGGGCAATCCTCACTAAGACAGCACTTCTAGCTGACTATAAGTTTTGCAGCAAATACGAAATACAATAGGGTCGATGCACAAAAATTTTTTTGCTTGGAACTTCTCCCAAACGTAGGGTGAGGGTCGCTTAAAAGAACGCCCAAAGCAAATTTCTAAAAAAAATTAATATCAAAAAAAGGGAACGAAAGTTCTACTGTGACGTAGAGTGGCACAAGTATTTTATGCGAACTTACATCGAAATAATCCTCAGAGGCATAAATGTTACTTTTTGCAGAAAGACCGGTGCAGTTTCGCCGCGCTGCTTTCAACCACAATTTTCGTTTCTTTTCGTTCAATGGCACTTACAAATGTTTTTCCTGGTGTAGACGTAGTAGTACTTGTACACTGTGGCACCATACAGTACTTATAAGCCATTTTAATTCCAATAATTGAGAAACAAGCAAACCAACACACAATATTCACATTAGAGCATGGAAACACGTATAAGCGCTGAATGTGGCGGAGCAGAATCATGCTTCGTGACGTCACAGTACGATCAGCCAATAAACTCGTCGTTTCGGTGCGCTTTGTGTAAGTTTAAACTTGACTGCTGATAGATTTGTTACCAGTGGACAGAATGTGAAAAAAATGTAGTGCCCTTATTTGTTCGTCAATAATCAATTTTATGAAATAAAAAAAAATGTGCAACGACCCCATTGTATAGAAGAAAAGTTTGAAGAGTACATAATTTACTCTTTAAATTGTCTTAATTTAGATATGTTTTCCTTGTTAACCCTTTGTGGTTGAAAGCATCTTCAAATAAAAAGCAAGCAGTTTATGCAAATTTGACTTAAATTGTGTGCATGCAAACCCTTTAGGTTCATATTTAACTTTCGCCATCATTCAAAGTTGTGTGTTGCAAAAATATAAATTGTCGATTTTCCAATTGGTGTTTTGCTAGCTGAAATTGGGCCCAGTTCGTCCAAGATTCGGCCAAGTTCATCTCAATCCGGAATATATCACGAAAGTCTGCGGTTTATGATGTGTTTTTTAATAAATACACATCCTTTGAATGACGTTTGTGGTTGGGAATTGAACCTAAATGCGCTATCATTCAGCAGATACCCTGTTGTTAAACAAAGCGCCGCAGTCAATACCTACTTAAAGTAAAATATGCCCTAATTGTATTCTGATTTTAATTTCAGTGCGTTCCTTTGGAACTGAAGAGCGCGACACCCAATTTCCGGTTCCAGCTCAAAACCAGGTGTACGACTACATCCTTTTCCGTGGATCGGACATTAAGGATATTCGCATCATGAACAACGTCGCCCATGCTCAGCCTCTAAACGATCCGGCTATCATGCAGCTGTCCGTCCCTCCGTCTTTGGGCGCCCAACAATACCAACAGCATCCCATTCTGGGACACATGGCGCATCCTCCATATGGGTCGTTTCTTCCCATGGGCGGTTTGTCCAGCAATGCTGGCGCCCCAGGCATGCAAGCCGCTGGCATCAATCGAGGAGCTACAGCGGTTGGAAGCTCAAAGCCAAGTGAGTTGATAGTTTCACCACCTGGTTTCAATATTAAACCATCCAATGTAGTTGGACCGCCGTCATCCATCTTGTCGCCCCCTCCTGTAGGAGAACAACCTCCAAGATCCAATGAACACTCCGGTAAAAAAACTGTCTTTTTCTGCTTTTGCTTGCGCGTATGCTTAAATCGAAGGTAGTGAGTTGCTTTGGAATTGCTTTGAGTCTTAACAACAGTGGGATGTGGCTGATTTTCAATAACAATCTTAAATTGATTTACAAAGATGTTTTTTTGAAGTTCCATCGCGTCTCAAGTCAGCGCGTGGTGGATTAAAAAAACATCTCTGTATAGAGGTCCCAATAAACCTCAACCTTTACGACAATGTTGAATTTTACACGTAGTAGTCTGGAAACGATGAGTACCAAAATAACTCCGAATTAAGTTTGATTGGTGGTTTTTTGGTTGCTGCTCCCTTGCTTGCTACGAATGTTTGCAATTTTAACGTTCAGAAGTTTTTCTAGAGATCTCAGTTTAGATTCTGTTCTAGAATTTATGGGCGGCGTTGTCAGTCGAAGCACCACACCAGCTTCAATGGGTTCTCGAAAGTCCGGGTCAGTTGACCAAGGAACTCAAGCCGGAAATGTACAAAAGGTAAGCCACACTATTAGATGGATTTTTTAGCAATAAACAAATGTAAAATCGTATTTATCAGGATGGTTCCAAGCGGCAAGCCAAACCCAATCAGCAACAAAGGGGGCCACCGCAGGCGAGAAATCGATCAGGGGAGAGAAGAGACTCTCAAAATAGAGGCGGTGATAGTCAGGTATATATTTTTACCATTGTCCGCTATGGAGATTTTTAGATTTGTTTATATTCAATTGCAACTTTTCAAATACTTGTTAACGTTCTTAGGAAGTATCGAATCAGAACTACAATCAAGGGCGTGCTCAAAACAGGGGCAGAGGCCAACAAACCAATCAGTACAATAGAAGTGATCAATATAACAATAGGAACAATCAGTACAACAACCGTGGGGGCTGGAATAACCAAAGGGGCGTACCAAGAGGCAGAGGAAGACCAAAGGCACCATTTAGGTAATTTTTTTTAATTTAAATTTATCGCGTGCAGATAGTTTTACGCAACTACAGTAAATCCCCTTAAACCTTCAGCCCGAACTTAAACCTGTAAAACCTACTAATAATGTAATTTGGTTTTAGACCTGGAATGACGGCACCTGGTCAAGGAGGAAATAAGAGAAATACTCTCAAGTTCGATAGTGAATATGACTTTGAACAGGCCAATACTGAATTTGAAGAACTGAGAAGCAAATTTGCTAAGGCAAAAATAGAGGAGGCAGGCAGCTCTAAAGCAGAAGTAAACGGAGCCCCAGCGGAGACTGAAAAGAAGGAAGATTCAGGAAATGAGACTGGGGCTGGCGAACCGGAGCAAGAGGAGGACCAGGAAGTAAGTTTTCCTTTTATTTCCCTTTCTTTAAATCATGATAACATTCGAAATATGCATGGCTAATAATGTTTTTATTGAGGTGTTTTATGACAAAACCAAGTCATTCTTTGACAAGATCTCTTGTGAAGCCGCCGAAAGGGCGAAAGGTAAGTTGCAAAGGACAGACTGGCGCCAGGAAAGGAAATTGAATTCCGAAACTTTTGGAGTGGCAGCGACAAGGAGGGGAAGGTAATTATTAAGGCCATTTTTAACACAATTATTGTACTTATTTTTATTTGCAAGTAAATCGTTTATAATATGGTTTTTCGTTAGTTACCGTGGGCGCGGAGGATACCGTGGGGGATTTCGCGGTGGTTACCGCGGTGGATACAGATATCCTCAACAAAGAAAACCCAATGAGCAGCAACAAACTAACCAGCAAAGCCAACAAGGTAATTTCAACACTTTATTTATTGAACAACAATTTGCCTGTGTAAAATGTCTGCTGGGCAATGGTCCACGTATTCCATACCATTTTCTTACTTACAAATCAACGAGCAAGTGTTAATATTTTTTTCTACGATAAAGGCAAGAGTGATGTGATCATATATAGTCCGCTAACTAGCGAGGAAGCAATGGCTAGAAACGCAGCAGAATCAATGAAAGCCGAAGATAACAAAGATGTTATTGTTGATCAAGGTATTCCAGTTGGAAAAATAAATTTTGATGATGAGAAAGATGATTTGCCAGATAATGAGCAAACTGAGGAAAAAGAACCACAGAAATTAGTGGAAGTTGCAGCTGTAGCTGCTACTTCTTCAGCCTGCGTGGGTCAGGTGATTTGGGTTCCGTCCTTGTCTTGAAAAATAACAAAATACCTTCTAAACTCACTTACTAAGAACACAGTGTATTTTACACATTATTATTCAGAATTCTCAATTGTAAGTGAGCGATGAATCAGAATTTAAACTCGGCACGTTTTTAATCAGGTATATTGGTCTGACTACAGTGGGTCCCAAATGTTGTAGATTTTGGTGAGACTGTTCTACTAAAACATTTATGAATTGTTCAGATATATTTTGCGTGTCCATTTTTAATAAGCCATCAAAGTGAAGTCAAATAAATTTGAACAATTGCATGCATGCTGTTATTAACCCTTTGCACTCGAGCAGCAGCAGCAGCAGCAGCACTACAGCTACAAGATACAACTTGAGTTTTGGTCAATTTGTTAACTTACTTTAGTTAGCCTGAGCGTTATCTACAGTGAGAATAACACTAAAAGCCTCGTTAAAAAATGAATAGAGATGAAATCAGTAAAGATCCAAACAAACTCGATTTTCCAACTTTAAACCAGCAAGTTACATCAACACATTACGGCTATAACAGGAAGAATCCGCTTGGAAAGATAGTGTTGTAAGAAGTGACGAAAAGTTAGAGGAATAATCTATTGAGAAAAACATTAAAATACGTGCAAGCACTGTTTAAGCTTGGCCCACGAGATAATATAGAAACAGTGGGTTTTTAAATGTTTGCTGGTATGCTATGGTAAAAAATGGAGGAGGAGACGCTATAAGCAAATATACAAATACTAATTAATAAATGTAATCCTATTTAACACATTTAGCTGTATTCAATGTAAATTGGAAGAATGTTATTATTTTCATGTTTCAAGAAAGTTATTTTTAATAACATCGTCAAAAAGGTCTCGAGTGCAAAGGGATATCTACATGTTTAATTAAGCCCCTGATATTTAACATATTTAGAAACTTGGAAAGTAAATTAGTATAAAACATACCTGGGTAAAAAGAGTTTAAAACAGTACTGTAGAATAATTTTTAATTTTTTTGATTCTAGTAAATAAGGGTGTAATGTCCGTTGTAGTAGTAACATTTAATTTAAACCGTATTAATGTATGTACGGTTTTTCAGTAAATCCATGATCTGATGATACAAAACTGGCTTCACTGACACAGGAGTCTGGACAAAACCCTGACTGATCGACGGTAGAATTTCATAACGTCTTCGAATCGTAAAATACCAGTTGACTGTGATTGATTAAAATTTGAAATTTAAAGTGTAGAACTTGGCAAACGTCGTCCCAGATAAGTATCTCGTGTGCTTGTAGTGTTTTCTACACTCCCTGGTGTCAGTATTAACTAGTAGAACATATGTGTACCTTAAGTGATAAATATTTTTATTTTATATATAAAAAATCCGACGATGTGGTTGGCTTAGCGTTAGTGTATATTTTGTATGGCTCGTAGAGGTAAATCTTTTGTTTTTTTTTTATTCTGGATAGTTATTAGGTCAGCTGAAGCAGCACCGAAATTAATTTTTTTTTGTAATTTATTCCTGGATTTTTTTTATATCAAATTTTCGCAATTACTATTTGGTGATCTAAATTAAGAGATGAGCTTTAATTTCGCCGAGTTTAACTCTGTTGTTGTAATTTATTTAAACATTTGTTAAAAAACGCTACTAAATGGAGATTGTAAGTAAACAATTGCATTTATTATTATTACTCCTTACGACTAATCTTGTGTTGAACATTTAACGTTTATCATAACAACAGAAGCATGTTCCCAACAAAATAAGCGCAGCTCCGGTTAGAACACCTGAAATTTTCCCAGTGAATTTTGATTGAAAAATGTGAAGATATTCAGCTTACGGTTTGAAGGAAGACTTTCTTCAAGGTACGATCCAGATAGTGCAGTGAAAATAAACGTGAGAGAATTTGCGATTGGCACTGATAGGGTAAGATCCATATTTTGTAAGGTAACAAAATATAAAACTGATCCAATTTGGTTGAGACCCATTGGAAGGAGGTACTAAAAGCAGTTGTTTACTTGGCTTATAAAGTGATTGAAAGTAACTTACATCCAAGTTCGTTGCTAAGTACTTGAGGTCTAAAAGAAATTGCTCGAGGGCGGAGTTTGACTTTATTTTTGTTATGGACTTGGAGTTTCGCTTAATGACTGGATTAGTGAGGCCCCACAAAGCTGATACACAAGTCAACATACCTGTAAGTTTGAAAGTAATGTAATAATGATCAGTAAATTGTTATACTTCTACTGTTTATAACGCATGTTGATATTAAACATTTGGTATTATTAAATAACGCTTACAAATCTTGTTCTCTTATAATTTGGTTTGGTAAATAATGAAAAATACTCACAAATTTCGAAAAGCATATCTGATTACTGTATTGTAGCTGATTTTTTTTTATTTTACTGTAAATCCAATAAATGTTTTCATTCTTTGCAGACAAACACGATTGTTTTTGTATGAATTACATAAACTGAAAAAAAAATTGGGTTATGTGTTAAAACATAAACAAGAACATTTACAAAATTTCAAAACTGTACCTTCAAAGGAATCTGATAGAGAGGGCAAGAATGTGGGCAAAACAAACTAGAACATTAGAAGCAATTTAATGATGTTTGAGACAAAATGATCAAATGCTAGATAAATTATGTTGACCAGTGTTCGTTAACTTTTAAATCAAACAGCGAAATAATGCCCATTAAAATCTTATTTTTTCCATAAAATAGCTCTCTCTTTCTGCCGATTTTTAATGCGTCGATAGTCATAGCCACAGATTAACCTCTGTGATCTGTGGTCATAGCCCTAACCTCAAACTGCCATCCAATGTTCAATCAAGCTGTTTTGAAATCATTATACAAATAATTAAATAAAAAGGTAAGTAACTAGGCTAACAATAATGTATCGAGTTGTAAATGACCTGTAGTTTCTCCATAAACATGCCGGCCCTTTTGTAGAAAAAATGAACAACTTGGAGGAAGCAGTTTTGAAGAAAACAACCGATGCTACATTACTGAAAGAAAAAGTGCTTGGCTATGACTGGGGCCAAGGAATAAACTACGACAAACTCCTGGAGAGTTACCTGAGCACCGGATTCCAAGCCACCAACTTTGGGCTTGCCGTTCAGGAAATAAACAAAATGTTAGCGTGTCGAAAGCTATCATTGCCCAAAGAAAAATACATAGACCGGGAAGACGAATTCACCGAGATTCGAAACAGTTGCACAATTTTCCTTGGATATACATCTAATTTGGTGTCTAGTGGACTGCGGGAAACGATAAAGTTTTTAGTAGAGCATAAAATGGTGAGTAGCCGTTCACTTGCACTAATCCACTGTTTGGCATCCACCCATTTCCAGATAGATTGCATAGTAACAACCGCGGGGGGCATAGAAGAAGATTTTATTAAATGCCTAAGCCCAACATATCTGGGCGATTTTAATTTAGACGGCAATGCCCTTAGAGAGAAAGGTATAAATCGAATAGGTAATCTTCTGGTCCCAAATGACAACTATTGTAGTTTTGAGAACTGGGTTTTGCCTATTTTCGACAAAATGCTCATAGAGCAGAAAGAGAAACAGATCCTATGGACACCCAGTAAAATAATCAGTCGACTAGGAGAAGAGATAAACAATACAGAAAGTATTTACTATTGGGCAAATAAAAATAAAATTCCAGTTTTCTGTCCTGCCTTAACAGATGGAAGTATTGGTGATATGATGTTTATGCATTCGTTTAAAAATCCTGGCCTTGTGGTGGATATAGTGCAAGGTAATTTCGATTACCTGGGAATTAGGGATTTAAAATTGTGTGGGCGTTGAAATGGCCCTAATTTCGCGTGGAAATGATAACTGAAAACGTCTAGGAAGAATCAAAGCAGCAAAATTCAAGATATTTTCGCTGATTACAAAAATGTCTTCATAAATAACAGAATTTGCTATTCAAAAACTCGACCTCCATCAGCAAGCATTAAAATTCTTTCTTTCATAAAATTTACCGCGCATTTTGTAAATTCCAATTTTCGAGCTATTTATGTTGGTTACAATGCGTATTTTCAGACCGACATTTCGAACACAAAAATACGAATTTAAACATATATTGAATTTTGAATCGACTCTTTCCAATTGTAGATCTTCGGCGGCTCAATCTTATGGCGATGAATGCGGTGAATAGTGGAATCATAATTTTGGGGGGCGGCGTCATCAAGCATCATATTTGTAACGCCAACTTAATGGTAAATTCTTGTATCTGAGGGCCGTATTTGCTTATTGAGAGCGTGTTGATTTTTAGAGAAATGGGGCTGATTTTAGTGTGTTCCTAAACACAGGATCGGAATTCGATGGAAGTGATTCTGGAGCTCGACCAGACGAGGCAAAGTCTTGGGGTAAAATTAAAAAGGATGCAACCCCCGTTAAAATATATGCAGAAGCAACACTCGTGTTTCCTTTACTAGTTGCGCAAACATTTGCCAAAGAACTCTATGGAGGTAAGACGTAAAGAACAATTCTTTGTTTCATTTTCATAATGCAAGACAGCCTCTTCCAAATGACAATGAAATAAAACATCTAAATAAAAGAATTTGTTTTTATTTTACATAAATTAGAGTAACGTGCGGATAGCAATAGTTTGAAAACAAAAAGTAAATAAAATCTATAATATTCTAACGAATAGCTTTATATTACAAGATTTTTGCTTTCTGTAAAATTTGAAAATATTTACAATATTCTATAAATCGATCAATCTCAGTAAGGATCCACATTTTACCCAACAGCAACGCCTAGGTTAGTGAATTAAAACGAAAATTCTATTACATCAGCTCAAACGCAGCTTATTCGGAAAAACTTTCAAAATATACAGTCGATCAATTAAACCAAGTTACTCAGATCAGTTATTAAAATGAATTTGGCAGCTTTCCACCCAAAATATTTTGCCTAAAGAAAAATACCATCATTTAGTGTTACTTGGATATATTACCACGCAAAAAGCATTGCGTCAAACTAAGATAAATGAAGATTTAACTATACATTAATGTAAATAATATATGTGAAAGCGTGTCTATCAGCGTACTGGAAAACTCTGAATATTTTTCGATTTGCCAATCGGCTGCGGATTCAATGTTCCGGAATACTTTTGATCTATAATTGAAAGTCTACTGTATATTTTTAATTTATGCAAAAAACACTCTTCTAAACTGTAGTTTTACTACCACGTGCGTCTATAAATATTTGGGAAAATAAACTGTTTCCTACTGACTTTTGGGCTGAAAGCATGTTTACAGGGCCTCATCTAGATTATAGCAATGCCGTCTGGTTTTCTATTGTTCAAATAAAACATTGTTTCATATATTTAAAGATGACCAACAACAATATAAATTTCACCATAATGTACTAATGTAGATATTATCACACAAAGAAATATGAAAATTACTCAGTCTGCTTTGATGAGTGTGTTGTAAAATGTAAAATAAGCAGATTAAAACATTATTTATACATTTTTCCATTCATTACCCATCCAGCTCTTGCTGCCAATCGTGATTTTTGAATTTCCAGCAGTTGTCCACCACCATCATAGCTAGTTGTTTAATTTCAATAGCAGCTTCGGGATGGTCGACCACGTCTTTCAGTAACAGTATGCCTCCTTCTTTTTCCACCAAGTGGCAATATTTATCAGCTGCGAAATCATTTAAAGTCAGATAAATGTTTGTTAAACACTTGAACAACTTACGGTACACGGTGGTTAAGTTAGCGAGTGCCCACAGAGCCCATCGTTGACATTCGGGCGTATGGTACACTTTAACCAGATAGAGAATTGGCTCAAAAGATCGATAGTTTATATTGCGTTTAGAGCTGATGTCCCAGCTAAAACAAAGTAGTGCATGGTAGAGTTTGGTCATTGGGATAGTAGAGATTTATTTTACCTGTCAATGGCCAAGACCATTTTATTCAGAACATGCTGGCGCGATGGCTCCTCAACAGTCCACACCTCGGGACCATCGGATGCTGTAAATACGAAAATTAATATAATACACTAATCGTATCGCAAACTGCTCAATAATCAATACAAGATAATCAATAATAAGCATGAAATCTTGCCTGAAAAATTGCATTATTTTTTAATTTCGGTGGGCGGCAAAGTTGGAAATTTACCCGCCAAAGGCGTCTTCCAATTATTTGTTGTTTTCGGATGATTTTTTAAATTTAATTTCGACGCCTCGTAATTCGGCTCTAAAGTATTTTGGGACTATCGCTTATCAAATTAAGATCATTTTCGGACGCCCTCTCCTTAAAAACACGAATCTTCCTAACTAAAGCTACAAACTACAAACTCCAACTACAAATTTTCATCATCTTTAGAAAACTTGACTAAAGATGTTGCGTTTTTTTAAAATAGACCATAATCCTAATTTTTGCCAGCTTGGTATACAGCGACATCAATATGTATGTTTTTGTCCGATTTCGCCTCTTCTTTAAAAATGCGAATCTTCTAAACTAAAGTCAGTAGCAATTTCATATTTTCACCCATCTTTAGAAGACACTTGACTGTAAAGATCTTGAGGGTTTCATAAAAAAATCGACCAGAATCGTAATTTTTCCTAGTTTAGTAAATACCGGCTTCAGAAATGGTTGCTTTTGCCCCTTTTGCGCTCTCTTCTTTAAACATTTGCATCTTTCAAACTAAAGCAAGAAGCACGTTGCTGTTTTACCCATCTTTAGAAGACACTTGACTCTACAGATCCTGAGAGTTTCATAAAAATCTCGATAATACCGGATTTTTGCCGGCGTACTAAATACCGGTCACAACTTGATTGATTTCACCCAATTGCGAAGTCCAATTTAAACATGTGCATCTTTCTAACTAAAGTATGTAGCAAATTGAAATTTTCACCAGCTTTAAAAGACCCTTCGCCCTAAATATGCTGAGAGTTTCATAAAAATGAAATGAAATGAAATTTAATTAACAATTAACTTTACAATTAACAAACATTTTATTTTTGCGGGCTTAGTAAATACCGGCTTCAAAATAGTTGCTTTAACTCAATTGTGCTCTTTCTTGAAACCTTTGCATCTTCCAAACTAACGCAAAAAGAACTTTGATATTTTCACCCGTATTTAGAAGACACTTGACCCTACAGTAACCCTACGGATTACAGATCATAATAAATCCTCAAAATCCTGATTTTTGGAGGCCAAAATCATGATAATGGCGTCAACATTGTTGCTTTGGCTCAATTGCGCTCTCTCCTTGAAAAATTTGCATCTTCCAAACTAAATCAATTATCAATTTGAAATTTTTACCATCTGTAGAAGACACTGGACTCTAGATCTGCTACACATTTCATAACAATCCTCCCGAATCCCGATTTTTTGTGGATCGTTGAAGTTCGCGCAAATCAAATTCACTTGCAAAAATCACTCACCAATATGAGATATAACACCTGCTGCATTATAGCTGACCTCTATTCCATCGCATTTTGAATCTAGCAGGTCTGAAAAGACCGATAAATACTCGGGGGTGAGAAGGTAGTCACGAAGTTCTTTTACTTCCGCAACATTGCCAAGTAATCCCATCATGTTCCTTAATAAATCATCCTTATCGGGAAATGTCTGAAAAATTCGAGATAGCATTTAGAGACCACAAACCAGCCCTCAAATATAACTAGACACCTGCAAGCAAGCCAGGAAATATTCCATGCCGTTGTACTCCAAAAATTTCCTGCAGTTTGCTGGTGTTTCATCAGTAACGTTCCACATAGTCGACCAAGCCACTTCCAAAACATCGTCACAATAACCTCTATTCAATCGCTCTGAGATCAGCCAAATCATCCTCTATAGGATTGTAAAGCGTTGAGATATTCAGCTTTTTAGGTTTCATATTTGCTTACATTTATTGCACCTAATTCGCCCAGTCTCACTTTCTGCTGGCCGTCGACCTGGCAAGCTAATGAATTGAGCAAATAAATTCCGATTCTTTGAACGAAACTTTCGGATGTCATCCCATGAACGGAGTACAACAGCACTTCTACCAATCTCTCGTATTCGAAAAGCTACAAAACAAAATAATGCAAAACAAGCACTCCAAACCCTCGTTCCACACTCGTCCTTACAACATCGACGGGAATTTTAAACTGACACAAAGTAAGACAACCGTTTCGCATCATTGTTTCATCATTTTTATGTACACTCATTCCATTTAACAGTGTTGATATTATTTTCTTTCTCACATGTCTCTGAAGCTCTTCCTCAGTTCCTTTTACAATGTAAAACAATGTGGCACTAGAAGCGACAAACACCCCAAGTTAGTAGTAGTTATTTAAGCGTTTTAATACATTGGATTACCTTCCAGAAATTTGGATGTGTCTCTCATCTAAGTGTCGGTTCATGGATTCCAAAACAACGTTTAGAGCTTGACCAACGAATTGACAAGTTTCGAATCTAAACAAATGGAATAGCTCGTTTAACACCTTCTGCAACATATCAGTTCGGTCGATATACGCCCATGCTGAGATTAATATTTGCTCTTCGTTGGCATTGCCTGCAATCTATAAAAAACCAATGTATAAAAAACACATTTTCTTAGGAAAAACCCCAAGAAAAACAGTGATTTCTTATCGCTATCTATTGACCAATTAACGCGAACGACGATCAACAACTTAAAACAGTGAATAAATTATTTGCGCTTGAGACACTTTCAGAACAGTGTTAAAGGGCTCGATTTGCAAAAGGGAACTTTAAAGATTTCCAACAATTGACTTTTCTGCCTGCTAAACTGGAGTTGCAAGAAGATATTTTGCTTCAGAATCAGTTCGTACAGCTTTCAATTTTTTTTTGGTGGATTGCCGCACTTTGTAGCTTAAAATAGTTTGTGTGTTATAAAGCATTTTTTTTTTTATTTTATGGAAACTAAGTCATATTAAATCGTGTTGGTCCAGATACAGAGATTCAATTGAATTTTGAAAAGAGAACCAACTTTTCCTCTTGCTTTCGAAATGCAAATTTGCCTGTATACATTCCAAAAATTATGAACATTCAGTGAATTTAAGAGTTTTAGTCATTTTCATTCATTTACTTCGCACAAGACGCTTCCAAAGCAATTTTAGATTTTCGCATAATTTGAGCCATTCAAAGTTCGCTTCAGAGCCCACTTTTAACGTAAAGTTTCAAATATAACGAAAAAGTCAATGTATTTTCGATTTTTTTAAACATCCAGTCACATTGAAAAATGGTGCTTGAAATAACATTTGCAACACTCAGAAGAGCTGATAATTTTCCACTAACTAGAAAAATCAAAGATCGTTCTACAAATACGAATTTTCATTTTGCTTTATATATAATATAATGTAATATGCACTTTCAGGCAGGGACTTAGGAAAGTCAGAAGACAATTTGTGGTTTTTAGAGCATTTGAGACACTTACATATTCAGAGCTCGCTTTTGCAAAGCAAATGTTCATATTTGAGTATCAAAAATACAAAAAAATATATTCAAGGTGTCCCGTAAGCACATGATCAGAAGAGTACTACGATTTTCTTTGGATAAAAAGAGGACGACCTGACCTAACTATTACCAAGAAAAAATGTCTGGCTTCTCTGCAATGTAAAACCAAATGTGGTGGTCGAATTTCTTCAAATCAAGATATGTTTTTTGAAATATTGGGAGAACGATACATTGAATTTCAGCAAAACTCGCTGTAAATTTGTTCTTATGTAAAACTCATATTTCGATAATTCAACCGAGTTTATTCGCTTTGGCAAAGTAGTGAATTCATGAGTGTCTTAGTACAAAAATTACCATAACGTTTTATTTAGTTCCTCGAATCAACTGATTTTTTTGCGCTGATGCACAAATCCTTTTTTGACATTTTGGCGATCTTTCTATAATATTTTAGCAAATTATTAACTGTTTAATGTGACATGTTTAAAGTCTTAGGCTGGTCGTCGTTTTAAAGAGTTTTCGTTCGAATTGCGTTCCTGAGAAATGCTCACATTTTCATTCAAATTAAAGTTAGTTCAGATCGTCTTCTTTTGAGGCAAATAATGTCGCACTACCTTCTTAATCATGTGCTTACGGGACCTTGTTAAATATAATTATGCTGCTTACTAGTTTAGCAGGAATATCATGTCGCAAGCAAGCATCATGAAGCGTTTCATATAATCCCAAAAAGTGAAATGGATTATTGACTCTTGAAACCAGTCCAGGTATATCAGAGCCTCTAGCTTTATCTGTTTCGGCCACTCCTGTGCCAGCTAAGTTAGTTCCGGAAATATCCAGCGATGTTAGATGAGGCAAACTTTTGACCAGAGCCGTTAAAGTGGCTGTGGATTTCGGAAATTTCCTATGCTCGTCCCTACTTTGGGACACATCCAAGTGGGTGAGAGTTTTCAGCTTGCAAATGGCTGGTATCATTTCGTCAATGTTGTCGACATTGTACAGAATCAGACTGCGCAGACTAACTAGATGCTCTGAGTAGCTGAAACTGCCCAGAGAGCCACAGTTGCTTAAGTCTAAATGCGTTAAATAAGTCATGGGATTCAGAAGCACGGCATAAAATGTATCTGGCAAATGGTGGCATCCTTTCAGTGCAAATCTACGCAGATTGGGAACATTTAGAATGCAGTTTTGTGGCCATTTCTCCATGTTGCCGAAAGTCAATGCGGGAAATATATTCACGTGTTCCCCGATACTCAACGAAAGCAAGCTGGACCCATGTGTAGAAAGATGCCTAATGCAATTGTGTGACAAATCTTTGTTTTGAGCTATATCCAAATCTAGTAATTCATGGCTGAGAAGTACTTCCAGGTCATGGTCGTAAATTTTGCCTTTTCGTAATCGCACTCTCTTTAACCTGGTATTACTGGTGTCTTTGAAAATGTTGATGAAACTTGAATCGACGCTGTATAAGCTTTCCGATCGGACAGACAGGAGCTTTTCGCAAATCTCCACTGGCAATGATATACCATGTTTCAGCTTCAAGTAACCGGAATACCCAGTAAATTCGCATATCGCTTCGAGATCTTTGTTAATGTAGTTAAAGCATAAATCTAGCAGTTTTTTCGGTTCGGATAAATTGCAAAAACAGCATGCCTCCTTGGGTATCGTGGACGAATGGCGACAATTACTCTGAAGCATCTAAAAATGGTCAAGTACGTTGAATCGGAAACTTGAACGTTTCACCAGATTAATTCCAACCAAAACAATAACAAATTGAAATTTATATTGTTAATGAACCGACCTACCTTACAGAAAATTTGGTATTGCTATCATGACAAACCAATAAAGCCAGTATCGGAAACTTCGTGTTACAATTGAAATTCCAGACAATGCTATATCAAACCTGGAAGTCTGGAGAATTCAGCAATAAGCCCCAGATGTTTGGATTATAGTTTTTATTTTGAGAATATTCTGACAGTTATCTTCTAATCAGTATCAGCTGGTCGACTTTCGGTTCACACTTTGACAATAGAACTAACCAGCTCTGCCAACACAAATTTTATAATGCGCTTTTTATCTCTTACTTTTTTGTATTTTATAATTAATAAATCATTTTCATAGGACGTTTGATTTAAAAATTATTAATCGAAACAAAAAACCTAACATAGCAATCATCAACGTCTTATTATTTTCATTATAATAATATATTAACAGATGTTAACATAATATTTGAAAATTTACCTTAACCGATATTAATGTACTATATTTAACAACGAGTTGCGCCATAAGAAGCCACCCTGTTAAGCAGCGAGTTAAACAGAGAGGAACAGACGTGGATGATTAATGACTCCCACTAAGTTTGAAAGCACTTTAGGTTAAATCTCGAACAAAAAGAATCGTTTTGAACAGTTAAATGTATTTTAAATATCACAATTATCCTTGTAAATAAACAAAAGTCCGTAAAGATGGCTTACAAAGCGAAGTGAGTAGTCAATATTTTTTTACCCACTTTTAACCTGATTTGTAACATTTGTATTTTATTTATATTTTAGGCTTAAGGAGTTTGACCTCGTTTTGGAACAAGATATTATTAAGCTTGAAGCTCTAAAGAAGATCTCATTCCACGGTAAGGCGACTAAAACAATTAATTTCATCAATAAAACTACATTTAACCCTTGTTGTTCTTGCACAGTATGTTCAAGAAGTATTCTAGTGGACTTGCCTTAAATAATGTATAGTTGTAGTAGTTTGATAACGAAATGTTTATTGAAACAATGCTCTTAATATTTTCTCCATTTAAGAAGCTTCGTTGAGAAATCATTAATTATCAAACAGCTCATTTTTTGTTGTGAAATAACGTAAATATTAATCGTGTTTTCCAAATGACCATTTCGGTTATTAAAAATGTTATTTTTGTCAAGGCTAACAAGTTAGATTTTTTGAACTCACATTGAATAAAAATTGTAGGAATTCCTGATGATCAAAGTAAGAGAGCCCTATGCTGGAGACTGCTGTTAAATTACCTGCCCGAAGAAAAAGCTTTATGGAACTCTGTATTGACAGAAAAACGAAACTTATACAAACAATTTATAGGTTTGTAATAAATTACATGGAAGTTTTCATTGGCTTAACTTAGCCCAAGGTGCATGATGAATTCATTGCTCAGTTTCTTCTAAGGAATTATTCATTAATGGTTTACTTCCACAGAGGAAATGATTGTAATGCCAGGTGAGAATGAGGGCAATGGAGACGTAACTGCCGGTGATCATCCTTTAAGTATTAACCCGGAGAGTCAATGGTCCACCTTTTTTCGAGATAATGAAGTTTTGCTTCAAATAGATAAAGATGTTCGCAGGTAATACACATTAAGCCTTTATGCACAGTGTGTGGATGAGGGATAATTTTGGTCGATATAAGTTCTTTAAATATGAGCCAATGGGTAAGTGTGGTTTTCAATCCGTTGGGACGTTTATTTCAATTTATGCATTTTGGGTGAAAACTCGAAACATTCTTAAAATTATGTTTAATATAAAAAGGTGGGCAATTTAAGGCTCTCTCTCGCAGTGACAACTAGAACTTTACAGCTCAACTAGTTCTCTAAATATGAGCCAAAGACCAAGAGAAATTTTTAACCGGCGCGTTAATTTCCATTTTTTGCATCTTGCGTAAAAACTCGAAACATTTGTAAAATGATGCTTAATATAAAAAAGGGGGCAAATTAAGGTTCTCTCCCGCAGTAGCAACTAGAACTTTACAGCTCAATTGGTTCTCTAAATATGAGCGGTTTTTAAGACGCGTGTTAATTTTCAATTTTTGCATTTTGCCTAAAAACTAGAAACATTCATAAAATGATGTTTAATATAAAAAAGTGCTCAATTTAAGGCTCTATCCCGCAGTGACAACTCAAACTGTACAGTTCAACTGGTTCTCTAAATATCAGCCAAAGACTCCGCGGTTTTCAATATCCGCATTAATCCGACAAAAACCTGAAACTCACTAATTTCAAGCAATGACCTCAAAAGCCTAATTCTTTTGATAGGTAAGCGCCTAACTAATTTTCAGGCTGTGCCCAGACATATCATTCTTCCAACAACCAACAGAATTTCCCTGTGAAGAAATAGTGAATAGTTGCGATATGAAAAGACTGCATACGCGAGTGCAAAGAAGCGTTATGAACTGCGCTAATGTGGAACGACGCGGATTAGGTATAACTAAAGTGAGCATTCTGTTACTTCGCTATTAACGAATGGCTCTGATCGAGTCTACCCTCTGTTTCAGATAGGCATTCCTGGTAAAAAAATGTCGGAAGATTACGCCCCGATGGAAGAAGGAAAAGAGGCTCACTGGGAGGTAGTTGAAAGAATACTGTTCCTATACGCTAAGTTAAATCCTGGCCAGGGATACGTTCAAGGAATGAACGAGATTATTGGGCCAATATATCACGCCTTTGCTTCCGATCCTGATATTAAATTTAGAGGTAGTCGCTCGAAATTCAGCTTCAACTAGAACCCAATTTTATGCCATTTATCTAGAATTTGCGGAAGCCGATAGCTTTTTTTGCTTCACAAATCTCATGTCCGAAATTAGAGACTTTTTCATAAAAAGCCTGGATGAATCTGTTCATGGAATCAACACGATGATGAACACACTACTACATCGGTTGAAAAACAGTGACCTCGATGTATGGCTAAAGTTTCAACAGCAGGATTTAAAACCACAGTATTACAGTTTTAGGTACAAAGCAATATTTTCTAGGTATATCTCATAAACCATGTAAATTTTGCAGATGGATCACATTGTTATTATCTCAGGAATTTCCCCTACCAGATGTTTTGCGGATATGGGATACATTGTTTTCAGACGAAAACCGTTTCGATTTCCTTATCTACGTATGCTGCGCCATGATTATGTAAGTACCACATTGTCGCTTTAAAATGAGAAACTATACATAAAAAACCTCTAGAATTTTACGAAACCAATTACTGGAAGGTGACTTTTCCTCCAATATTAAACTGCTACAGAATTTTCCACCCATGGATGTTCAAGTAATCCTTACAAAGGCCGTAGAGTTGTCCAAACTGAAACTCTTTTGATATGGGCACAGTGTTCGTGGTAAAACATGTTCCTACACTCATAACAATGAAAGTCAACAATCAGGAGCTTGGGTTTTACAATCAATACATTTTCAATGTACTTTAGAGCGGATCATTATTCCTTTCGGAGGATAATTGCTGATAAATTCATTGTGATTTACTATAATAGAAATATTTTTGTATTCGATATTTTATGCAAGCTGGTTTTATACTCTCTTGTAAGACTTCTTATAGCCATTAAAACATAGTTAATAGGTACTAAGTAGTAAAGAAAATTAATGGAAATATTAAATTATTTTATGCAACTGGAAATTGGAACAGTTGAACTCGAATACAGTGTAGCGTGCTCACGATAAAAAGACTAAATTTATTTAAACTGTACTCGACAAATGATCACTTTCGAGCGTTTTTCCTAAAAATTGTCGGTTACATTTTAAATAAATGTGTTTTTTCATCGAGAGCACGCATTGAATATTAATTGTCCACCAAACATACTCTACTAACAAGCACAAGTTAATTCAAATAAATATATCATAATAATGCTCAATTTCCAACAGATCTACGTAAAAAGGGATTCGTATGAACAAATTTGCTTAAAGTTAGCATTAACTTGTAAGAACTGAAATAGTTAGAAGTGTTTTATTACGTACTCAAAGATACATTTAGGTCAATTATTTATAATTTGTTATTAATATAATCGATTTTTTGATAAAAAAAAACCTTGTGCTTTCATTTGGACACGAAAGTCTAACTTCCTGTTCCTTCACTATTCCTCTTCATATTGTGTTTAGCAACCGCCTGTTGAGCCTGGGTCAAATTTAAGTTGGATCTCCCTGCTCTGGACCTGATTTCATCTTCAGCAGTCTTATTCACCGTTTTGGTAATGATTTGTTTAAGCTTATGAGCTTGTTGGGTCCTTTGCTTTTTGGGCACACTAGGAGCATCTAAAAAGCACAATAAAACATGTTAAAGTCGATTTCATTTTCATCAATCAATCAACGCAATTTGAAACACGACTAGAAAATGCTGTTTGCATAAATTGCAGCCATTTAAACCTTCTGCCACTTTATTGGGGTTTGGGTATTGAAAAAGCCTAGTGCAAATGAGCAATTGACTGAATAAAGTTGCATATTAGCTTCTTAAACCAATGAAAACATCGTGCAAAGATAAGTTTTCCATAGTGTCTGATATGAATCAATGTGGTGCTTCTACTCACTTGCTCGTTTTGTGTTTGCTGTGCCTTTTGGTTTTTTCGTTTTATTATTTGAGGGTAACTTTGATTTTACTTTAAGCTTTCCTTGAGCCATTTTTGTCAGTAATTTAAATACAATAAATGAAATATTTCCTGGGCACTATCAACCTCAAGTATTTAAGTGCCTTAAATCTTTGGTTAGTTACCAATTTTTCCTCTCTCAGGAAAAGAGTATGTATGTAAGTATGATCAGTTTTTCATTCTCATTCTCTTATTCTCATGGAGTGTTTAAAAGCAATTTTTTCAAAAATTAAGTCTCCTAGAGCTCACAGAGAAACCTTGAGCAAATTGGGAAAAACTGATTTTATAAAGACTTAAAAGTATTCCAAACTTTCGAGTACTTCTTCATTGGCGGGCCGCTAGGGGCGTCCAAATCGCCTGAAATAATTTTTTCCTAACCTAAGAAGCCACTAAACGTCAGTTATTTGAAAGCTAAAATTTTAATACCGAATTTTTCAAAAGTGATTTATTTCAATTCGAGCCTAGTATGTGAATATATCATGCATAAATAATATAAATGGAAATTACCGTAACGTAAGCGTAAAACGAAAAAAAATGGAATGAAGAAACAACTTACATAAATAAGCAGTAAAGTTCATGTAAATGAATGTCCGCAAGTATTTCGTTTCTGAGATACATACGAAACCAAATAAACCAGAAATTTTATTGGGATTTTTCAGTCTCTCCTATGCAACTCTGGCAGTTTTTTTTAACGGTATTTGTCTCTAATTTGGAATGTGGACTGGGCTACGGGGTGTACAAAGTTCAATGTTTCAATTTTTTTTGAAATAATATTTTTATAACACAGGGTTATTGATTGAACTTTGGTCACCCGGGTTTAATTCATAATTTAGGGAGAAAATACTATACAGGGTGTCTCAGAAATAAGTACTGTAAATTCGGGGGTAAATATCTTGCCCAATCAATAACCCTGTACAAGGTGATATTTTTCTTTGGGGCCGTGACTCATTGAAATTACCACCCTGATTTTTTTGTGGTGCATCACTGAAATTAATTTTTTTTTTAAATTCCAATGTTCGGTTTAGACGATTTTTTCGTGTTTGCTACCGTCTTTGATTTATTTGCAAAAGAATTAATGCATTTCCTGTATTTTCGACCGTACTAGAACGATGCCAGAAAGTTGTCGCTTACTGTGAATAAGATAAGAGAGGCACCAATTTGAGGCAAATATTTCAAAAACTGCAGGATTTAGAACGAAAAATCGAGAATTTCCAATTTCAACACCGTCTCTCGAACACAAAGCGGTGGAAAATGTTCTTGACTCACTCAGAGATTACATAGCTTTTAGGTAGAAAAGAGCGCCTTCTTCTGGAATCCTGCTCGTATCGCAAGTTAAATTCGAGCTATCCTAAAGAATTTCTACTGCATAGTAAAGTTTGCGGATGTAAACTAACAAAATTCAAAGGTCACCCGCGTTAAGTAAATCTGAATGAAGACTATTGTATTTCATTATCTTATATAATGATTTTACTTGGTGAGGTGTGAAATTCAAGATGTGAAACCTTGAATTTTCCTGAATTGCTAATGAATTAAATGATATTTATCCCAAAGTTGAAAAATACATCCAAACAATCACAATCTTGGCTGGTGAGGAATGCGATTTCTGACTGCTGGTAAATGCTGTATTGATTTGCAAAATATGGGTATTATTAAATAGTTCAAGATCATCCTCTTTTTCGGCCAACTACACACTTTGCTATACCCGAGCGCGTATAGCATTAAATTGATACTTTCACTCGTTGGCCGAGCAGACGGATTTAGTGAATTTTTTAAATTTCCAATCTGCACACGTACAGGCCGAATACACTGTTACATCAGAGGACGTTGAAGAGTGCAGTTATTCAGTGAAGATTAGTGCATTTTAGAAATTTCGCTATGCTAAATAAGGTACGTTATTGTTAGCTGTTGCCTGTGTAGTTTTGTAAAAAATAGGGAGTTAATCTAGCGGAAATACTGTAGGTAATTGTGCTGTGCTGTTGCTTATCAGCTACTGTAGCTGATATAGGAAGCGAAAGCGTCGTTACTCTTCCACCTGCACCTAAACCATACGCGTTTGGTTATGCTGCCGGAAGATTTCCTGGGCACATAGATAGGACTCATTCAGAAGTATCTGATGGATCAGGGGTAGTCCATGGTGAGTCTCCGAATTCAGTGCTTTCTTAGTGCCTGAGCATCGTAAGACGCAAATCTTACTCCGAATAGATCTCATTATATTTAGATTCCTATCCTTCGCAGGTTCCTACGCCTATGTAGATCCCAGTTTCCAAATCCGCAAAGTAGATTATATTGCGGATCACAACGGATTTCACCCTGTTTTGAATAAGAACGCCCCTGCTCTTCCAAACGACACGCCCGTAGTGGCTGCTGCTAAAGAAATGCATTTAGTTCAATATGCCAGAATTGCTGATCAACATCAACATGTGGCTCAAGTAAAACTTGATTTTTTGATCGATTTTATATTATTTTCAAACATTTTTTTTAGGGAGTGGTAGTGCCGCAAGATTCCAACGCAGTCGAATATGCCAAAAACAAGCACCTGTATCTGTTTCAAAAAATTGCCGAAGAGCATGCAAGAATAGCGGCCGAAAGGGAAGCTCTCAAATTAGCCCAGCACCCTAATTCTTTAGAACAGGAAGGAGATTACTAAATTCCCCAAATCCTAAAAAATATACATTGTGTTAATCAGGTACACATCATTCATATTATGTGGATGTCGTTTTTAAGTTTTTTAGCTTGCTCAAACTGCTACACCGTAAAACATTTTTCAAACAAACCTACAGCAATAAATAATAAAACAACGATTTTAGAGTTATAGAAAATATCTTTATATTGAAGGCAATAAATATCAAACACATCACTAACAAAAGCAATGCTCTGACATCGATTCATAGATTCAATAAACCATTATTTTCTTTGTACAATAATTTAACTATATAGGTATATGTACAAAAGAAAACTGAAAGAAAAAGGTCACTTTGGGAAATATTATAACAACTTCTAGAATACAGAGTTGTTTAAAGGAAGGATACAATTCGGAGACCGCTGAGGAACTGCGTATTGTGCAATGGTCATATGGGCCCCTAAAAACTTACAAACTAAACAATACGATTAACTAAAAAGTACGCGCAGTCTTCCCCAACTTAATTACATTTTCTATATTTGGTTTTTATAAATATTTATCTGCAAACATTAATACCGGGAAGACTCCGAACTGAAAAAGTAAATGATATAAACCAATTTGTTATTATACTGCTAAGCTAACAGGCGCGAATTCTCTTGCCATTTATAGATAAGAGTTTAAAATTTACAATACAACTTAAGAAACATCAGTACAAAAACAGTATTTTTTCAGTAATAAATTGATTGAAAATAAACAATAAGAGATACAAGTAAATGGTTACGTGTAACGGGCAATAAGAGATACAAGTATCTCTATATATTGCTTGTATCTGTTATTGTGTAATTTAAGACATACTATAATACAAGAGGATAAACATAGAAATGGTTTTGTAAGTATTTGCGAGCTATAATCAGACTAAGTATTTTATATCAATTCGATAGCTTAAGAACTTGTAGTGTAATGTGTGAATTAAACGAAATTTATTTAAAATTTGCCGATTTTGATTATATCTTATAAAAACTGATAATTTTTATTATTGAGTTAAAATCAACAGGTGTGCTAATGAAAAATTTCATTTTAAAATATTAAAATCTATTTGCAGCTTTTAATTTGGTCCCACGGGGACGAGAAACAACGTTTTTCTTTGCAAATTGTTCCCTAATAGGTGGCAAATATTAAACAACTTTCACTTCATTATTCCAAAATTAATTAAACATGGCATAATCAATTGATTATTACGTTTCTACCTAGGCGCTAATTTAATTTTTGATTTTTTTTATCGGTTTTTTTCACTCGTAGTGATTAGTTATTAATTAGGATAACACATAATCAATTAATTAATTGCTTATGAAAATAAAGTTTGTTTAGGCACTTTCCTAAACTTTCTTATTATGACAAAAAAAATGAGTCGGACAAGCCCCTTCGAGCCACAGCGGTGCAGGCAAATTATCTATATAACAATAAAACGGATCGATCTCTAACCAATCAAGATCCAGTTAACCAGAGTTTAAAAAATTATACTAGTTAATTTTTGGCTTTAACATATTAAAACATAAATAACATTTCTAAAGATCTCCAATTGCAAACCACCGTTAAAACATTCTACACATTAAAATTCGATATTAAAAAAATAGTTTCGCTTTTTTTAATTGCGTTACAAGGCTTGGCATCAATGTTTTCAATTACATGTTTTGGATATTGTTGTTGAAAAATAACGTATTTCATAATTTCCTAACTACAACACTTCGCAAAGCAGAACGACTACGTTCAACATAACAAATGAATAACAATAATAAGAGAATACAACTAAATAAATGTGAAGCATGAGAAAATAAAGAAGACATCTGAATGAACAAGTATTTGCGTACACACTTGCAAAAAGTAATAAACAGCATAAAACAAATAAAGAATTAAATAGTACTTTATTTACTAACTGACAGATGATGAGCAATAACTGTATTCAAATACATAAAGCATTGATAGTATAACAAAGACTTTCAAAATTATCCCAAAATTTCTCAACGCTTAACATGATTCGATTTTTTGCACAAGTAAACATGATGTCTAAACAATATATTCGGACATCAGCTGCCAAAAATTATTTTGGTAATCAATACATCAATATTTTAAATGTGGTCAGGGATTATGTCTTTATTGTCATTTTTGCACATATTTGTAGAGGAAAATTTATTTAGAGGGCTTTGCGGGCAGCTTTACATTTTAATGCAGGACTGTTAGATAATTTCGCTGTTAAATGGGGACAAATTGGCCCCCAAGATGACTTGAATTGATATGGTCTACCTTAAATAATTCTGGCAACTTCACAGCAATAACCAACGAAATAAACAAAATGCGTAACTAAATGAACAATTATCCGCATGTAACATTCGTAAAACGTTTGGACTAGAAACACAGTTCAGGGCGAAACTGTTATATTATGGTATCTCAGGCGGGGCACTTGCTTCATTCTTATCGATTAGTTATTTGACTTTAATTGTTCTAGTTTTTAATGCATATGTAAGACACTGATTAGTCGAGGCCAGTTTAGGGTCTTACCACGAAGAATTTGAAATACTCAAAAACATAAATTTTACCCTTTACCATTAGAACTATATTTATAAACAATGCAGTAAGAACATTCGGTCGTGATTTTGCTGCTCTGCGCCCAGCTGATAGCGGGAACATGAGAAAAAATTACTTCGAGATTGAACTGCAAGAATACATAGAAAATAAGTACTTTTGTTGACTCTCTTATGTGCTCTTAAGGAATTTCATTAAAATTTTTATAGTCTTCTATGGTGAATATACTGTGTATTTCAGAACTCTTCCCCAATCTAATTAAGAATTGGCAATGAAGAAAAAATCAATAGTGGTCTCTTATATTTTAGTAATCACTACATTTCCCAATTCCCTGATTTCATTTTCAACTGCTAATTCAAAATATGTATATTGTAGGGAAACGAACCCTTGACATTTCATAGAGGGCAAGTTCTGAGATGATCAGCCTATTTTCCTAATTTGTACTTTAATCCTGAGTACATGTTGAGAAAATTAGTTAAGTGTCTTAATGCAAACACTTGAATTTTATTATAAAACAGTGTAGAACATCCTATAAATTTGATTTAAAAACGACAAATAAACGGACGCACTAATGAAATGTTCAAAAAGTACGATTGAAGTCATTCGACAGAGTGGCGATTCAAAAAGCGAAGTCCGATCTCCAATGCCAGACCCCAAACTATCTCAACACCACTGAAATTACAATATGAAGCGCCCTAATCTAGGATGCAATATGGCAGAATCCTCAGCGGTTCATTATTATAACTAGGCCTATCTATGCATTCATACCATTCCCTGAACACTTGTTGTTCTTCTGTCCGAATATCACTTTTCTCACTATTGTCTGCGTTTTGGTATGGGTTCTGTGGTTCCAATTTTATCACACTATCACTTGCATTGGCACCGCTCCCATTGAAATCTGATGCGTTTTCTGATTCAGTTCTAATGACACTATTACTAATGTTACTAGTGCCGCCATCTGAAACAAACGATTTCGATGTATCAATTGGAAACTTATTTAAAACCTTTCAGCAAAAGTACTTAGTAAGAATCAGTATACGAATCAGTAAAAACACGACCAATAAAATTAATCGATAAAAATATTAATGATTTATTACTGCTAAGAGTTGTGCTTCATTTATACTTTAGTTGGAATAAAATTTCCATAAAAGAAACGCATTTTAAATAGAACGTTATACAGAATCAAAGAATGTTTGTAGTTTTATTTCAGTGTTTTTCGATAGATAATTTGACCTGTTCAAATGTTCAATGTTTCAAAAGTCAGAGAGTGGTTGAAAAATGCTGATTCTTGTTCTTACTTTTACCATCAATTTTCAAACAGTAAAGAACTAAATATAAAAAAATTACCTTCCGAAACGCTGTATTTCTTGAAGGAATCTAACGGTCTGACGTCTTTATCTAAACGCTCATATATATTAGGCACTATGTTCACATACAAATCGTTAACTTTCGCAGGCTCAGGACGTGGAGTTCCCAAGCTCCAATTGCCATTCACGTTGGGCAGAAAGGCTTTATGCAACCTGCAACGAAACAGAAAAGAGTTATAAACAGCGCCATGGAATTTTCATTGAAATGTGAATTAAAATAAGTTAATTTTTTTCAATTTTCACCTTTCAATTTTCTTTTCTGAGATGTCGTCAACGTTGTATTTGGTTGCCAAGAACCGTTTAGCTGGACACGCCGGATCTTCGATCATTTCAAAGGGAGGCAACTGCTCGATCTCTTCATCATCACAGATAGAGAAATCTTTAGGTTTGTTTTCTTTCAGGCGACAAATGCAAGGTGGGGTAGGGTCTGGTTCGTCTAGTACAGACATATGTATAGGAGGAAGCTGAGCGAGAGCTTCTTCTATGCTAAACGATCTGGAACAAGAAAAATACTTTAAACTAACTGATTTTGGTGCAATTCTGTAATGCCTCTAGAGCGGGTTTTGGTTAATGCTGATTTTCTGAATTAAATATTCTTACCTAGCCCCGACAAATTCTTGTTTCTGCGATGGTCCAGCAACATCAGTCTCTTGGCTCTCTTCAGTGCGACTACCAACAGATTCAGCATCATCCACAACGACGACGTCATCTTCGTCATCCTCCTGCTCAAATGCATTCAGCAGGCTTTTATCATTAATCACAGATCCGCTCTCGATCACGCGCTCATTGGGTTTGCTGGCACTTAAGGTCAATTTACCTACAAACAATTCTAATCAGGTAAGAACTATTGTTTGATAAAATGACCTGTTTACTTTTATGAGAATTCCTATTCCTATGAGCATTGGCGTTCAGTTTCCGATCAATAATGGACACCCTTTCGGTTAGTTTCGCCGCTTTCTCTTCTAAATCTTCCTTAGATGGTTTCAGAACCGAAGACAAACTCAGCGTGGCTGTATTTTTATTCTGGATGCCAGCCAAAATCTCCTGAGTAGTTTTTACTTTGGATACTCCTCGGGAAGCAGACACGGCAAGTTTATTGGTGAATGATGTCTCCGCTTCGTCAAGTAAATTCTTGTGATTTTTTGAGCCTGTAAAATAGCAAGTGTTGGATTATTGAAAATGTTCAACTAATTGCGCTCAAGTGTGTTTACTGACCTTTTTTGCGTCCCCGTTTCTTTGGCATTTGCTGATCAATATGGGGCTCACCCGTTCGTTCTGCAAAGCTGGAATTCGAATCCGAGTTTAGACTAATAGCATCTCGTTTCAATTCCGGTTTGGCCATTGACTTCGATATCACATCTTTGAAACTAGAGCTTGAGCTATCTGAAATCTCGAGATCGGCCACAGTTCCATTTAATCTCGATCTAAAATCAATTAAATTTCATTTCTCATTTAAAAACAACTAAAAAATAATGCATACCTTTTAGCGTTTGCATTATCGAAAACATCACTAGCTTGCCGTTTCTTGTTCTTCAAGCTGGTGTCAATACTTTGAGCTGCAGTCAGCGGAGGACTGGCAGTCTCCAATTTTTGCCTTTGAGCAGCCTGCGCTGCCAGTTTAGGACTTACTCGTTGGTCTCCAGGACTTACCATCTTATGGGGAGTTACCGACTGCTGAGCTTGAAGAGCCGGACTAAGCATGCGTCCAGTAGGATTAACAAGTTTATGTGCTTGCGATCCGGGACTAAGCATACGTCCAGGATTTACAAGTTTGTGTGCTTGCGATCCCGGACTCACGGTTCTTGCAGGAGGACTTGCAAATCTTTGCTGCATTTGAGGACTGACCAGTCGGTTCGGTTGAGCACCTGATCCGGCCAGCCTTTGCACTCCTGGACTTACCATTCGAGCTTGCATAACAGGGACCGGTGAATTTGCCTTTTAACGAATTATGTTATGAGCGCATTGTATAACGAGCATCGTTGGCAAATGTTACCTGTCTTGGGGGGAATGAATTAACTTTTGAATCAGCGCTGGGGCATTGTAGGGGGGGGCTCCCCTTGTTTGGGGTGGCTCTTATCGGTCCCGGTTGCGTAGCGGTCTTGATTTGCCCATTGGCTTCGGGAATCAACATAATGCGCCATTTTTTTACTAATTCTTTGGCACGTCTACGTAATTCCTCGTTTGACGTCTTGCGTCTGACCTCATTCACATACTTCCCTAATCGGGTGGACTGAAACAATAAAAAACACTCTAGAAACATGGCGATTTCTTGTTCAACTGTGTCATGTTCAACATCATCTCAAACAGAAAACCCCAAAAACAAACAAAAGTGCCTAACGGTCCACGCACATCTGGTTAGAGTATGCAAGACTTTGGTAGTAAAAGTTGAATACTTTGGATCAGTTACGATTCATCCAGGATTACAAGACACTCATTCGTAAGGAGAAATATCTTGTTGCAAATACAATGCACAAAAACGATGAGCGAATCAATGAAGCGACAATAAATAGTTGTATGTTAAAGCAAAAGATTTTCGCTTTACACATCAGGCCTATTTGTAAAAGCTTTCTGCACGATTTCCTACACCCCTATACCTCCAAAACGTTTCGTATTCGGACATATAAAGCAAACATATTTGTTCTCATGATCTCTAGAACCTCTCAAAATGTGTTGGGATATCTATGGAACACCCTGTATATATAAGAACGAATTCTAAATGCTTTTTAGATAAATATTGTCCCAATGTTAACCAAAAACGATTGCGTTTATATATTTTCGGCCATAAATCCTTTCTTTGCAGAATTTACACAGTGTTATACACTGAGGTTTGTTGCTAATTTTGTTAGTTTGCCATTCTAATTTTTGGAAATAGTCACACACTAAAGAATTAAGTATTAAAACTCGCCGTAAAAATTAGAAAATTAAAAGAAAATTTTAGGTATTCGGGATCAGTTTAAAAAAAAGGATAATTCCAATTTGGAATAAATCCAAATCGTAGGAAAATCGTTAATATGGTTCTACCAAAGCTCAGATTTTCTGGTTAGATGTTTCTCAATCACGAAAATATATAACGTTACTTAAAGAAACGAAATTCCAATAACAAGGTTATTTGGAAATAGCAGATAATAGAAAATGACCAGGAATTTATGAACTTAAGTGGTAAACCAGAAAAGAACCTCACACATGGTAGGAAAGGTAATAAATTTCTAAGTAAAAAGGTTTAGGTTACAATGACATGTTACCTGAGCGAATAATTTTTTATTGGTTGTTGATCTTACTCTGAAATCTTTAAGATGCTGTAAAAATTGGATCATTTGAAACAACCATCATGTTTAAATCAAGTAAACACCATAATCGTAATCATGTTTTTTTATATTTTTTTAAGATATCAATACTATAGCGTAGTTGCTAGTACTATAGCGTAGCCCAATTGATCTGATCTCAGTTTTCTTGTGTTTTGTCTACGTATATGTTATCTAAATGCAATTTTTCTCAGTCAAGAGAAGTATTCAAAATTAAACAATTGCCCAGCCATAACTTGAATTTTTTACAACTAAGTTGGTTCTAAATCAGAGGTTTTGTCACGGAAACATAGGATTTTGATCAAAAAATTAAGAAACCCTAGAACCTGCGTGGTATCTTGGTAATGTGTTAAATTTTAAATTAATGTAACATATAATGTTAGTAAAATTTTCAACACATGCGGAGTTTTTCTAGAGAAAGTCCTTTTATAAGGGAGCATAAGTTTAATAATAGCAATACATATATTTTAAATAAATAAATTTGTTTGATTATTATAAACTGTTAAAATTAGACATTTGAATATGTCTTTAAGCAGGTTTGCAACTACATGGATGATATTGTATGGTAGTCTTCGTGTTCCATTTTTTCACTTCAACCTTTATAAACCAACAATTTCCAAGAAAAATCAGGTAATGCAGCTTAATAATTTGTGGTTTTTTAAATGTTTCTTAGTACTTAGAACCTCGGATACTTTGGAAGGAAACTAAATAGTATCGATCAGAGGCCTGGAGAAGATTCTGCAGTGATTTGAAAACGACATGGGAAAGATCCTGTTGGATTACCACAAATATACACATAAAGTAGCCGGATTCGAGTGTTGAATTACTTGGGGTTGATCGCCCAAAGTTCTACAGCCGCACGGCAAGAACAACGTGAGAAGCACCTTTTACAAGGTGGGTCTCCTTTGGTTTAGTTCCAGAAAAGAAAAATACTTTTCTGGTCCGTTTATCGATCTACATGTATACGACTCTATTTCTACACTAGTCCTAACTTAGTCATGTTTGATAATAAAGTGGGGATATAATTGAACAGAGGAAATTGACATTGATGAATATTTACAACTTTTTATACAAGTTTGTATATGAATAAGCAAAGAGAGGGTGATTGAATGGAGCATCCATTCCATCCAACTAAACAAATTATCGTTAAAACCCCCCAATGTGTCTAGAGGTTAGAGGTGCTTATATGTGGGGCTCCTCAATAGAGATAAATATGAAGCCACCTATTTATATTAGGTAAGTCGGGTAGTGACTTAAGAAGCCTTGACACACTAAAGGAGTCCTATTTATTATTAAAAAGAGGGTGCTTGTTTACATGAAACTCAAATGACCCAATTAGAAACTGAAGGAAATGATTCTGATTGCTGATTTTTCTGCTCTCAATAGCCAGACGTGTTGAAATGTATGCCAAACTTTGCAAGAGTCCGAATACAATAAAAACACCAACAGTTCAAAGTAGTGGGCTATTAATAAACAGCAGAAAGGTCAGCAATTGGAAAAATATTAGTAAGTCAAAGAACAAACTTACCCCAAGCAATTCTTTGGTGATAGCCACTTTTTCCAATAGCGTAATAATGTTAACAACTTCGGGTAGATTGATGACCTAAAAATGAAGTTAAAATTAGCCAACATGTGTAGGTGAATCATCAAAACACCCTGTAAGTGAACCACACTGCGCCCTTACTCGAGTGACATTTTACCAAGTCCTTAGACGACACACGAAAACTTATAATACACTTGTTGGATGTTAATGGGGAAATAATGGCAAATGAAACAGTTTTAAATGGTTTTCTAGCACGGGGACCCACTAAATACGTGGTAGATTTGCAGGCATTGCTATGTCTTCTTATGTAAAAACGAGTCGCCTGACGTTGCGAAATTATGGGCAAAATCGTAGAAATTTAAGAAACATGAACAAATCGGGAGTGTAAATCGTTGAAGAATAAACAAATGTATAATCACGATGCAGATAAGGAACTTTATTTACACACTCATAGGGTAAGAGCACAGCACAGTCCACCTGGTTTCAAAGCCTCCGTTGGAATTCACATAAGTCTATATATCTCGGAAAATATGGTTTCCTTACATTATAATTACTATCCAGTGCTCTCAGTAGTCTCTGCGTTAATTCTGTTACGTTATTCTGCATTTAAAGTCGGTTTGTAGCGATAAAACCGAATATACTTCGAGAGTACTTTTCGTAGGTCCTCTCGACAATAATGGCGAACGGACATTGCGTTTTGTCCAGTTTTCTCGTCGGCACTGTGAAACGAGGAACATGGTTCATCCGAAAAGACTGAGTGGGGATCGTCGAATACGATTCGGTTTCGGCTCTGCGCCGGCGCGTCGCCGTCCATCACAAACCACACGGCGAGAAAAATCCCTATAACCGTCGGCCATGCTCTGTGTCTTGGACCGGATGGCGTTTTTTAATTCGCCTTGTTTCCACCTAACTGCCCAAATTAGACTTGAACTTCATGTGTGTTGCTTTCGTAATTATGAAATATTAGTTTGCTGAAAATTTCGGTTCGATTTTAGTCAAAAACTCGTCGAAATCCAACCATATAACAATCTGCCGTGGACGAACCCTAATCAGCTGATTGCATGGTTATTTTTGACCTTTTTCATTGGCTTCACTGATCGATTTTGCGGACAGTTTGAAATTTCTTTTTTAAATTATTTCTACAGCCTACACCCTAGTGTTGGTAAGTGTTTACTTTAAATAATCATTTATAAACACTATTCTTACATCTGGCTAAAGAGCAGACGTTTATCAATTGACTCTTATCGCTCTTCTCACATTTGTATCCATTAAAAATCAAATTATTTTATTGTTTGTAAAGAATGGAAACAGGCAACATGAACATATTTCATTTTGATGTGTGATTTTCGTTATTTTAGCCGTTAAGAACACTTAACTCACTAAGTTTTATAAGAACGACCGTATCTTAACTTGAAAATGCTACATTGAATGAAAATGAATGAAACACTTTTTTAGATAACGGATCCACATAATGTCGTATAAAGGCGCTTTTCGTTATTTTAGCCCTTAAGAACACTTAACTTACTAAGTCTTATAAGAACTACAATCTCTTGACTTGAAAATGCTACCTTTTTCTCACTCTGTAAGGTAAAAGCACACGAAATAATTGTTTAAATAACATCCACATTTTAAGGAAAATATATGCTTTTCGTTATTTTAGCCTTGAAGCAGACTTTTAAATTATTTAATTTTCTAAGAACGGCCATCTCGAACCTAAACCTGCTTCTTTTCTCTCCCTGTAGGGTCTATCTCTTTGAGGGATAGGGATTTATCAGTTAGCTGTTTAATGTGAAAACTAGCCCAAACAAGTATCCTTTTTACCTGTTCGCTTTCTATTAAGAGAATGGGTCGATTTCGTGAACATTCTTATTCTGTGGCTTTGTTGCACTTCCCCTCTGTTTCACAGCATCACAGCTTTCTTCGGAATAAGTTTCACACCTCGCCCGACCTTGTGTGTGTGTGTGTAACTTCAATGGTTAAGGAATAGAGGAACAACTAAGGAGTACCTGCATGTACGTTGTTAAATCATCATAAGTATAACTAACTACACAAAAAAAAACACATGTACAACGGAAACTGTTTGTTTATTTGATCAGTTCAGTAATAATTAAAATATTTTCTAGCCATACAAGCGAGAAACACATTCAAATTTTATCACATTTACAAACTATAAGTCATTATTTCACGTTCTTCAATTAGAAAACCGAACTATTGGTGATCTATTTCAGTTTTTTGAAATCCAATCAGACGAATTCCTTATAACAATGCACAATTTTAACCAGTACATAAAGTATTTCGCGATTTTTCACTTGTAATGAAAGAATCGAGTGCAAGATTTTGCTTTAAAAATAAATAAGTACTCTTATATTTACGAAAAATATGCATTTGCTGGCCAAAAACAATTTTACACTAAAAAAGGCGTGGCTGTTGCTCTTGATTAGTCAATTACATACAGTAGCACGTTCATTTTTAAACAAAAATCTCAGGTGTAGTTATTAATTTTTTTCTCCAGAAATAAGCTAGTTTTAAGCAAAAATTTGCCAATAAAAAATAATCACTTATATTAAACAGGTAGAACATTTTATGAGATCAACGATATATCAAAACCAATCAAGAACTTATAATATGTAAGTTTTAAATTATTAATAAGTGTAACTCTTTACGCTCTCGAGTCCCTAGGGATCCCACTTAAGGATTTATATGTTAAGCTATATCTCGCTACAAAAAACACTTGAGCTCGTAATTACATTGCTTATTTTGCCCAGTTTATAACTATTAGTTGATATTTACATTCCAAATTAATTCGTTATACTTAAATTGATATTCCATGATGTCGGAGTATATCCAGGATCTTGTTACTCTTCCTTCTTATACGTGGTCGAACATTTTCAAAGTTAATCAAATCATTCAGGAGCGTGTGACCGTGTTCGTTGTATAACATTTGGCAGTAACGATTAGCTGGAAGTGAGATTAAATCAATTATTAATTTATTATTTTGTTAGGGTAAAATGAATGTCAATAAAATTTGCACATTGATGTGCAATCGTAACATACACGATTAATTCTACTTGCAAATGAAATAATTTTCATTATAAAAAGTGCTGAGTCCACCAGCAACGTTATACGTTTGTCAAACGTTTGAAAGTCTAAGACAATGACGCTTTAACAAGAAAATCGTTATGGCGGTTATCCCTTTTTGAAATTATCGTTTGAAACACATTTATCACCTGAAAAAACAGGTAAAATTGATAGCTTTTGCTTCATTAAATTAAAAAAGCACAAGTACTATTATTCTTAGTTTAGTTAGGAATTGAATCGAGTGGTCGCTTTACTAGTAAAATTTGATATACTTACGATTTTTGACACAAACATGATGAATGGCCCATACGGCCCAATATTGTCCCTGATAATCCTTGTCCGTACTCAGGAGGGGAAAAAATGGCTTGAAACTCCTGTAAGTGACCATTTCATTGTTTGGTATTGGCCAACTGCGCACTACAGGATACAATAAATTTAAAATGTCCGTTCGCGAAAACGGTATTGACTGAAAGATAAAGATGAATAAGATTACATAAAATTCCATGTAAAACTTCAGCTGAAACTCAGATACCTTCCAGGCTTCATCTCCATCGGAAGTCAAATGTGCCAGTATGCCAGCGGCAAAAAAACTGACGTCAATGCTTTCAGATTGCAAAACATCGAGCAAAACCAGCACAAAATCGTTTGATAAAAGCCTGTGTCGCAAATGAATTACCTCGGCGATATTATTCAAAAGACCTGAAAGTTTCAGAGCATTTTAATAATAAAGGCGGGCATGTCAAAGGAAAAATCGGCATTCATCTACCTAAGACTTTCGTTTCAAGTTGCGTATTCCCCTTAAATAACAGTAACACTTTCACATAGAGCAAGTGACCCCCTTGTTCCAAAAAGACTTCGCATGGACCGATACTTTCATCCGTTAAATTCCACAGTGCACTTAATGTAAATGTGAGTGTCATATCAGAGATCCCAGTATCTACACGTCTAACTATGAGGGAAAGCATTTTTCGCATGTGGATTGGATTGGATCCGAGTTCCGAAGTTTCAGCAGTTGTTAGCTAAAAAGTTTATTACAGTTACAATTATGTCTTGCCAAAGTGGTAAAAAAATATTGTTTTCCATTTCTGTTGGAGCCTGTACCTACAGTATTTATTTTCAGTTAGTTACCTTCGAAGCTAATATGCTACAAATAGCTACAGCCATTCGATTCATATTAACATCTTCGAAACCGCACAACGTACCTAACACCAATCTGAAACAAACAAACTATTCGTACCTATCTGGCTACAGAGTGTTTCAAATGAAATGTGCACTATTGTGGTTTAAACGGTTAAATTAGCGGTCTAGTGGTCTATTCCCCGCTCTTTTAATTCTTTCTTAATAGGCCAATGACGACCATTCTGTGGCAACGATACAGGGTGTTCTATTAAGAAAAAAAATGTGACATGCTTATTGACTTTTCTGATTCCATGATTTAGGAGGATAAAATACCACTAATATTGCTAATTTTATGGAGCACTTTTCACCACCGCGAAAACTACAAAGTTGGGCGATTAAGACCAGATATTAAGATTATCTAACGAGCAACTAAGAAAGAAATTAAACTAGTGGATGTGAGTGTTTCGGACTGTTGGGTGCAATGCTGCAAATATCTGACTTTTAAAAAATGCCGGAATATTTGTAATTTTTAGTCCGTATTCAAAATTATATTTCTTTATAAGCAATTGACGAGGCAACCGATCCTTCGGAAAATTTCCAGGCTGCTGCATAAGAAACACACATTTTTAATCTCCCAATTTTCAGCAAAAAAATGCCACTAAATTGCCAATTTAATCGACTGAGCACCAATAAAATGCAAGAAGCTAGCGTAAGACCAAATTTAATTTGAAACACCCTGTATACGTGCTTTGAAACTTTGTCAGTTGAAACGTTACCTTGCACAGCGAGCTCTTTCAAATGTTACATCTTGTAGAATGCGGTCACTGCACAGAGTTAGGAGCGAGTTTTTCTGCAACTGAAATTCATCGGGGAATTTTTCCATGGCGAGTAGAACTAATTTGACCATTCTTCTCAGATCGTGCGGATGTATATGCTTGCACAATTCGGCGCGAGTCAAATTGTATAGGCAGGCTGTAGCAGCCATTTGAACACCAAATCTTTAAAGAAAATTATATATTTTTTTATTAATTTACCTTCCATTCACACATGGCCATACATTCCGAGGTGTGCTTCCATTCTGTCTACAATCAGGTTGAAAATATCAGGTCGAGGTATTGAAAAGAAGTCGGAATCTTGGAACAAATAGTACATTGCCTTCTGTACATAGTTAGATCTGTTCGTGTAGTAATGAAGAGTTACTTCGATTTGCTCGGTATTCGCTAATCCTGCGACGCGCATATTTCCGAAGGATTTTCTACAATTTTCGGGACTAAAGTCTGGATGAGATGCTGCCGAACATAGAACCAAACCTAAACGAAGTTTTGATGTAGGAATAATTATGGCATATATCTATTTTTTACCTAGAAAATTCAACTGATGGCAACTAACAAATTGCACAAGGAGACTAGTTGAAACATAATCCTTCCATCCCGATATGTCAAAACACTTGAGATTAGGTAGGCAATAACTTCGTTTCAAAAAAGCGAAAATAGTTTCGGGGTCAGAATTCCTCATAACGATCAAATTGCCGACCCTGTGAATTCCAATTTCAGGTTTTTTGTTAACTAAGCTCATATCTAACACTCTCAAAGAGGTCAGTGTATCTAAAAGGGCGGCCAGGTTGTTCGCTCTGAAATGGTCGCTTCTGGTCACATCCTAATAAAAAAACGACGATTTTCTTGAAGTATTCAAAGTGTTACACATGTATAGAGAAAAAAACCTTTTACTCAAGCAAAGGGTTAAAAAACGAGCAAGTAGCCCATAAAAAACTTAGATTAATTTTGAATTTGTCAGACACAAATATGAATATCCAACTATTTTGTTTCTTACCGTTAAACAAAGGCTAGTAAGTGTGTGTCTTAATCGCCTCAAAGGGTACAGATCCTCAATAAAAGTGTTTGATAGGTTTAAAGTCTCAATTAGCTTCCATTCTCTGCACAATACTTTAAATGTATTTTGGTCCAGTTCAGTATTTGAAACGTTCAAGTGTCTCAATCTAGAAAGGCCGGATCGGTTCGTTATGGAATCAATGCGAATAATGCCAGTGGGCGACTGGCAGTCGGCAAAGTTTGCCGTTGTGATATTTTGTAGAGACCAGTCGTTCAAACAAGCTGAAAAAAAACTATACTGGTAAAGAGGAAATAATTGAACTGGTCACTTACCTAAAACATCTCCAATACCGACATCAAGCAAATTGCCTATTTCCAATTCAGTGATTCTGTGTTGCTTTAGGATTTCCAGTCCACATTTACTAACTTTACAATTTTTAATACTCACTTTTCGCAAACAAGTATTGCGACTATTAAATATATTCAACGTAGCATCACACAGAACTTTTTTCTCCATCATTTTGTTCAACAATTCCTCAGATACTTTGTTGATGAGAAACATATCCGGATCGCGAAATTGGTATCGTTTATCAATTTTTTCTTCATCATAACAGTCACTTCCTAAAAGATAAATTTCTAATTTAGTTTTTGTGATATACACTTTGTCCAAGTCCAAGATATAAAAATATAAATTAATAGCGCGTGTATCAATAGAAATCAAATCGAATGCTAAAATTGTTTCTAGGCCAGATAATGTCTTGCCACTTTGGTGGAAATGTGTCGAAAATATCTAATATTTTGGAGGTCTCATACATAATTGCGTTTAAATATTACATTTTGAATGGTTTATGTAATAGTTATTACAAAAACACATACAAAATACCTCCTAAATCCGCAATAACTGCCATTCGGACGTCCCAATAAAAAGCACAAATGGGGTAATTTGTTATAGATCATTGTGAAATTTTACCCACTAGTAGGTAGTTCTAGTTTGAAAAGTTGTACATATTACCTTCAGTGTCTGTCCTCCATCCATCTTTAGTTCGAATTTCTGGTTCAACGAAAAGCAGTATGTTACTGCAAGCAACATTCAGGCAAATTTCTTCCAGAGAAATGGGGCTTTGATACATTTTGTAACTATTGATCTTATGTAAACAATACCACGCACTAGAACCAAAGGGTAGGTAATATTACCCACTCTTTGCTAGCTCTATGATCTGTTTATTGGATTTATTGCGTAAAATCGTCACACTAGTTGGCCATTTCTTTAACTACGCACATCGGTACCAGTTTCTCGATGTTATAAAGCTTTTTACTATGAATTGGATCGCAAATTAGCACTGTCTCAGTTCATCTGGTACTCTGACAATCAGCTGGGTGGAGTTTTGGCTTGATTGATAACCTTTGCGGCATTGACTAGCAAACAATACTCAATTTGCTTATTAAAAATACGGTCATAGTTCATCAAATACACTTAATGGTAAATATTTGTTTTGGTAATTGTTTATAAACGCACGGATGCAAAATGTAAACACAGATGACTCTATGATCTGTACAATAAATTTCTTACTATTGTCAAATTTGACATAGGGATTTTTGTTAATCGATTGGCACGCTTTACTCGTGAGAAAGGCTCATTTCGCGTTTAAAAATTTAAATAGAAAAGCCAAGTATGTGACAAAATCGCGCAAGATGGCAATTTATGAAAACAAGCATCCCATAAAATGTTTTTGGCGTACGTTTTTAACAATATAAGAAAAGCAATAGTTTTTAAGGCTTGATTTGGGGAAATTTAGCGGACAACAGCTGACTAAAATCACTAAATGTCATTTTATTATGTTGGTGCCACTGTGTCTTAGGAATAAGAAATGCTTCCCGCGCTAAGCACGATAAATCTAAGCGCTGTCGAGAGTTGTAGCAAAAGACTGATTTTCTTTAAGTTAATTTTCCTGTGTTTGAACTGATGTTCGTGTTGAAAACCTCCAACTACAATCGCCTTTACAAACTGTTAAGCAAACGCTCTTAGACGCAACTTTACAAATTTAACCTATATTTCCTGCTGGTTTTCGGTTATAACAATGGCAAAAGTACAGCTTTGCAACATTACGGTAATGGACAATCCCAGCCCATTTCTAAACCCTTTTCAATTTGAAATCACTTTTGAGTGTATAGAAGAACTGAAAGAAGGTAAGTCAAATGGAAGTTACTATTAGAGGTGATTTTTATGAACCACCAAACAAACAAATATGTCTGGCATCCACCCTATTGGGTCGCCTTGACTAACTATTTCTTTGGTATGCAAACATTATTTTTTATGCTGCAGATCTTGAATGGAAGATGATTTATGTAGGATCAGCAGAATCAGAAGAATATGATCAAGTTCTAGACTCTGTTTATGTCGGCCCGATCCCAGAAGGAAAACACATGTTCGTATTTCAGGTAGGAGCTTTCCCCATATAATGGGATTTCATCGTGATTGTTCATGGCTGATTTGAACACCACGTTTCAGGCTGATCCTCCAAATGTCTCTAGAATACCAGAAAACGATGCTTTAGGCGTTACTGTTGTCCTCTTAACTTGCTCATACAGAGCACAGGAGTTTATTCGAGTAGGATACTTCATAAACAATGAATATAGTGATCCAGAACTGAAAGAGAATCCCCCAAGTCCTCCTCAGTTTGACAAGGTATGATAGTCATGATCATTTATAGTATTAAGGGTGAAATTAGGTTGTCTAACTAGGACTGTATTAGAGGTGTGCTAAACGGTTATTTTTATGGAACAGGTTACAAACTTCACGTTGCACTTTGGTATTACGTTCCAAAAGGAACATGTTACTTTTTAAATTTTTCATAAAAAATTCGCAATGGTAATGATGGTAGAAATAGTAATGATAAAGCTAATTAACATTTAAGAACATTTTTTTTGCGTATGCTTTTTACCAAGTCTAGTTCTTCGCTCGTCTATGATAGCACCCGCTTTGGAAAATAATTCTCGCATGGGACCGAAGTACTAATACCTGTTTTTTTTTGTTATGAAATAAGTTTGTCAACATCTTGAAAAATTTAATAATCTTGTCTACCTTTTAACTGAACTTCCACTGATTAATAGGGCACCACAGTCTTTGTAATAGCATTTGAATTATTAACGCGTGTTATTAAGTCATATTGGAATAATTTTAACGTAATTTAATAATAATTTTAATTTCAGGTTACCAGAAATATTTTAGCTTCTGAACCGAGAGTTACAAGATTTAAAATCAATTGGGAAGAGCCAAATGCACAAGAATCAATGGCAGGTAATGCTGAGCCAATCGTTGCAGATGCTCAACCACAAGAGCAAAGTGGTTCCGCACAAGTCCCTAGTTTCAGTGAAAATTCGAACTCTTGGGCCACGATGGAATGTTCTTAATTTTGCGAGTTCTGTCTTTCAGATATTGTTTGGATCTGTTCAGTGTTTTGTTGATAATTTTTGGTTTAATTAAAAAGTCGGTAATTTATTCAGTGTATTGATGCTATTTTTTCTTGCTGTTGAACAAAGGAAGTAAGACAACTAGATTAGATTTATTTGAAGTAAGGGGAGCCTTTTACATGCAATGTTATCCCAAATTTTGGCGTGTCTTATTACTATTTAGTGAAATAAATTAATTTTTTTGTATATAATGGGAATACTTTTTTTGCCGGCTGTTTACTAATCTCCGCTAGGTGTATTTTCTTTTCATTGAATTAATTACTTGTTTATTGAAGAACAGGGAACGGTTGCTCATATTCATTAGTTCGTTTTCGTAAACAATTCGATAACTTTATACGTGCAGCAAGAATCAGGCGTACTTGATTTTTTGAGGTACAAAAACACTTGATATCATTATTTTGCGTATATTAGAAAAAATAAAAAATGTGTAAAAATAATCTATAAACTTCAAACATTTAGATAGAGCGCCGTGATCTATCAACTATTCATAAATAATTAAATTTAACACATCGCTTGAAGGAAAGTTTAAACAAAATCCTATATTTCATATATCAGTTCATTTCGCTTAATTATGTTTTTTTATTAATTAGACTCGCGGATAACTGAAACAGTTTCTAAGAGTTCTTGTTCAAGAACAAGATTCCTCTTTGTCAGTCCGCTTTAATTATGTTTCTTCCACTACTTGCTGGGTCAATTTCAAGTGAGAATGTCCACCATATGATCTTTTCTGTAATGCATTTTTTTGCCGTACTTATCGATAAATCGTTTAGGGCAGTATTCGCATTTGAATGGCTTCTCGCCGGTGTGCGTAAAAATGTGCCTTTGCAATTTATTGCCAAAGGCGAATATTTTTGGGCACATGGGACACAAATATTTCTTCTCCGTAGCGGGCGCCTTCCAATTACCTTGATCATGCACTACTTTCATATGCCTTCGCAGTCCCTCTCGGTTTTTATAGTCTTTTGCACAATAAGAGCACTTAAACAGCCTTTGGTTGGTGTGGGTGTTCAGATGGAGCATTAGTTCAGCCTACAAATAAAAAATCACTGTTTAGACCTAAAAAAAGGATACATCTGTATTCATTACCTTATTAACAAACTTCTTTTCGCAAATGTGACATTCGAATTCTTTAATTCCCTCGTGTCTTTTCAAATGCTTCATCAAGTTGCCCCGAATTGGAAACTTCTTATCGCAAAACTTGCATAGAAACTTCCATTCGGCAGGATCCAAATGCATCTGCAAACGATGCGTTCGCAAATTACTATGCGTTTTGAAGCTGCGGTCGCACATCGGGCATGGGTATGCACGGTGTTTGTTGTGGATTTTATTGTGATGATTGAGATCGGCAGACGACACAAAACTCTTGCCGCATGTGGCGCAAATGAACGGTTTCTCGTTTGTGTGCTTTCGGGAGTGTATCAGTAAACTATACCTGAAACAGTAAAAACATGATTTGCTAAAGTTAAACATAATATAGTTAAATGCGCGTCTTTTGAAAAGTGATATATTGGTATTTCAGGGATTTTTTAAATAAAAGTACCCTTCCGTGACAAAAAAAAGGACTACTCGCTGCACCGACTATTTTCGCACTTTCGTGTATCCTGAGAGAACCAGAAACGTTTGAAAAATGATGTTTTATATCAAAATAGGCGCACTTCAACGCTTTATCAAGTACATCAAACTAAAGATGTTACTTTAATGATTCTCTAGGTCCCAAAAAATAATATTAATTTGCGTGTGTTCTGCCTTTATAACGTGTCTAGTTTTAATTTATTGGCTATCTTCCATTTTTCTGTATTTATGATTGGCTTTTGAGACAAGAAATGTGTATTTATAGGGTGGGAAAAGTCATCAAAATCCACGTCCGCATTGTAGAAAACATATTTAGAAAAATATAAATTTTGCATAAAACGCCGCATGTTGTGTGCTTTCTGACTGTCTAAATTGCTTCTACTTATACGCTACATATTTGCTACTTCTTACCTATTCATATATCTAGCATCACATTGATCACATGAGAATGGTTTTTCTGTTGCATGTTGAGCGCGTAAATGCACCGTCCAATCTTGCCGCTTCTTGAAAATTTCATCGCAGAAACAGCATTTCTGTGGTTTCCTTTTAAATGACTTTTTCTTTACTGCGCCTGGTTTAGGTTTCTCGTCGAAATCATTCTCATCCTGCAAGTCCTGAATGGAAAATCCTCAATAACAACAGTTCCCCGTTAAGCATTACCTCCGACTTAACACTGTAGCTGCTGGTAATGAGATTAAAGTCGTTTCCACTCTCTTCATCATCACACTCTTCGTCACTAGGATCCGATTTTTTTATTTGCGATTTTATCGAGTTTGCTAGTGCATTTGCCTCATCCTGGAGGGTTTCTTGATTTTCTTTGTTTTGGTCCTCAGGCATGCAGCTTTCATTTTTCACAGCAATACCGGCAACTTCTGATTTCACATCACAGCTAAACGAAGCAACTTAATAGATTTATCTCTTTTCTTTAACGCGACTTTTGGCTAAATTGGGCCATCGGCCCAAAAGCGGTGAAATTCAGTTGAACTGTTTAATAAGAATCCAGGTATAAAAAGATTGAGCAAGTAGGTGCTGAGAAGTAAATGTGGGGACTATTAATATAGAAATCATAGTGGAATTAGGAGGAAGTATTGCCGAAGACTTTCTCAAAACGTAACAATCTTTCGTCATTCTATCAATAAGATCAAACATTAAAAGCTGAATTTAAATTTGAAAATATACTTTTGACTTAGATCCTTATATTTTACCTAGCATCACACTTGATGATAAACTCTTGGGTGGAATTCTCCTCATTTTTCACAGCTTCACGTTTCTTCTTGATGTGCAACTTTGTAATGTGTTGGCTCAAGTACCGCTTTTGCCGGAAAGTTCGGCCACAATGGTCGCACGTAAAGGCCCCATTGTGAGTGGGAGAAGAACTGCAGTTGTCATCAATGGATTCCTTTTCGGCTAATGCATCCAAGTTCTCTCTGCGAAATGCTTCACTTTCTATACAACACTGAACGAATTTGTATGCAGAATCCAGCTGTAAACTGCATGGGGGACACAATTTGTAATAAGCCTTCCAGGTCTAAAATTCAGTAGAAACATCAGCAAACGTCTTTTCAGTTATGAATAAACTATATACCTCGTTAGGAGCACAAAATGTTAATTTTTCTAAATGATTAACATTGTCAGCATCCAATGTATCTAGAGGATACAAAACTTGATTAATTTGCATGCAAATACAGCAAGCGTAAGTAAAACCATTCGTCATGATTTTACAATATACAAGCTTTCATGCGAGTACTTTGCTATTATCATTAAACAATATAAAACAATACATTCCGAAAATGCATGTTTTGTTATGGCTTTTTTGCCTGAAAACTGTCACACTCACTGTCAAAGTTTGCTCCATTTGAACTAATTTACTGTAGAGAGCAGGCTTCCCAGCCTAACCTCATTTCCAATGCTGCTCAATACAAACAGAAACAATCGCATTTAACTTGAAAGAATTTATTAAAATGCTTTTCAAAAAGAGCATAAACCCGTCAGTTTTTACGGCCATTCAAAGTGTGGATATGGAGACATTGGCAAACTGTTCTGAAACGGACATTCGACCAGTTTTACCTTGTCTAGTTCGAATGGGACTCATATCTGCCTTGGATTTCTCCAAAAAGTGCACTGATATGAAAGTGAATATTCTTACCATTGTCAGCGGCATGGAGCTGGTAAATTCTATCGTAGCCCTGCTTAGTATAGACTTTCACAAGCTGGAAACTGATGTGAAGAAAGAACAGCAGCTCCGATTAAAGGGCAACACCGTTCAAAATGATTCGCTTTTAATAGGGAATTTATCAAATACTAGCATGGCTTTGGAGTATGAACGAAGCGACATGACTAGGAGGCTATCAATTTTATTAGGTAATGTTTAGCTTATTGTTTCCCGCTAACTAAGGGATATGGTTTGATTGCTATATTTTACAGGAGAACTCCTATACATTCAGTCTCAGATCCAGGAAAACACTGAAATCGTCGAACCAGAGTCTTATATTAAATCCTCAGATCTATTTGACAACGATATATTTGCCGAAGAGTTGTCAGACATCATCTGCATAGCTTTAGCAGAGCTGCCGACAACGTTAACAATTATTTCAATCGTTGAGACTCTTCTACACATTCACAATGGGCCTGAAATTGTTTGTCGAGTGGTTGCCAACTTTCCTGATAGTTTTCGAGAAGGTATTTTCATCATTTACATGTTTATTATACGAATTATATAGCTATGTTCAAATGCTGAAAGTAAACCGATGGTTGAAGCCCCGATAGCAAGCAAGTTTGGTGGGTAGATTTGAAGAAACAGGAAATGTTGCATTTAAGAAATTAAGATAAGAAACAGCAACAAATTGAAACATTGAACCCGGTTATTACTAGCATTTCAAGTAGGATTTTGCCATTGAATAGAGCACTTTTTTGTCAAAGTTTCGAATTTTTAACAGTACAAACTGCCTCACCAGTTATTCATTATGTATGCTTATTGCTTTCAGTATGTACGTACTTAATCCAAACCGGTGAAAAACAAGAAGAGACTATATCAAGCACAATCAGGTCCACTACAATAAGACTGTTGTGCCGCATGAATCCATCCCAAGCCCTAACAGTACGATCTAAATGCGTAGAATTATGCAGAATGCCCGCTTTGGCTATTTTACTGTCACTCGGTGAACTCCAAGGAGATAACGAGGGGGATATGGTGGCCTTTGTTAGTGGATTACTATTGGGAAATGACCAGACTATAAGGTATGAAAGCACGTTTTTAAATACCTTTCTAAGCCTTAACTGAAAAACCATTTCAGAAACTGGATTGCTCTGTTCTTCCGTACAGGGCAGAAGAGGAAAGGCGAAGCATCCAGTAATGCTCTACAACAATTAAGAGAGGAATTGCTTAAAAGATTGCAGAAAATAATCGATTTGTCTCCTGAAGGCCAAATACCCGACACTTTGGTTGTGCAAGCTTCCGCCCTATTGCGACTATATTGCGCTCTTAGAGGAATAGCCGCGATAAAGTAATACTCCAGTTCATATTTATGGCCCTGTTTAATATAGCGAATTCCTTCAGATTTCAGGACGAAGAGGTTAATCTTATCGTACAGCTTCTAACGTCGCACCCCAATCCCACCCCGGCAGGAGTAAGATTTGTTTCCATCGGCCTGTGTATGCTTATTGCTTGCCCGTCTTTAATCTCACAGCAGGATCATGAAAGGCGCAGTATAGAATGGGTGTGTGTTCTGAGAAAATTTCAAGTTAAATCCAGTTATTTATAGTTATTTATTTAGGTTCAATGGCTAGTTAGAGAGGAAGCGTATTTTGAATCGGCTAGCGGCGTGACAGCGTCTTTTGGCGAGATGCTGCTGCTGATGGCCATTCACTTCCACAGTCAACAGCTTAGCGCTATTTGCGAGTTGACTTGTGCTACTTTAGGGATGAAAATCGCTATTCGGCACAACAACATGAATCGCATGAAACAGGTTTTCACTCAGGAGATTTTCACCGAACAAGTGGTTACTGCACATGCAGTTAAAGTACCAGTGACTCGAGGATTAAGCGCCACCATGACTGGTAATTTCAATTAATGTCTCACTAAGTTACCAAAAGGGAATTTTAATGAAACATACAGCAATAATATGATGTATATTTTTCAAATTGACTAAAAGCAAACTCGAAAAAATGGGAAAGATTGCACGCCTGGAAAAAATGTTTTATAAAGCGGAGATTTTTTCAGCATTCAATTGCGTCCGTGCGCTTCTGTAAAATGTCTTCAACTTTCCCTTGAATATTTTTTATTTTTTATTTTATTTTTGTGTCTCAAAAAAACACTGGATTTTTATCAATTTTCCAGGATTTCTGCCAATCCATTGCATCCATCAGCTTCTAAAGTCGCGAGCATTCGCAAAGCACAATGTTAACATAAAAAATTGGATCTACAAACAGATCTGCACTAGCGTGAGTCCATTGCATCCGGTATTACCAATGCTTGTTGAGGTTTATGTGAACAGTATCATGCTTCCGAATTCCAAGACTACCGAACACACCAATAAACCGTTAACTGAAAATGAAATTCGACGGGTAAAATGACTTTAAATTAAATTTTTGGGTCATTAACCAAATCGTTTGCAGGTATTCCAAAGTTCGGTATTTGGACAGTATTTCGATAACAGGCAGTCGATTTTTACCATGGATTTCGACTTGAACGCAGAGGATCAAGATGTTGTCGTGGATAACACCAGTTTAACTCCCCAGTTGCTTCTGTTGTATTATTTGCTGCTGTATGAGGATTGTAGGTTGAATAACGCCCAAGCTCTGGTATCAAGTGGCCGGAAAATTAAGCAGTATACTTCTGAATTTATGTCTGAGCTTCCCATTAAGTATTTGTTACATCACGCCCAAAAAGACCAGAGCTCATATTCAGGCAAGTTTATCCAACCAAGTTCAACATGGTCAATTTCTTCATTTGATGGTCTCTTTAGGTCTGTTCGGGCCCCTTTTGAAGCTGCTGGCCACCCATTTTCCGCATCTGACTCTAGTGGAAGATTGGCTGGATGATATGTCGATTCGCGTGGAGAAAAAGCCCGTCCACATTGACGAATACATGGTAGTTTCGGCGTTTAATGAAATTGAAACCAACCCATACAAGTAAAACGAAATGTTAAATTTAATATCACTCATCTAGTTGAAATTGTTTGTTGTAGATGTGCAAAACTCCTGCAGTTCATGCTGAAAGTGGAAGCTATAGATATCTGGCCGTTTGCCGAAAGTTTTGCTCAATTTGCCAAGTGAGTGCTAGGGAAACTGAACCTGCCTTTATTTTGATCTTTTTTCTTCCTGCAGGAATGTTCTTGGTAGCAACATTCCCCGGTACCTTCAAGATCTATACAAGGATGTGTGGCTTCGACTGAACACAGTGTTACCGCGCCGTCTGTGGGTTCTCACCGTAAAGAATCTAGTAGAGGATTTCAGTCTAGTAACGAAAATTGATGTGGCAGAAGATCCTTTACAGGTACCAATCTTTAAAAATGTCCGGATCTTAATCTGAAAACGTTTATGTTGCAGATTATGCGATGTGATGATCGAGTGTTTCGATGCGCTCCAATTTACGCGATCGTTTTACGGGTTCTCAGAGCCAGTCTTGCTTCTTCGCGCAGCCAATTAACTCAGCATCTACAAGCGAATCCACGTGTCGATGCTCATGGACAGATCATGAATGAACCGGATAGAGAAGAAATTTGTCGCGCTACGATAGCAGCACAGGTGAGTTCTGAATATTTTTTTGTTTATTTGCGGTTGATAGGCGGCAGAGTATCCTTGCTTTTGAACTGATTTATTTCAATTGAAATAAATCAGCTTGCTTTTGGAGCTGAAAACTTTAACAATCGGTCCGGTCGGTTAAATTGCGAATTTTTTACTGAAAACTGCTAATTTTATTGTATATGTAGACGAGTTGAGATTTTCTGTAAAATAACCTAAATGAAATTTTTTTGCCCATAAGAAATTTATATTAACGAGGGCAATAAAGAAAGTAACCCCTCCATAACATCGCGCTTTGTCTAATACTTTTCACCCTCATGCGGCTAGCAAATTCTTTCGGGCCCGGTTTTTATTGCAAATTTGCACACATAAACCAACTGGAGACAAAGTTTCCATCAAATGAATGTCTTCATCGTTGTTTTAACTGAAAATACATTTTTATGGTCTTTTTTCACCCTCTCTCTCTCTCTCTCTCTCTCACTCAATCGTAATCACAAACCTAACCTGTGAACCTAACCTTACTTCAATCTGACTTTCTAAAGATTTGTAAACAATCCTTGCAGCATTATTTTGAATTGTAAAAAAATACTCGGCGTTTTAAACTCGTGTTCGAAATGGTTTCAAGTGTTTATCAGTGGTAAATCCGTGTATCGTCGAATCATTTGAGTGAAATGGATCGAAGACATAGCAAGGGGCACAGTTCGAACTCCTATAGGGGTGAAGCAAGAAAATACCCTAGAAGACGCTCAAGAAGCCGATCTAGGAGCCCGAGTCGTCGAAGACATAGATCAAGATCCAGGAGTTCTGCCCATGGCTCAACCCGAAAAATTGAAGACTATAAATATGAGCTAACGCGATTTTTGGAAGAAAATGCAAATATCAAGCAAACTGCTGAGTTTTGGACATTCTACGAGAAATATTTGACCATGCAAAAGGCTAAGCCCAAAGATCCTGCCCTGGACCGCAATGTTCTGTTAAATATTAGCTTTGCCGCACCCACAAACATCCTGTGGGACAAGTTGCCAGTGCTGGATAAATATGGAGAAAAAGTCGAACTCAATAGGCAGGACTTTGAGGAGTTTTTGCTTATAATCCGAATTTACAAGGACTTTCAACAGAAGTCGAAATTTTCGAAACTTCACAAGCTGCGGTCTGCTCAGAGGGATTTACCCATTGCACAATACAAAAGCGAAATTGTCAACAAACTGAAAGAGAACAGAGTGCTGTTGATAGCAGGAAACACTGGTAGGCATTGAATAAAGCCCTGATAATCTCACCTTTTCTCCAACACATTTTCCAGGCTGTGGCAAATCAACGCAAGTGCCCCAATATGTGATGGAGGCCGGCTATACTAAGGTCGTTTGCACACAACCCAGAAGAATTGCATGCATTTCTCTGGCAAAACGAGTCGCATATGAAACTCTTACGGATTTCAAGAGCACCATCGGTTATCAAATAAGGTTTGAGAAGTCCAAGCGAGCAGATACAAGTGTAATTTTCATGACTGAAGGGTTATTGTTGAGGCAGGCTTCTGAGGAGGAGACTCTGAACTCTTATGATGTGGTCATATTGGATGAAGTCCATGAAAGGCATTTGCATGGCGATTTTTTGATAGGTAAGTACCATTAAATTTGATGTGGGGATAAAATGCCCAGTTTTTTTAGGTATTATGAAATGTGTGCTTTATAAAAGGACGAATCTTAAGTTGATATTGATGTCCGCTACTATTAACTTGAAGTTGTTTACCAGCTATTTTAGCGAGGAAAATATAGAAGTGATTCAAGTAAGTGTATTTTACAGGATTTTGTTCTTGAGAAACAAGCTTACTGACAACAACAAGACTTTAATCGTGGTTTAAACAACCTGATTTGTTTTTTATCAGGGCGCAATGAAAGTATTTAACATGATCAACTCTCTCCATTTGGTTCCATCATTAACTCTATAGTGGCACCTTATTTAATACATCTTTAGATTTGGCCCATAAGCTCACTACTAGCGATCCTGTTTGGTTGTCTTAAAGCATTTCTCAATTTACATAATTTATAATCGCAATTTCTGGGATCACAAAATATACGACAATAAATGAATGCTTCTGTCTTCACAAATAATATTCGGTTGTTTTGAATCTCCCAATTGAAAGAAAAATAAATATGAAAAGTTTAAAACCATATTCCTGCAGCAGGAAGATTCTTTCTAAGCAGATTCTTATGGATTTCCACCTTGCATCACTTGGCAATAGAAGCAACTTTCCTCTTTCCAAGTATTTACTTGAAACTTCACTATTTAGACCAAATTACCCAACATTGGGTTTGTTTTAGAGGCTCTTATAATTTTGTTTTAAGGTCCCTGGAAGACTCTACCCAATAGAAATAAATTACAAGCCCATAGTAAAAGACCCTTTTGAGAAAAAGAGGGATAAGTTCAATTGTACCCCTTATCTACAAATCCTCCAGATGATTGATGAAAAATACTTGCCAAACCAGAAAGGAGACGTTTTGATTTTTTTAAACGGTTTTTCCGAAATATCCACTCTTGCAGACGCTATAACGGAGTACAGGTAAAACACCGCGGAAACCCTACGGAAGCATGCACCTAAACTTTCGTTTTGAAATAGTCAAATGAAAAAGAACTGGATTGTTCTGCCACTGCACAGCAGTTTATCTCTTGAGGATCAGGACAAAGTGTTCGATTATCCTCCCGAAGGAGTGAGGAAGTGTATAATTTCCACTAACATTGCTGAAACATCTGTTACCATCGACGGAATAAGGCAATATTACTGATTTCACCTTAGAATTCGTGAGACTTAATTGCCTGTTTACAGGTTTGTTATTGACTCTGGGAAATGCAACAGAATGATCTACAACACCAATGTGGGAATCAGCAAGTTAAGCGAAGCATATATTTCGCAAGTAAACCCAAAAATTTCAAATTTTAAACCAGCTCTTCTCAAATGAAATTTCCGTGTTTTGCAGGACAGTGCCAAGCAAAGAAGTGGCCGGGCTGGACGAACCGGTCCAGGTGTCTGTTATCGAATGTATTCCGAAGAAGACTTTAATAGTTTTGAAGGTTTTACTCCAGCAGAAATTCATTTGGTGCCTTTAGATTCGCTGATATTGCACATGATTTCGCTGGGATTAACTGATATTGAAAATTTTCCTTTCTTAGAAAAGCCCAGTCATAAGGCCATTGAAGAGAGCTTAGAGAAACTGAAATTTGCAGGTAAGTAACGCACAAGAAAACACGTATTTCTATTGACTTCGGCACTTTCAGGCGCTCTTAGTCTGTCAGATGACTGCTTATCTTTAACCCCTCTAGGGGATTCTTTGAGTCAACTGCCCGTCGATCTCTCAATTGCAAAAATGCTTATAATGTCGACTATATTCGGAAATGTGAACTCTGTGCTAGCTTTAGCGTCACTTTTGAGTGTCCAAAGCCCTCTAACGCAAACCGCGTATCGCGACTCTGAGGCGCAAAATTTGAGGAGGCCTTTGGAATCCAACCATGGCGATCCCATCAGTTTGCTTAGTTTCTTCAAAGAATGGTAATATATTTTTTATTTGCAACCCGGTTTTTCTTTAATGGCACAAATGTAGGCTTACAATAAAGCAATCATCTGGACCAGTCCAGGGTAGCTCAACCAAATCCCAAAACTCGAAAACTTGGAGCAAAAAGCGATGTTTGGAGGAACAGCGATTCTACGAAGTTACTAAACTGTTGGACCAATTCAGGGATATTCTAACTGAGGCTAATTTGCTGCAAAAGATTGAGGAACGTGAGTAAATCTCTTTTGAATAAAAAACTTTTTCTAGGGCTGATTTTTTAGATCTGACAAGCAGCGAGCGATCGATCCGATATGGGGAATTAAAACAGCTAAAGCATATGAAATACGAACTAAAAATCGAGTCTAAGAGCAGGCAAAGGAAGCAACTGAAATATGAAATGTTTAATTATGGGGAAGACTCGGAGAAAGCCGATTCTAAAACCGATCTACGCGATGTCGAGTTTCGAATTACCAATGACTTCAAGGTATGCGTTGAGCTTAAAAAAAACATATATAAATAAACCGCCTATAATATTTAATATAGAGGCTCCAAAAATTGCTCAATGAAGCTAGCGCAGATAGTTTTAAAGACCTGATGCTGCTGAAAATTATCCTAACTAGTGGATTTTATCCTCAAATTGCCGTTGAAGATGAACACAACTCTTCCAAGACCGTATCAGAAAGGCTCTATCACACGAAGAACAAAAACTATGTATTTCTCAGACCCATGAGTTACTTTGCCATGAATCCTGAGATTTTGGAACTATCAAATGACGAAATTGAAGTGCCTCCTTCCGGTAATTACCAATAAAACTCGCAGGTAAATCGTGAATTAAAATTGTTCTTTGTAGGCTACTTCAGTAAAAGGCCGATTTCCAAGAAGCATCAGGTTTTAGTGTTTCAGTCCATCTTGGAAACGAAGAAGGTGTATTTGGTGAACGCAATGCGAATGCCTTGCATTCAAACGCTTTTCTTATTTGGAAAAACTATCTCGACAAATAGCTCACTAACTAAATTTGTTGTTGATGATTTTTTGGCTTTGGATGTTCCCTATTTGGGACAGGCGAAAAATTTGCTGTTGAAAGCGTTGAGTCTCAGGCAAAAGTGGACGCAAAAGTTGGAATTTAAACTGAACAACCCCACGTACAAACAGAGTGATGCAGATAAGGAAGACATTTTCTATTTCATAGAAGATTTGGTAGCCTACATGCAATCGGCGGTTGCTTATAACATGAAAAGACTGTTGCCTGCTGATTTGAAGGATCTTTTTTCCTACTCTAGTGAAACTTTCAATCACATTAAGGACAAGCTGAAAAACCCCTTTAACCCGGGCTTTGCAATGTGTCCGAATACTGTAAAAGGGGGGTTTAATGTGACTGAAAACGTTATTTACGATTGCTTAAACGACGAAGATTGGGCTTATGCTGTAGAAGTGAACATTTTTGAAACCGGATTATTATGCAAGCATTGTAAGGAAACCTTTCCCGGTCGAACACTGTTTCAGTTCATGCAGCACGAAGAATTTTGCGATAGTAAAGCGGTAGCAGTAAAACAAGAAACAACTGAAGTCGAGACTACTGTCGTTAAAGCTAATTCCAAGAAATGGCATTGCGACAAATGTTCGCAAGATTTAGTGTTAACACCGACGGAAATTTTGAAACATAGAAATAGTTGTAAATAAACGAAGCTTATTGTCGAAAAAAATTGATTCATTTTTACTCGTTTCCATTAGGCAAAGTTGTGATTTAGATTAAATCTGGAATAAAAATGTTTTGTAGGAAAGCGCAGCTGTTCAAATGCTCCTGGAAACTTTAGTTGAAAAAGAAGAGGATGTAACTGTGCCAGGTCGGCGTTGGGCTTTACAAGAAGTGAGATCGCTGGTCTGCTGTTATCTTCATCAAGTTTTTATCGCAGACACAACGTTGTGTAAACTCGTACATTTTCAGGTATGATACAAATATTCCAGTTTTGAACAACCTTTACATGCAGTCAAATATATTGATTCGTTTCTTCACTCCTGATTCCAGGGTTATCCGAGTGAACTGTTGGAAGTAGTCGTCAAAGGAGTCCCTTCAATGCACATTTGCTTGGACTTTCTACAGGAATTAATGCAGCAGCCCAGCCTTAATAAGCAAATATTCGCTATCCAGCTGCTATCGCGTTTGAGCATTCAGTATGCTCTGCCCAAAAGCCTAAATTTGTGTGTAACCGCTTTAAACTTGCTGTACGCTTTGTTGGGAGGTACCAAAACAATTTTATATCGTAATATTTGGACTATATTGGTGTATTTCCAGGGATTTCCAGCTCACAGCGTGTAAAACTGTTTAAACCAGTTCTGCCAGCTTTGGTAAACATCAGTGAAGCCTTCCCGCCGTTGACCAATGATATTATTAACTTGCTGATGCAGCTGGCTAAGATATGTGAAAGTCAAGCTTCTTTGGCAAGTCATTTCGATAGTCAAAGAGGAACAGGACTGGAAATATCGGCCGAGGAGAGTGCAGAATTGTGCGATTTGACCAAGAAGACATTTGCAGACATTTTAGATAGAAGTGTGCTTCGAGGAACGGTGTATAGACAAGAGTAGGATTGTGTACCTATCAGGTAGATTTTTTAAATGTTAAAATACAAAGTTTTGCATAGGCAATATTTTACTTACATCCTACACGCATTACCTACCTTATTTACAGACGAGTAACATAAAACCGTATTAAAAAGAAGCAATAAGTTAAATAATAATTTTCTATAAAATCAACAAATCGTCAAGTTAAGTACTGCTTGCAACATTGCACATGACTAATAAATAATACACTTACATATACGAATAGGTTGCGCTAGTTGAAATAATCTCACTTACTGAATCTCAGTCGTGAGTAGATCCCTTGGATTGCACACGGATGATCTCATTTTATTTGTGACTTTTAAACATATCAGCTAAAACAGCCTGCTCTTGCCTTTTGACCGTCTTCATCTCAAGAATTTTATAAAACTCTGTGAGTTGGCATTCGGGTAGAAGTTTTTTGCATTGATCCACAAAATTCTTTTGCGGTTCTATAGGAGTCATTACCAGTTTTAAAATCATTTCCGCCTTTGTCATGCCTGAAAACCATGCCTCTTAGTAACAGTTTAAAAAACGTTTAAATGCAGTTTGTTCTCACCTTTCGTGACCACTTTGGAATATGCAGCCGGTGCCGATCTGCTGATTTGCGAGGCTATTGAAGGCAAATTTAGCAAAACTGTCTTCAGCATGTGGGTATCAAGTAGCAGTTGTTCTGCTCCTATTGTTTCGTTGAATAAAATCAGCTACTTATATTTAAAAATCGCCACACTCACCTTCAGTATTTATGGGCTTGCACTTGTAGATATTCTGGATATATTTGGGAATGAAACTGTTGGCAAACTTGATGCAAAACTGAGTGTAATACTTGCGGGAATGTGCCAAATTATCGCGAATAATTGGAACAGTCGTTTTCAAGTTTGTTGTTATGGATGTGATATACGAACTCTGGTCTCCAACTGTGTCGATGTTTTGCCATTGAATCTGTTAATTCATGGCACAGAAACAGTTAAAAAGCTTCATTAGTAAACTGTTTTATACCTTAGTCATGGCTGTTAGTGAGGGCTCACAAACATTCTCCAGGTCCTGGACTAATAGTTGTATGCAATTTGAAATCACCCTGAAAATGTGTTAATTCAATGCAAATTCCCATGTGTAATAGCGAATATTAACTTATGAAACTGGTCTTGTTCCTTGGAAAGATCTATCTGCTCTGATAGGTGCGGCTCAATTTTTTCTTTCAATTTATCCTGCAACTGCTGGGTTGTTTCCAAACAATATTCCGCCGTCGTCAATATGCAGCATATTTTTGTTTGCTCCTCTTTGGTAAACCTGTGAATACCCATATAAATGAGTTATTGCTTTCCTAATTTCACTTATATCTTTCACCTGATAATATCACCTTCCTTTAACAAAGAGGAAAAATTCTGTATCAGACCGGATGTTGACATCTTTTGCAGATCTTTGGTGAAGTTCTGAACGGAACTGCCCAGAGATGATTGCCCCTCGATTTTGGGTAAGTTATTCTGAAGAAGCTTCTCTGAATACTCGTGCAGATATTTTTGGAATGTTCTAGTCAAACTCAGCATTGATTGCCCCCTAAAAAGTGATCCCTGAAAATGAAAAGTTGTGGGTATAATTTGTGCAACAACGTACCTATCAAGTTGATTGCATTGAATCATGCTCTTTTTGTAAAAAACAAAAAGATCTGGACAAGATGGCAAAATCGCTGCTTGAGTTTCAGTGTTTTCCGTCGGTCTATGCTGCTTCTCATCCTGCACAAATCTATCAATAAGATCAGTTAGATTTTTATCTACACTGTCTATGTAGATTTCCAAATGAGGTATAAAGCATCTACCTAGAAAATTTTAGTATCTAAACTAGAAGATCAGTAAAACCTTCTCAATAATCCTACCTATTAATCCGTTAAATGGGGAGGCAATCAATGCCATTTCTTCATTGATTGCTTCGTCTTTTAAGTTGCCATTCCTTTGCGCTATTGCTTGGTTTATATCGCTTTTCGTCTGTGATTTCACAGTTTCTTCCAGGTTTTCCTTCAGTGTAACTCCAGAAAACCGTTTGAAAAGCAAACTTTCAAATGCTGATGTTTTCTGAATGGCATAGAGGAGCAGTTTCACATCAATCTCGCTTTTTCTTTTGACCATAATTTTTGATAATTCCTCGCGCGTTTTGTGGCAAAATTGTACGGCTATTCGTTCAGAAACTTCCCAGTTTTGAGGAAACATATTGCCTGAAATTTAGAGTAGAATCTGCCAATTTAACAATACTGTTCGTATTGTGATACCTAATCTATCTTCAAATTCTAGCAAATGCCGTTTTATCCAGGCATATCTTTTGTCGATTTTATCTAACCATGCCGTATCTTCAGTCTCTTGAAACAGATGATCGTATTCTTGAAGTTGCAAATTGACGAACCATTTTAAAAGATCCTTCTTCACTTTTGGGTCTAGGATGGATACAACTAGACAGGCTTGTTGCAGTTGTTTATTGGGAATATGGCTTTTATTATTTGAGCCTTGGAATGCTTCCTGAAATTAATGCTTGGTTAATTAAGCTAAACTTTGAGCAATTATAAAAGTATCTTGCCTTAAAATCGAGAGTTATCTGATCGGCTAGTTCAACGTGAATACTGTTCACTTGATCACTTAGGCTCTTAATCTGCGGAATGTCTGAGTAGTTTTCAAAGTGGGTCATTACTTCGCAAATAGCTTGAAGAGGCAGAGCTATTTCTCCATAAAGACGCTTTTGGGTAAGAGATTTAAGGGTATCTACTCCTCCTACCAGCATATGAAGATGGTTTAAAGTTGTAATGGCCTATAAATAAATACAGGATCACCGAATACACAAGACAGGTTGACGAAAGTTGAAACCTACCAAGGTTAAATTCTTTTTGGCGCAATCTAATTGTTTAATGTCCCTTGTAATCTCTCTGACCATTTCCTCAGACTTCTCAGCTCTTTCCTTGATGTCTTTAATGTGGATAAATAACTGTTTAATAATTTTTTGGGATTCATCGAGAGCTTCTCGCCCCTCTTTGCTTGCTTCGATTTGACTCCTTATAACCGTGGATATTTCATTATCAATGGTGTGGATTTGGTTTTCCATTTTTATAACTACTTCATCGATATTGGACAAGGATTGTTCGGTGGGGAAGAGGCTGTTTATGTAGTCTATACTGTTGAAATCTGGTTCATCTAGTGAGTCTCTACTTGGTAGAACCTGCAAGTACGTGGCAGTTTTATTGTCTAGTTATTTTTGTTGGTAAAGTTCCAGGATTAATTCTGGTTGGTTCGGGAACTATCAAACCATAGTTTTGAGGGATTTTGTTGTATTTTGAGAATTATAGAGTTAAAACCCGTTAACTGAATTTAAGTTTTCCACTACCTCGTCTATAGCCTTTTGCACGTCCGGTGGAAAATTGATAAAGAACTCCGAACTGTCCTCATCCAGCAAATCATCTTCGTCCGGACTATTATCCATTATTTTCCAGCTGAAAATTTAATTTATTTTTCTTGTATAAAATAGAAATCAAAATAAATAAACTTGTGTCAGTTTCGACATTGCTCACTTGGACTTTGACATAAATGCAGTATCACAGAACATACCCCCAAAGGGGGATATTTTGTGTGCAGTATCACCATCTGAAATAAATCTTTGCATATATATATATTAACTTGAAAATTAATGTTTTTATAGTTTAATAGAGAATTTTCATTAAATGGAGGAAATTTTCAATTGATTAAGATTTAAATATAAAAAATCTCAGTAATTTAAATGTTTAAAAAATTATTAGTATTGAACAAACCTTGAAGCAAATGGCAAAAGTAAAGTTGAATAAACAATTTTATTTTGCCAGTTTTGAACCTTTACGCAAAAATTTTCGAAAGCAAAACAAATAAATGGGCTTTTGCTAGGTTGCCAAAACTTTGCTTTCAGCCCGCCATCTAGCTTTTTGTATCAGCGATTTCTATCGAAACAGCCTTTTGACACTTTATATCATTTTGACTGATTTTGACTTTTCTCTAATAGGAAGTGCAGTGTGCAACTAAATATTTGTGTACCAAAAGAACGCGCAAAAAGAAAAAGCTACTGCTTTCTGTTGGAAAAGGGCTGCATGTAGTTAACACTTGAATGAAAATACGGTTGAATTAAAGGTTTCACTATGTTTGGCAAACCCGCTTTTGGGGCATCCGCCCCCAGCACCTCCTTTGGTAAGTTGCTTATATTATCCATTTGTTTCTTAACTTATTTGGAGTTAAGGAGTTTATTTTGGAGTGTACATAAAATTAGTCCACTGGCGTCCACATGTTTGTGTTTAAAGCAAGCACAGTGGTTTGGTTGAATGTTAGTTCCAATACTATAATTATGAATTACTTAAGCAATTTCATTATACACTAGTAATTGACAATAACTAAGTGTATATTGGTCTTTATTTGTAACAGTCCAGAATAGCGATTTAAAATGCACCCAAGCAAAGGGGCCTGCTATTGGGGGGAGCTCTTCTAGCTTCCTTATCATGTAGTCTACAGGTTTATTTGCTTCTATTTTTCTTTGTTTCTGTCTTTATATAGTGATTTTCCGTTCAGTCTAAAGTCTTGTGTTATTCGCGCTTTATGCAATTGGTTCCTTCCCTCCCATAAACGTTTCAGTTGCTTTTAGTACTACTTATGTTTGTGCAATTGCTTCATCTATTTATTATCTTTGCCTAGTTTAAGCTTTAAGCCACTTTTTTCTTCTGGCTTTTCAAATGCTTTGATTGCTATTCAGGCTATCAGGTTAGGGCTATACATTTTAGTTTCAGAATCAATTTTTGTCGTTTTCTTCATGTTATGTTACTCTTATCTTAACTAAGAATTTTTGTATTTCCAATTTAATGTGGTTTGTATTTTCTTGGTTTCATCAATATAATTTCTTATCTAGGCTCCAATAGTTTATTTGGACAGCCAGCCTCAACTGGCGGAGGGCTTTTCAGTAACACCTCGACATTTGGCCAGCAAAACAAGCCAGCGTTTGGATTTGGATCACCCAACCAGAACAACAGCTTCTTAGGAGCTCAACAAGTAAGAAGTGCAAAGATTTGATACAAAATAAGTGCGATAATATCTACTAAAATAATAAATCAACTTTTAGCCCCAAACTTCCAGTATTTTCAATCCACCTGGAAGTACTGGATTATTTGGAACATCTACAGCATTCAACAATCAACCAACTGGTACTGTGGTTAAGTTCACCCCGGTCACTGGATCGGATACTATGGTGAAGGGCGGAAGTGCTCAATCCATCAGTATTAAGCACCACAGTATCACTTGCATGAAGGAATATGAGGGCAAATCTTTCGAAGAACTGAGATTTGAAGATTACCAAGCCAATAGAAAAGGTTAGTTTGCGCAGTTCCTTTGAATGTCGGAGTTTATGCCACGGTGTTTATTTGTAGGACCTCAACAAGGATCTACTGGGTTTGGAGCGAACGCGTTTGGAACGACCACTACTGCTCAGCCCTCATTATTTGGGCAGACTGACGCTAATAAAATGGCGTTTGGGCAGACAGCTTTCGGCCAAAACACTGCTTTTGGTCAACCTGCAGGTAAATTGTAGACAACCCAACAGCGTGTTCCAATATACTTATATTGGTACTTTAGGCCAGCAAACTACAACAGGGTTTGGAGCTCCAGCCTTTGGAGCCTCGACAACGGCGACACCTTCACTTTTCGGCCAACCAGATGCCAATAAACAGCCAGCATTTGGCCAAGCTACTCCTTTTGGTCAGACCAGCACTTTTGGGCAGACTAATACAGGTAAGTTTAATATATTTTTTTGCAATTGATGATCTATGTTGATTTACTTCCAGGCGCTTTTGGAATGGGTGCCCAGCAAAATACCACCGCAAGCCCATTTGGGAAGCCTGCCGCATTTGGCAGTACCGCTCCTTCAACGGGTTTCGGGTTCGGATCAAGCGCCCCTCAAAATGCCAACCCTTTCGGTGCAAACAACGCTATAAAACCATTCGGGGCTACAGCCCAACCCCAACAACAATCCTTCCTGTTTGGCGGGGCGCAAACAACGCAACCCAATACAGGATTTGGTACTGGATTGTTTGCAAACACCCAAAATACTGCAACGGGGCTTTTCAATAAACCAGCTCAGCCCACTACGGGTTTTGGCGCAACTGCTCAAACTCCTGGGTTTGCATTCAACACTCCCGCCTCCACTCAGCCCAGTTTATTCACGAATACTTCAAAACCACTTTTCGGGGGCGCCACCAATGCAGCTCCAGCCTTTGGGGCGACGAATAATAACTTTGGGGCAGCCAATAGTACGCCATTTGGCAGCACTTTCGGAAAACCTGCCGCTCCAGCTTTTGGCCAAACGCAAACCTCCGGCATTGGATCGTTTGGAACTGGTAAGTGGCAAAATAGGGTTTTACTATAGTTTTTAGCATCATTACATACTTAGCAGGAAACCTGTTTCATGAGCAGTTTTTTTAAATTAATTCTTTAATTAGGTTTTGGTGCAAATACCTCATTTGGCGCGGGAAATACTGCGTTTGGAAACACTTTTAGTAAACCTGCCGCACCGGCGTTCGGACAAACTCAAATGTCTGGAATGGGAACATTCAATACAGGTTTGTGTTACTTAAGTGTAGTAAAAGACATGTAAATGTGTAATATTTATTCTTATAGGTGGATTGGGAAATACTACAACCACAGGTCTTTTTGGGAACACGAATCAGGCAAAACCAGGCGGTTTATTCAACAATTCGGGCACGCTTTTCAGTACTGTGCCAACTACATTCCAGGCGAACGCCTTTGGAATGGGCCAGCCCGCTCAGCAACAACCTTTGTAAGCGAATTTTTCACTCAATTAAATGTTTTCCTTATTGGTCAATTCTGTTTCAGGCAATTAGCTCAGCCAGAACATCACAGTTTGGCGCAATTGACTTCCGATCCCTTTGGGGACGAGCCCCATTTAATCGGGTTGGAGCCTAAGCTGAGATCCCATAACCTTGCGATGTCTGCGACAGATCCCAAAGAGCTAAAGACACTTTTGGATGCGTCCAAAAAAGTCGATACCGCACACAGTTCTAAGCTCAAAGTAACATCTTTAAAAAATGCACGCGTAAGCAAAGGTTTAATGATTGATGGCATTGCTTTCCAATGTAGATCATTTGTTACAGGACAGCCTGTTTGATTCCCATGGACAGTCCTCTGATTATTTAAGATCGCCTATGGCCAACTACCAAAAAACCAACGTTCGCAAGCTGATACTAAAACCGAAAGCCAGCAATGACAACACGCCCAATGCGAGTTCGTCTAATATTTTAGACATTTTGCTTAACGAGGATAAAGAGAACCAGAAGTCCGACAGTGGCAATATCGGCACTGTAAACCCTGTGAGGTTAACATTCGACTCTACGGCTCATAATGAGAGTATCGCGAACAATTCTGTGGAAACCCAGACTTTTAATATTCTGCACTCCACTAGCAGGGACGTTTTAACAGGTACTGGTTTAGAAACTTTGTAGATGTGAATAGTTAGACGAATGTTTTTCAGATCGGACTTGGGCAGATGAAGGCCGCTCTTCAGATGATCTCGAAGTTACTGGTGATAACAAAGGAGCCGGAGACTCAGTGGAAAAACAATATGCAAACATCATTTGCACCAGGCCGGAGTACTACACTTTACCTAGCTTGGATCAATTGGTTCTAGATGAGGATGGGCAATGCTTTGTTGAAGGATTTACTATTGGTAAGTGCAATTTACTCAAGGTGGGGGTTATAGATCTTTTTGAGGAAGCTTTGATTTTACTTTAAAAAATTCTTAGGTCGTAGAGGATACGGAAATGTGTACTTTCCGGATAAAATAGACGTTGCTGGTCTCCACATCGACGAGTTGGTTCACTTGTGCTATAGAGAAGTGACCATTTACCCAGATGATAGCAAGAAACCCCCTGTTGGAGAGGTAATATATGCAAATATGTAATGACAATGCATTTTTCACATTTATAAAAATCTTTGTTTCCAGGGATTGAACCGAAGAGCCCAAGTTACTATAGACAACGTATACCCAAAGCGAACAGCAAATAACGAACTTATAAAGGATGTGGGAGAACTGACCGAAATGAGATTTGCCGAGAAACTTCGCAAAATAACTGAGAAGAAAAATGGTCGTTTTGTCGACTATCGGCCAGAAACTGGGAGTTGGGTATTTAAGGTAAAAAAAGCACGCGTGAAGAGTTAGTTGGATGGCATTGATTTTAATGCCATTTGCAGGTGGACCATTTTTCCAAGTACGGATTCAACGACAGCGATGAAGAAAGCGAGGAAAGCAGCGCTGACGCCCTAAAAAAAGCCGAGTTAAAGAAGAGGCAAATGGCGTTAAAAGCAGGCCAGGCCACTGGACAGGCTAAACAAGCTCTTGATAAGGAAGGTAAAGCTTTGGATAAGGAAACTATTTCAAGAGAAGCTAGCCAGGGGTAAGTTATTAAATTGAAGTTTTTCAGAACACTTTCAGTTTACTTGGTACCTTCAGGTCACAGGAGCAGCATCCAACAGGAACTCCTTCTGCCAAGAACATTTCGGTTGAAGACCTTGATGAACAGCAAGAGAACGACATTTTTCATCATAGCATGATGATGGACGATGGTTCGGACGATGAATATCACCCAATACCGAATTTCAGGCCTGCGGATATGTCCTTTAAGCCCTATATTGATACCCAACATGCCAAGAATATTCAAGTATGTGTTGCATGTTACTCTAGTAAATGCTTTTCTTTATCTCAATCATTTTGCAGTTAATGAAGTCGACGCTTTTTGCCGATGACGACAGATCGGACGATGCAGCCAGTCATATTTCGTTCATAAAACAGTACTTGGACTTGCAAGATGTGGACGAGGAAATACGCAATTTGCCCGCTTTGCCCGAAGAAACCCCCATTCAGCCGCGCTTGTGTGTGAGACCGAAGATTTGGAAGGTTTTGAACAACTACCAAGCACCGAAAGCTTCAGCTGAAATTCTTCCAAGCAGGTTTGTTGATTGAAAATGATAATCATAGCAGCTTTTTCTTTGGGGTTTTTGTCTCAAATTTAGGGTTGAGTTGTGCCTCAAATTTAGTTTAAATATTTAGGCACGGAACTCAAATAAAAGGTTTTGTATGTACTCGCTTCAACCATATGGAACTTACTTACAGTTACTACAACAGTAGTTGGAGTATTTAATAAATATTACTTTATTATCACTTAACCGCAGTCTTCTGCCCTGTCTGGATTGCACCATCCTGTATAATACTTGTTGTTCTTTAGATGCTGTATGGATCTGGGAATGTTCAAAGGCAAATCCTTCAAAGTAGGTTTCACTAAAGGTTTTAACTTCTATGCACCCGACAATGAGGAATGTGTACGCGAGTTGCTGTTGCAGTCTGTAGACGCTTCGTCACGATACGATCATCTAAAGGTTTGTCTCATCAGTTTGTCGTTGATTTTTTACTCGTTATTCTATCGACTTGTGTTCCAGGATGTTTTGACCGACTGTCTCAAAGTGGTCCTAGAGGAGTCCACCTTTCAACTGAGTGCCAGTAAAGTCCCGACGTTTAAAATTTTAAAAAGCGATCTTTACCTTAAAAAGCAGAGCGCAATATTTGAAAAGTTGGCGTCTCAGTATAACAGCTCAGAAGTGGACTATCTATACAGCATTTGGACGTTGTGTGCTGCCCTGTGGGGACCAAATGAAAATACCATCGCCAGTAGACGATATTTGTTAAGCGAGTGGTTGAAATCCACTTGTGCCACTGACGATTTAACACTGAAAGCGGGTCCTTTCAAATCGGTGACAGAAGCCACTGAAAGTATCTTCACGCATTTATCTATCTTCAAGGTAAATTTAGTTTTGTTCAACATCAACATCAACACAACAACATCAACTATCAACAAATTAATTTAGTTTTGTTGTGATTTCTAGGTTTTAGATGCTGCGGGTATTGCCATGGACGCAAAACTGCCAAATTTATCCCTTCTGGTAGCTCAGCTTAGCTTATCCAATGCTCCGAAAAGTTTTATCCAAGAGCAAGTCGATATTTGGTATAATTCCATGGCAGCCAATCATATTACGCCGGAGTTAAAACGGCTGTATTTACTAGTATCGGGCATTCCCACCAAAGAGGATGTTAATATCTTCGATGGAATTGATTGGAAGAGGGCGTTTGGCTTGCATTTATGGTAAGTTGGCATTTGGTTGCAATAGGAACGCTTTATAATTAATGTTTTATTATTTAGGTACATTTGCCCCAATGGAGCTCCGATCCAAACCGCCATAGATCTTTACAAAAAAGCGTTTGAGGAATATGCTTATGCCGAGAGGCCGAATCCTCCATACACAAATAGCTACTCGGAAGAGCCATTTTTCGATATGATCTATCATATTCTGTTGTTGTACAAGTCGGGAATTCACAGACTCAGCAGCACGTTGAATCCTGCCACGCATACTGACGATCCTTTGGATTACAGACTAAGGTAAGAACTATGTGTTTATTAAACATTTTCCTCGGTTTTATTAAGTTTTTCTATTGCTAAAACGTGCGATTGAAATTAAGATGTGAGTGAAAGCTCTGATGCTTTCTGGATTTATCCAGATTTTTTAATTTTTTACATACATCTTAGACTCTGATCTAGATGGCATACTTATATAAATCGCACCAGTGATCGATAAACACATTTTTCTCGTTTCACAAATTGCACCTTTTTTACTCCCATGACCAAAATATTTGGGGGATCTTGAAATGCGATTGAAGTTCGAAATAGAAACCTGATTAATTGTCCTAATGTTTTCTATATTAACCATGATGGTGAGTTAGGCGCTTCTATGATCTTCAAACTATGATCAGTAATCTTTTTTTAGTTCTTAAATACTTCATTCAGCATATTTAGATTGATTTATAAAAATATATGGTTTCTCTTAAAAGTCGTCCAACGTCGATTCCGATCCGTGTCCCAATCCTGAGCTTTAGTTAACCGGTGAAATTGAAAATGTACCCCTCGAGAAGATTTTAAATTTAAAGAAGATTGGTATCGAAATATTCCGAATACCAGCCCGATCATATAACAAACGCACAAAATGTATCAACTGAAACGCTTTTTGCAGCTGGCTTTTACTGCAATTGTTCCAATCTCTCAACGTGGGTCTAATAGAGGTATCCGAAATAACTAAACTCTGTACGAGTTTCTCAACCCAACTCGAGCACTTGGGACTTTGGGAATGGGCAATTTTTGCCTTGCTCTACCTGGAAGATAATTCCTCCAAAACCAACCTGATTATGGGGATTTTAAATCGCAATTTGAGCGTAGAAGGGGATGACTTGGATGAAGAATCGCGACAAATCGTCGATTTGTTGGTGAATCAAATGAAAATACCCGCAGAATGGATTCATACGGTGAAAGGCAACAAAACGCTGGCCTTTGAGAAGTTCTACGAAGCGTTTAATCATTTTTCATTGGCAGAAGAATACGTGACGGCAAATGAAATATTCGTAGACAAATTGCTGTCGAGTTTGTTCATTAATGAGCAGTTTGATGTAATAAGGAACCTTACGGATAAACTGAAGCAAGGTAGCAGGGATATTTTACAATGGGAAAATGAAGTTGGCCTGATTCTGGATTATCTGAATTTACTGGAAGAGTCAATAACCGCCGAGAGTTTATTCAACTTGCAATTGAAATTGTCCTCTTTAACAGAGAGAATCGTAAATTTCCCAACTAATACCGAACAGCAGAAAGTGTGTGTCGCCGAATTATCAAAACGATGTGCTTCGCTTTATCGAGAACTCTTCGTCAAATCACAGTCAAATCCATTTAAACATTCGTACACCCAGTTCCTCGAATCCCTGATCATGCCACCAGATTTCAAGCAAATTGAAGGACTATTTTTAATCCAAGATCATTACAGTAACGATCGTTAGAATACAAATCAGTTTATAGTTTCTATAGTTTTTTTTAATTGCAAATTGCCATATAAGTAAGGTAAGTGTATACATACACATTTTTTGTTACTAGTGATATATGTAGGTAAATTCTCACGGTTTTCCTAGGTGTAGCAGTGTGTGTGGGGTAGAAATTGCTTTTAAAACCCCAATTGTTAATTTGAATTACGATGGGCGTTGAGCATTAGGAAAATCGTTTGAAAACAGCCAATGAGCTAAATTCGTGTTAAAATGTATAAAATTGTTTCTCGGCAGGTTCTTTTTAGTTACTCGATTTTTTCAATTTCTTTCAAAAAGTAGGCAAATGGAGGAAAGGAATAATTTCCCATGTGATTGTTAATAGTACAAAGAATTACATTTTGGCAATTGCATATTTTCCCAAAAGTAATTTTTTATTTCGTTTGGAGTGTAGTTGTAAATATTGAATTCAATTTTTAGGCTCTTGATGAAATGAACAGTTTTTTAATGTCAATAAAAGATACAAATTTTGAAACATTTAAGCATTAAACCATTTATAAATACTTTATAAAAAGTACTGTTATACAAAACTGTTGTCGCATTTACTTCTTAATTTTTTGTGCGATGTGTTAACCGCAAATTAAGTAATAAAACTACAATTTATACATTTTTATGGGAATTTTACCGAACTTGATAGCTGTCCGTATACAGTAACTAAAATGTGCTAAGTTTAAGTAGAATTTAATGTCAAGTGATTTAAAAATAAAAGCATGTTTATTGTTTTTGCAAATCCATATGATTGGATGATCTATTTGATTTTCTTTAAATAATCCCCGTTTTGGCCAGGTGGTTAGGAAATATCTTGTGTATAATATACTATGATGGGGCCCAAATAAGTACTTGTTAATTGAAATGTTCTTTTTTTCAATACCTGCAGTAACGCTCCTTTAGCTAGTATATTGTACATTACGTTGTTGTGAACGAGTTGATTTTATTATGTCTATTTGTCTATCTGATTTAAATCGGGAACTTTGTTAACTCGAATATAAGCGTACCTTTAATAATAAAATCCATATTTAGGATGATACATTGTCATTAGTAAAGTTTTTTCGTTTTAAGATAGGTAGTATTAGGAGATACAAATATGTAAAAAGTATATTTAACTTTAAATCACAAATGATCCTATCGATTTGCTTCGATTTTAATCAGTCAGTTTTGAAGAAGTTTTCTAATATTTAAATCGTATCAATTGAAACAAAATAGCCAGTTGAATTTAAAAAGTATATATCGATAGTATATCATACATTTCATTCTTTTTACCCATATTTGCTTTGTATTATATTTTTCGACAGTTTGAGCTGTTATACCATTTTAGGACTATATTGGCAAAAATATTACAAGTTTGTTAATAAATTTTCAAACAAAATGCAAATATCATTTGAGTATTTTTTGTCCCGCAACATTCAGACTTTTACAATAGCAAAATCTCTGTAAATACAAAACTTACGGACAATTCGGATTGATTTTCTATTTTATTCTGTGGCTAATAATCTAGAGTTTTTGCACACATCCCAGAAAAATAACATTTTTATTGCAATATTTGCCAAAAGTTGCTCTGTCTCAAGTACTTTAGGTGTGTAATATCATAAAGTTTTAGATAAGTTCTATATTGTTGAGGCGGATTCATTTTTTTACAAACTTCTTTTTGGGTATTTCGCCTCAAAAATTTTTGTCTTTAAAAAAGA